ATTTCTGTGGAAATTAAACTCGTCATTAAGTGGAATGCGGCGTCCCTGGCATTTGAAAAAGTATCAAGATAAATTACATGAGAATAAATTAGGCTCGAATTCAATTAAGCTTAAAAAATTGCTCCGCTCAACGACGCGGACCCTAGCGCTTTTTGTTCAACACTCAATTAAGGCGATGTTAAATAATGTTTTCATCCCAGCGCGGCACACGCCCAACTTTTATTGATGCCCTCGCTGCTCGCTCCGGACTAATGCAACAGAATTAAAAATTAAATAACAATTTTCTTAAATCTGAACGATAAAAAATATCAGATAACTTGCATAACATAGAAAGCTGTAAGTAAAAAAAAACATGAAATAAATCTTTTTTTTACGCAAAATGACCTTCATTTCCATAAGGACTTTTGCCCAGCACCTTCATAACAGTTGTTCGTCTGATTATATATTCGAGTTCAATGTTGCAAGCATAATTCAATATGAATCTGCGGTCGCCGCTTGCTTTCTGTCTGAGGACGGATCCGTTTTCAGTATAATAAGCGCGAAAAGTGCTGCATGAAAGCAAAAAGAATCGCAGAGAGCGATTGCACTTTTCAGATCCGGCCGTAAGAAATGCGATATATACGTGCGGAAATACACTTTGCAACTGCAATTATTGTGAGGTGGAATTTTATCCCGCTCATCAGCTTCTTGGGGCGCAGAGAAGTCGTCAGTCATCAACTCGGATCGATCTTCAGGTGAATGTAATGAGGTGCCACGCTGGCAATGGCCTCTTATTAAAACAAAGGGCTGAAGCGAGATTATATTGAATTCTGAATAAGGTGTCAAAAAAAATAAAACATATTTCCACATTTTTAAGTAATAAAAAAATTAACTAATAAATCAACAAAATTAGACAAAGTTTGGTTAATTTTTACTGACCATTTTATAATAAACCTACTTAAAAATAATAATAGAAAAGAATGCTTAATTGGTGCAATCTCTATTTTAGTTAACTAAATATTTGGCAACATTTTCACATGAAAATTGGAACTTTTTCAGTCAAAACAGTGATGTTGTAGAATTTTTCTTTGGATAAAATATTCCAGAAATTATGGGTGCATTTGTTTGTAATAAAAAGAGCGGAGCACGTTTTGCTCATATTTTCCATTCGGCTCTGCGGAAAAATCGACCCTGCGCGATAGCAACTTTTGCCCATCAATTTTGTTTTTTCTCTTTTTGCCGTGGCGGAAGCTGCACCGGCGGCATTGCATGCGCGAGATGCACTTGGAACAAACGTGCTGGAGGAATCTCGTTGGTGCTGGAGGAACGATCAATGTTTTGCCGGACGGTTGGCAGCAGCGGCAGTGCAGGAAGGGCTGCAGCGAAAAGGGGCACCGCTCACGACAAATGGTCGGTCTGTCGGCCGAGGGCGCAGACGCCGAACTGAACGAGCCAGCAATGAAATGGTTGGTGTACACCGACTGAGAGAGACTCGCGGAGAGAGACTAATCAATAAAATATAGTAGAAGCAGCGCCGGAGCAGGCCAGCGAGTGCCGGTGGATGGATGTGGAAAAGGAGTGCAGGATAAGAAATGGTACCGCAGAATTATGTCCAGGTGGATTTGTGCGGGCTTTGCGGCACACAATTGTTTTGCTCGGCCCGCTGACCGCACTTGAGCACCGTGCGAAATAAGAAAAACTCGACTTTTGACTTTCTATAGCACTCAAGTTCAGCAAAGATGAATGTCAAGTTTTTTTTTTAATTAATTGATAAATTTTATAGTTTTTCAGTTTTGAAATCAAACTGGCCGTTCCTTTTGATGATTGTTTTTTCTGGCTTTACAAGATTTCTTAATAAAGGAAGTTACTGAAATCCTTCTTCTTGTTCAATGAAAAATTTAAAAACATATTCAAATTCATTATTATTAAATTTGCTCGCTTTTAAGATATTCTTATTTTTACTGAAATCTCAAAGAGAAATTATTTTTCTCATTTTAAAAAAACATCTTCCAACCAGTCCAAGCCAAAACAACTTTGACTTATCCCTTCAACCATTTCCGCCAAAGCAAAACTCATTTGAGCAAAAAACGTCCTTTTTCCGAGCCACACGGAAAATGTCTTGGAAAACTTCTCCCCTCTTGTGCGCTTATACACATCGTTTGCGCACATTTTACTCAGAAAAGGGAAACACGAAATCGCTTCCAGCTTGATCCGTTTTCTGTCTCGGCAAATTCACTCTCCGCCTGCAGGGGCACCAAGTTTTTTAATATAAAAAAAAAATTCCCACCGCCAATGTGCCGCCAGGACCGAAACACATACGACTCTTTCTTTTTGTTCATGCTTTGAACCTTATTCTTCTTTAAAAATCACATCCTTTGACGAATTTTCCTGAAAGCAGCTCTTGTTTTCCCAGATTTTTAGAAGACCTCATTAGCAATGCTCTGCTCCCATATCAATATCCATCAGAGAAAAAGTTCTCACCGAGCCGATTCAAAAACCGGCGGCGGCGCAATAATAATTATGTAATGAGCAGCCTTTCTTTCGCGCGGTGATTTGGGCCCGCCAATTCATTACAAGCCTTTCATTAAGGCTTCCGCCGCGATTTTTGCTCTCGGCAGCATGCACCGTTCGCGAGATCTGACACCCAGCAGGACGAGAGTGAACAGATCATGAATGTCGGATGCAATGAAACTCGACGCGGCCGATTGCGTTTTGAAGTAGGCCAGTGTCACGCCGACAGCTCAAATATTCGCAATAAAAAAAATAATTGTAAACCGACAGACAGTCATAAATTTGTCAGCACGGTTATTATTTCAAGTTATATAATAAAAAAATTGTAATTTAACTTCTGTTTAAAATTAAATTTTTTTAACCATTATATTAGTAATAATTGTTTTTTTTTAATATCTTTTTTTTCCTTTTAATATAATTACACAGCTGACGTTTCAAAGTATAATAATTCCTTACATTTGCTTATTTCTTTAGCTTCTTTTGAATTTTCATAATAATTTAAACGTTCTAATGTAGATGTAATAAAAAATAGTTCAAGAAATTGCTTTGAAACCATAGGGCTTTGAAATGAATCAAACAGAAAAATAAATTAATATTATTTGGAATTATAATTTTATGAAGTACTTAATTTAGGGAACTTCTGCCCAATTGAAGATAAGATATTTTTTATAAATCACACAAAATAATGCTAGAAAAAAGTTTGATACATACTAACGCAGAGAACCATTTCATTCATTAAGAAATACATTAATTTATCATATTATATTGATCCATTGTGGATCTTTTGCCAAGAAATTGTAAACCTATGTTCAGACGAAGACATGCAAAATGTGTTTCCGGAACACGGCAAACCCATATTTCAAATCCAGCAACTAATATCGAGTTACACGGTTTGATAAATTGCTCAAGATTGCATGGGATTAACCGAGGCTGCCATCGGCTGAATTGAGTTATGTCTTCGTCTTCAGTCAGGGTGCATTACGAGCACCGATCGATATTATACATTCTTCGCGAATGCACTATAAAGTCTTGTGTGCACAAACCCCATTAGACGAGTTTAATGCATTCAACCGGCGTCTCTCCGCCGCCGCATCAGCAAACTCGGCATGCACCGTCTGTGCGCGGCTCCTAGGGCAACTCGCTGCAACGGTGCATCCCGTTTTCATGCACTACACGGGTCTTTTTCCCGAAAAAATTTCCACCCTCGGCATGAATTATATAAAGAGCTTTGAAGTCTGACGGCGACTTTGATGCGGAAGAGACGACATCAAAGCAGCCGGAGATGAATTTTAGGCGTCAAATTTCATTATGCGCTCATAAAGGGAAGTATAATATGAAAAAGTCAAAGGGTGGCAAGATTATAAAAAAAAAATAATAATAATAATAAATAGAAACTGCTAAAATTCCTTACAGTCTTAAAGAAATTTGCAATGTATGCATTAAAGAAAAATAGTTAAATTTAATGTGCAGATAAAAATTTGCTTCTTCATAAAAAAATTAAAATAATTGTTTGTTGCAAGCATTGTGACTTTTTCCCACATTCTGACGGAAAGTTCATCCAAGTCTGACAATCAAGCGAGGAAATTGATTGTAAACAAAGCTTAATAAGCCTGGCGTTTGCGGCCACGCCGGGTTACAAAGGCGGCGTGATTGAGCCAAAGAGAGTTTGTTTGCGAATCAGCGGCCGCTCAATAAGCCGCCAACCCGTCAATAATTAAACTGCATCCCGCCGCGCTGCACGAATGGAATAAATCGCTCCGAGAGTCGTCGCGTGCACTGTGACCCCGGGTGACCCCGTGACCTCTGGCGTTCGCCCATTTCATTTACGGGGCAGAAGCGTACACGCGAGGCCGCGTAATAGAGGCTTCGTACGTACAACCTGTCGTGGAGGTAATAATGAGACGCCGGCGAAAAAGTGTCAAAAGTGCGCGAGAGAAAGAGAGGCGAAAAAAGGGAAAAGGAGCACGAGAGAGAAACAGGGTGGAGGCAGACGAGGACCGATCGATGCGTCGGAGGCGATTCGAAATAAGTTATGACCTTGCCATTTCAGTCTGCTCGTTAAGTCGCTTTGCTAGGGGATGAAAATTGGCAAGAAATATTGCGGAAAATTCCAGCTTAATCTTGGAATTTTTTTCATTTCCTGCCCCAGACCAGTTTTTGTTTGGAGGAATTTTCCAACAATAATTTATAAATTCTGTAATATTATTTTGCAACTTTTTTTTAAATTCTACAATAAAAAACAAAAAATAATTTAAAAGTTTCAATCCTATAAGACTAAAAAAAGCGATTTAAAAAATTCTTTGGCAAAAGGGATATTATCTTAAAATTGTCAGCATAAATTTTTTTAATTATTATATATTATTATTCTTTTATAATTTTTATCTTGATCTTATTTTATAATTCTAAACTAAATACCTATCAAACCAGCAATAAAAATCGTTGCAATTTATATAGAATTTCTAGCCCTAACCGGGTAGTATTAATATTGTTAGCAAAAATACTGTACTCACCCCCACCTGCGGTGTTGCTGATGGTGACCCAGAAGTCGATGGTCTTTTCGGGTCCGAGCTCCTCATAGTCCCAGCGACGCTTGACTCGGACGGCGCCGTTCGGCTCGACGGTGACCCAGGGATTTTCGTCCCTGATCTTGAACTGCTCGCGTTCCGTCTCCTTGTCCAGGTGGAAGACGACGCGGCCCTCAGTCTCGCCATCAGACTCCATGAATTCGACGCGTTTGGTGGCGCGAACGGCGCGCGTGACGCGACGCTTTTCAATGCGGTGAATCACGATGTCACCATCGTAAATCTCGTCCTCTTCCTCCTCCTCCTCGTCCTCGGTGCTGAACTCGACGAAGACCCTGGCCGGCGGTTCGGAGAATTGCGTCGGCGTGCGGCCGACGTCGTGCGCCTCGATTTGCAACTCGTACGAACTGAGCAGCGGCGCCATCGTCGTGGTCGAGCCCTCCTTGGGGCCCATGTTGACCAGGTCGTCTTTGCCGTAGGGAGGAAGCAGCAGCAGAAGCAGTTCGCCGGTTTGGGGAACGACGACCACCAGGCCGGTGGGACCGGACACAAGTCGGTACGCCACCTTGTCACCGTCGGCGTCTCGGGCAGTCACGGCGCCGATCGTTGAAAACCTGCGGTGGGCGAAAGAAGGAAATCAGTTTCAAATTCTGTGGGTCTTGACGATATTATTAATTTCATCCAACAAAACCAGAATTTAAAACAGTTTTAAAACATAATTTAATTTATTTCCTGGTATTGCTAACTTTGAAACTTTCACTATTACATAATCATATGATTAAATAAATTGTAAAGAATATTTCTTTATTTAAAGGAATTATAATTTAATGTTCATATCAGTTGTTCAAACTATTAGAAATTCTAGCTGTTTTGGCCAACATGTAGACAATAATTAAATTTCAATCTGTTTCTTCTTCATGCAATTCAATTCTGTCTATGTTAAATATTATATTTTTGGTAAAATAACATTAAAATTTAAACGTTTACAAAACACAACATAAATTAAACATATTATAAAAATTTTATTTGTTAAAAAGTTACAAATCCTGACAAATTATGAGAAATATAAAAATTAAAATTTATATAAAATGTTAATATTTAAATTGACACATGGTTCTATGCAATATGAATAATGTAAATTTTTTATATGAAAAATATTCCTCTTTATCTTTTCTTATAATAAGTTAATCGCTTTTGAAATCATATCAAAGAGTCTAAAAAACAGAAAATTATTGAAAAACTAATTTAAAATTTTCAATTAATAATTATTATTTACAAATACTTTTAGCAAAAAAAAAATGACAAAGTTCATAGAATTTGAGCTTACCTGGTTGCATTCTTGGGCACTTTGAAGTGGTAGGGCCTCTTGGGGAATCTGGGCGCGTTGTCGTTGGCGTCCATGATTTGAACACGGATTTTGGTTGAAGCAACGTCATCAGCGGGGTCGAGCAAGTCATCGACAGCCTTGATAGTCAGCCAGTACTCGTCCTTCTTCTCCCTGTCCAGAGGTCTGGCAGTGACTAGGCGCGGGAAGTTGTCCTCCGTCTGCTCTAGCATGAAGGCGCCATCCTCGTTTCCGGACGCGATGGCCAGTCGGATGTGCGAGCTGCTGGGGTGGCGCAGCGACCTAGGTCGGAGGGTGTCCGCCGGCAGACCTTTGACCACCGTGCCCTCAGGGGCGTTCTCCTCCACGTAGGCCGCGTCGACGGCCTCGTGGGCGAAGTGCAGCCTCCGCCGGGCGTCCAGCACGTGGACGCGGACGGTGTGGCGGACACTGGAGCGCAACTCGACGTTGGCTTCGTTGTTTTCCTCCGGTTCGGTTTCCTCGACGACGATCAGCGTGATGGGGCGGCCACGCAGGGCGCTCACGTCCGTCGTGGTCATCAGCACGCCGTCCTCCATGACGGCGAAGTACTGCGAGTGTCCGGTGTCCAGCAGCCGGTAGCTGCTGTGGCGGTGGTCGTGGTGCGGAAAGTGGACCACTTCGAAGCCGGGCCGCACGTCGTGCGAAACGACCACGAGCGACTCGTCGCGCGTCGCCGACGACTCGCTGCCGCTCATCACGTGGTTTGTGTGCAGGCTGCTCAGGTGGCCGCTGGCCGCGGCGGCCAGCAACGCCAGCACCAGCAAAGGGGCCATCGCGGTGGCCGAGTCTATCAAACGGGCAAGGCGCATTGCACTAGTTCGCTACTCACTCTCTCGCTGCGATCACTAGGCTCCGTTTTACAAATCCATCGGTGCCACCGAGAATTTCTACACCTCCTCGTCCTCCTCTGAAACACACAAATTTTGGATTTTTAACATTATTCAGTCGAAGTTGGAGAAGTTGGGAAAGAAATTATTTACTTTTTTTATGAGAACCAATTATCTCACATAAATTTAAACTTAATGCAGTAGATTTGTAAAATAATAAATTTAATAATCAAATTTGATCACCAGCATACACCATTTAATGTTGAATAATTGATTCCGATGATTTGAGGCAGTTTACTATGACTGATCTTTATACATTTTCAATATGAATCAGGATTTTTTTTATTTAATAAAGGATATAGGAAAATATTTAATTTGCCAATAAAATATAAGAAATTTTGATTTAAACAAAAAATATAATAAAATGCCATAAGTATTTTAATAAATTTAACAAATTCAAATATTAAATTAAATTTTTTATTATTAGTAATGTTAAATTTTTTGAATTTAAAATAAGCCATTTTTTATGATTTTAATTATTTCTTTTCTTCAATTATTCATGAGTTATCAAAAATACAATGTAACTAATAAAAAAATGAATAGCACAATTTGAAATATATATTTTCACATTGAACATTGAAGACAGCATAAATTGAACCAGCCCTGACTTCCAGATACTACTTATTCGCGGTATTTGCATCGCTTAATAAAGAACGCATCAGGCGCAACAAATAAATAATTATCATTTGCATCACGGGAAGAGGAGTAAAATCTCTGCAGATCTCTTTGCTCTCTCGCTTGTCAAGGGTTTGTTTTATGTATAGGATGCGAGCGTATAAAGCGGCCTATTGTTCTGCACTCGCAGACCGTTCAATCGGCACAATTTCCTTCACTTGGTTATGTGCAAGCCATGAATATGCATACAAGCGAAATGAGGTGCTACAGATTCAGAATTTAGACTTTTTGCGACCGGCAGAGGAGATTAATAGCCTTTGGGCACTGCGGCACCACCCATGTGCGCCAAATCTGTCAAATATCAGACAGATGGATGGATTCAGCCCGACGGAAAGTGGTGCTGGTCAATGACGAAAAGGAGTGAAAGAGATGGGAAAAACAAAATCAGAGGGCGAAAGACGGTCTACAAAAAATAATCATTAATACCCTGCAAACTTGTCAATTCGTCACAGTAACGAAATTTGTTTAGTTTTTCTAAAGAATTTAGATTTTTACTTTATTCCTATTTTTATAAAAAAAAATTCATCAATTCATATGAAAAAAACCGTAAAAGAATTTATTAATTTAAGAAAATTAATTGTAGTTCCAAAGCAAAATTTCAATACTTAACTTTCATCTTTGCCAATTTTTAATTAATTAAAAGATGGTATCTCAGTTTTTTTGCCACTCCTGTTCTTCCTTTTAATTGGACCACCTCTTGTTTGAGTAAGAAAAACAAGCATGAAACGTGCGATAATTGAGCGCAGGATCAAACAGGCGAGCTAATGAAATTCCGCACGGTAGCAAAACGAGGTGTAATGGACGTTTCATCAGACAAGACCTGCGAGCGTGAGACAAATTGTACTTTAATTCGGGTGACGTGTGGCCGGTGAATTACAAATAATCGCTCCTTTTCTTTAACACCCGAGCCTTATTTGGCGTCAATTACACGCTGAACAAAGCGTTCATTCCTTCCTAATGATATGCACGCTGATTATTTATACACCGACTGGGTGGCATCTGAGCCGCTTTAATTCCGGCTAACGCACTCGCCCTACCAGCAATTTATATTCTGAACAGCGGTCGATTTATTAAACAAAGAGCTGCAAACAAACCAGCTCCGATACCGCCAAAGAGAGGCACGCACTGAATTGGTATTAACTTGCTCGATCCAATCTTAAGCACAAACAAAGAAGATGAAACTGGATTTTGAACAAAAGGTTTGGATTCTGACCGCATCATTATTTTAACGAGGAAGAACTAGTTTTGGGATAAAAGAATAGAAGAAGAAAATTCAAATTTTTATAAATTAAGGGTTTATAATTTAAAACTTTTAATTATTAAAAATTCTTTGGTTGACTTTAAATAAATTTAACTTTTTCCTCAACATCAATAAATCACGCAATTATTTCTAAATTTGATCCATGTGGATTCAACACAGCAGCCTGTAATTAAATCGATTAAATTTTCTGATTAATAGCCTTACAAAATCCGCACAGCGGCCATTACGGAGAAAAAACTCCATCTCTGTTCTTAGATCAGATTAAATTAATTAATAATTTACGCCACGGTGCCTTGGTATGATAAATTTGCAACATTAGCATTGGCTCGATTTCCGAAGCCGTTTTTCACGCTGCGTGCGTAGGGGTTAATAAAATATAAGAGCGGATCATTAATGCGTTGCCGGAGCCAGAAATCAGTGCGAGCGCAACGTGAAATGTAATTTATCAGGGTAATAAATTAAATCACAAAAATTCTAGACAGGCACAAAAAAGAGGCGGCACGCGGCGCCGGTCATCTGTGCCGGTTAATTTTTATTCGAAGCGGTAGCCGAACAAATAAAAATATATACTTCCCGCGGAGATCAACTTGGTTAAAAATATTTCGTATAATGTCGAGTAATGTGTAAATGAGGAATTTTCATGGTGCCATTAACAAGATTATTACAAGCAGAGTGGGAATTTAAAAAAAAACTCGTTTCACCTGAGTGATTTTGAACCTCTTGTACTTTTAATCAAGAAGTGTCTGAGGCATAAATAGCATTTTATTTAAATATAGCCCTCTTGTAGTGTTTACGACTCTCTCGACGCGTCTCCTTTCTTTGTATTTATTTCCAACGCAGCCAGTTCTTCTTTCTTAACCAAGGTCGCGGGTAGTAAAATTGTACTTGAGAGTGAAGACGAAGAAAATTGTATAATCGAATTATGGAGATTAGAGATTCTTTGACCGGTGCACTGGACGCTTTTTTATTTTACAACTGAAGAATAATAAAAAAACCGCTGACCTTTGAACAAAAAAATTCCGAACATTACTGGTACGCTGAAAAGGAAAACGTGCGTGCAGCGTCTGCGTGCGTGAAATTCGTTTAAATTGAAATTATGTTTTACGACCAAATTAAATTTAATAACTAAATGAATAGAAGAAGTTTTCTCTGGTGATGCGTATGAATTGATTTCTCAAGGTAATGGTTTCTGGGAAAATATTTTTCTTGGAATCTTTTAAAAAATGATTTAATTTTCCTAGAAATTGACACATTCACTTAATTTAAATGTCCAGGTACAACATGAAAGGATCTAAACGATAAAAAAAATTGTTAAATTTGCAATTCGTTAAATGAGCAGAGCAAAAAAATCTGACAAGAAAGAAAACAAGCCTGCAAAAATGCAAATTGCGCTCTTTCGTGATTCCTCCTTTTTTCACGCAATATTTCACGAAATGCTCTCTCCAAAATTATAGAGTACTCAGTCGTGCTCGCGCCGTAACAAACCGCAATGAATTTTTAATAACAGACGCACCCGCAGAAAAACAGCCGACAGACACGGTCAGCGCTAATTTTTCAATCTAGATGCAGAGCAACAATTGCCCGGAGGCGAATAAAAAATCAGCGAGCAAAAGGTGGGCAGTGATTCCTTTTTTCTATCTTGCCCAGCATCACAGCTCATTAAAATAATTACATAATTACACGCGGCGTGTTGGTGGCCGGAATGAATACATAAATATTGGGAAGGCGCGAGAAAAGAAAGGCGGCGGAGAATCAATTTGAGAGTTTTTATCTTTGGGAAAAGAGCGGTCGATTGTTATTCGGATGAGAATCGACTATTAATTATTTTTGTTGGAGATTCTGACAAACTGATTGTGTCCACCTTTTTTCATGCTAATGAAAAGGCAGTTGGATTTTATTCACTTATTGATTTATTTTAAAATGCTTAAATATTTATATTCATAATTTAATTATATATCGCAAAATAAAATGATTCTTTTGAAACTAGTATACCATCGGAATAATGATTGTGTTCTGACATTTTCCCACAAATATTAATGCTCAGTATGTACACAAAGTAATAACGTATCTTGATAAATCGAAATGAATAGTGTTTTATAAAAACAAAATGAGAAATTAAATAATAACTTCTAAAATAATTTTAATTTTAATTTTAAATTAGAAAAAAATTCTATTTTATTTTGGCAATACAAATTATAAACCAAATTTAGAAAACGGCCAATAATCTAGCAGAAAAGTTTGTGCCTAAATCATTAAATCTTAGAGCCAAAACTGATAACTACAGAACCAATCCAAGAAAAAAGTAATCAAGCTAATGGACTAAAATCCAACTCTCTGGATCTGGACAAGTTTGGTCTCATGAGTTTTGCGTCCAAATAACGCATACGGGGAGGCCGTAGGAGGAAATTCATTAGAAAACTCGGCGCTGCTTTCTTTGTTCTCCCCAGCAAGTGAAGCTGAAAATTAATAATTAAGGCTCATAAATAATGAATCGAGAAACGCAGGCAGGTCTGCACAATGGATGCTGGCATTGCTGGCAGGTCGATCGGTATCGAAAGAGAGAGATGGGCGGGGTCCTTCCTTTCAGAGATGCTGCGCGCATCTCTTCCTCTTTTCTGATTTCCATCGAGTCTCTCGCGCGGTGTTGTTATTGAACGCGTTATTTCTTTTCTTTGCTTCTTCTGCATGTGGTGCGCGCTCAACACGCCTTTCCCAAGCGCTGTACACGCAACTCTTTAATGTTCCTGACACGAGATTAGCATCTTTCCAGTGATCAATACAAAGAACGAGAAGCAGGACTCGTTTTATCTGCTCCAAAACAGCCCACACCGCGAGAAATTTAATTAGGAACGTAAAAGTGGCGATTCATTGTTTTGAATTTGATCTTTCATCTCTGAATTTGCACAGAAATAAATTTTGAACCTCCACCGATTCTTGGAACATTTTAATTGCTGTATATTTTCCTATAATATTCTATTGAAGATTTTTTCATGCGTGTTTAAATGAAATTAATTTTAAGTAAGTTTCTCATTTTATTTGCATGCCAGTTTTTTTTTTATCAAATTTGGCTTCCAGGAAATGTGTAATTAATTACGATACTTTCAGAGAAAGGAAACAAAAAATAAACATTTTTGTCAGTCTCATAATGAACAATCGATGCATATTTACAATTTTTTCCTTCACATTAAAAAGTTAACGCTTGTCACGTTATTTTGATACTTTTTCTACGAAAACGAAAATGGCAAAAGCCATCAACCCAAACAAGTTTAAAATGCAATCTCCGCACCGTCTGATTTTACGAGCCGGTCGAAAAATATAATAATGTAATCATCTCCGACGAGTTGTTCGTTTTTATTTTCCATCATGTTCACGCATCATTCGGTTTCAGCCGAAAACGCGCGCGCCCGTGTTGGAGTCACGTTATTATATTGTTTGAAAAGGCACCCATTCGCGATTCCTATCTATAAAAAGGAGTATAAATTTTCTCCTCCTGCTCTTCTTTGAAAATATTTCCAAGAAACTAACGAGAAAAGGCAAAACACAAAGCACAGTCAAGTATCGAGAGCGAAATCAGATCGGAGGTGTCACGCAGAAAGGTCTCTATTAGGTGATACAAAAAAAAATACCTGACAGGTGGGTGCACCCTGTGGGAATGTTTAAGAAAGAGGACCTGGATGTTGTTTCCTTGATAAGAATGCCGCGGCCGTATCATCGAACTGGACTGGAATTTGACGTGTCTGTCCTTCGGGCATTTGAATTTTAAATTAAATATGAGACCTTTTGTACAAATGCGCTCTTTTATCGGCGGCAGGAGAAAAGGACGCGATTAAAGTAAGTGGTAGAATTAAAAGGTCTTTTATTTAAGACACTCGCTCTGATAATATGCAAATCAGCAGGGTGCATTTTTACTTCATATCGTGTGGACGTCAATTTGATCAGATCATCGTTTGATTTGTGCTTCGTGAGGCGGAAAAAGGATGTATAAAAGTTTTTATTAGAAGTAAAACATAATTTAAAAAAAAAAAATTATAATTTTCTGGATATTTATATTTATTTAATATGAAAAAATAATTTTTATAAAAATCAAAATTAATATTTTTTACTTAGGGACCTGAGGGCTTGTGTGAATTGTTTTATGAAACCAATCATTGTAAGAGTTCTACACGTTTTAAATTCTTCAAAAGGTACCGAAAAATGGGGCACGTTGAAATTTTTAATTCCATAATTTTGATGAACAATTCCTTTGTAAAGTCCTCAAACAGATATATGCGAAACTCTAAATGATTGATTCCCTAAAAATAATTCCTCTGAAGGTCTTGAGGGTTTTAATGGAAATGTTCATTTACTTTTTTTATTATGTATATTTATTTAAAATAGTGTAAATTTTTTTGATTCAAAAATATTTTTTTTTTTTTAAATAACCTAAATTCAAAATTTAATTTCATATACAGATTCCCTAAACAGATTCGGATTTCTGTTAAAAAAAAAATTATTTTTTCCATTTAAAACTTAAATCTACGTAAAATATCTTTTGAAAAATTGAAACAGAAACTGGAAATACTTCTATAAATTACAAAAATAAAACACACTCACGCTTAAAAAAATTAACAATTAACAATATTTTCATTTAAGTTCTTTCAATATTTTGCTAACATTTTAAATCTACATAAATTACAAAAAAAAATAGAAACTTTTATTATTAAATTATTTTTATATTAGAAACTATATATTTTGCTAAGTCTTTGTTTAAATTTAAAACACTACTGTGCATGATTCACCGCCACTTTATGTAAAATCAAGATGCTCATCGAGGCAAAAAATCAATGCAGCACAAGCCAGAGAGCTGCATCTCGAGAGTGGCCGGCACTTTCTGTTCTGCTCATCACACGCGGTTAAATAAGCTCCGCACCGAAGCACACGGAAATTCGCAATATACACGACCTTGGAATTATAATTTTTTCCTTCATTTTAAAAATTATAAATTAAATGTATTTCATAATTTTCTAGCTCGGCGTGTGATTTTGTTTTGCCACTTCCACTTATCAGCACGTCAAGCATTTATGCCGGCGAGAGATAAGCGGTTGGTCTTGGACTATTAATAAAAGTCACGGAGACAAATTCTAAAAATCGTTGGAATTTCCAATTAAGCGGCAAAACACCCCTGGTGTATCGCAGGCAGAGGTTTCCCGCAACATCTGGCGGCCAAATGTCCGACGTAAACACCCCGGCCGCCCTTTTTTGTCAAATTCCCGGCATTTATAAATCCGGCTCTTTTTAATTTTCAGTTCAAAATAATAAGAATTACATCATTTCTAGGACCAAAAAATCAGCGCCAACCCTCAATGGACGGAACGTGCGTCTCCGCCCACCCCTACCACCCCTAACCCTGCCCTTTCCGCATCTCACCCTTGAAAGACAAAATAAATACCAAACTGGCACTGGAACTTTGCAGCTCCGACATAGTTTGTAAAGCAAAATGGTAAAATTTTGGTCCTTCCGAGGGTTGAAAAGAGCCCTTCGCGAATCCCGAACCCTCTGTTCGTGTCTTGGGGTAAAAATCAATACCCTCGCTCGCTCCGACTCCGGCCGCTTGGCGCATTCATCCACTCCCACGGCTGTCGAGACCCCAAACCTTACCCCTTCGAAGACCCCATTTCAACCCCTGAAGGTTCGTCTCCACTTGAGACCCCTGCAAGTCCCCAATTGTGTGGTTCCCGGCTAAAAAAGGGGGCTGGTTCAGCTGTCAATGGGTCGATTTTGGTCTCGATTCGAGGCCTCGGGTGGTTTTTTGAGGGAGCACCTGGGCTCGGGAAGCAAGTTGAGACGCCGGTGGTACTTACTCGGAAGCTGCTAGTCCGAATTTTCACTCAGGAACACAGACACACAAATCACTCACGGGAATCACTGCCCATTCAGAGTTTTAACACAATCCATATGAGCGCTGCAGACGCTGGTCCATCACTCACTGCGGTCGCCCGCTCTGTTCTCGCAGCCCCGGCAGGCCCCCTTCCATACGCGGCCCACGGTTCGGCGCTCACGTCACTGCCCAGACGGCCACAAGAGGCAGCACCGGCAAGTCGGGGGTGAAATAAATTTTACAAAAATATATGATAATCTTCTTTACAATTTTCAACTTTTATTTATTTTTTTTTATTTGTCCAAATTGTTACATCTCATTGTTTACATACAACTTTTATAATACAAACTAAAATAAAAAATTAAATATTACATTATTATTTGAAAATTGTAATTATGCTTTAATAATTTTAGTTGAATATTATTTAAAAAATTAATTGATATTTTACGGATTAAATATAATTTTTTTAGTTATTATTTTCTTGTATTATTTTACAGTTTAATTTTTTTATTAAATTATGTATTTTCATTTGATATGATAAAAATTTATTGTTTTTGTAAATAAATAAATTTAATCTAATTTTAAGTCTTTAAATCGTCAGATTATTAAAATTATATCTAAAAGTTGATAGATCAAATTTTAAATAAAATGCTAGTTTTATAACAAATTTTCTTTTTATTTTTGAAATTTTCGCAGTCCACAATGTCACAATTATTAATGACTAAATAAATACATCCATATCTTCGATAATTATCATTTTACCTTTGTCCTAAGTAAGGCGGACGCCAGGATACTGATAAATTTAATCATTATTAGTATTTAGAGTTACATCAAATTATGTTGTTATACAGTCTTAAGATTACAATTCTTACTAGTTCTAAAAATCGAAAATTAAATGCTTTGTAATTTTATGTATCTAAACTGCCTAAAAGAGTAAAAAGTTGAAAAAAAAAATGTAAACCAGAAATGGACTTTTTTACATTAAACATGAGATGAAAATTAATCTTGGCACAAAATTTTAATTAGAATTGTTCTAATTGTTTAAACTCCAACAGTCAGATGTAATCAGTCTTTTATACAAAAATTGTTTTCCCAGAAACAATAATTACATGATGACCTTTCGGCGCATTTGGGAGGCCAGGGCTGGAGCATTAGTGAACTTGATTGGAATCACCCTTTCGAGAGGCTTGTCGATCTGCAACAACAACAAAATCTTTAGTAAAAAAAGCAATTAATCAATTAAGAGTGAAGTAAAACATTCTAAAAATATTGTTAATTTTTTATTAATTAAATTTAATTACCTTAGGAGCGTGGATTTTGAGTTGTCCATCGGCAGACAGGCTAACTTGAGACCTGTCCATGTCGATGTCCTTGGGCAGTGTGAAGCGCCGAATGAAGTGTCTCGAGATGAATCCGTGCTCGTCCTCCTGCTCCTCGTGCTTGCCCTCGACGGTCAGGGTGCCCTCGTCGTCGGTCGACACCCTGATCTCCTCGGGCTTGAACTGACGGACGTCCAACTTGACCATCAGGCCGTTGTCTTCGTAGGTGACGCCTTCGAGCAGCGAGCGCGGGCCAACGAGTGTGTCCTTGCGGACGACGGGCTCCACGGCGCCGGTTGGCTTTTCCTTCTGCTGCTTCTCGCTTTCCTCCACAAGCCCTTGGGTCAACGGGATGACCACGTCGTTCAAGAATAGCATCAGGGCAGACATTTTCTGTAATAAGAGGATAAGAATATAAAAATTAAACTTTCAAGCCCCAGCCGAGAAATGTTATTGAATGAGCACAACAATTTATAAATTAAATGTTAAAACTCACGTTTTGAATGTTTGTGTTTTTCTCAGAAATTCCAAATTCGGTTGTGATAACGCGAAGCAAACTGATAATTAGAAAAGCGTTCTTCGACCGAGAGCTCCTTTACAATGCGTGCACTGCGTTGTGCGACTGATGAATGTTTGGCCTGCCGATGCGGCTGCTCTGCTTATATATCAGTTGTGACGTCACAAGGGTTTTCTTCCAGTACCGACTAGAACCTTCCCTTAAAACATATGAAATTTCCTGAAAGTTCGCGATGACTCCAGAAACTACAGAAATCAGAATTTTTATTTTCAATTTATTTTAAAACTTATACTTTGTTTTTTTTTTCGTGCCGCACGCAAATTTTTGTTGTGATGTATAATTTAATTTTTGATAACACTGTTTTTTTAACTAAACGCTTAAGGATTTAAGGATTTATCATATATATTGAAATCTAATTAATGAAAACTGTTCTTCCAGCCTGTCAATATGACTCATTGTCAGTAAGACCTAGTAAGATTAAAATTAAATTGAAATAATTATATAAGTTTATAAAGTTTATTGTTTTAATTTTTTTTACTTAAATTCAATGTTAATATTATTACAAAAAAATTATTTGCTTCTCTAAGAAGAGTTTAATGAAACGCAATATAAATAGTTATGATATTAAAATAAAATATTAATTTATTTTATTAAATTTATAAGAAATAATTTTGAAATAAAGAACATAAATTTTTGTTTTCAGATTTATAAAATATATTGTAAATGATTATTTTTAGCAATTAATATGTAAAAAAAATATTGTTGTTATATCTTTATAAATTGTTTTTATATTTTATATTACTTTCAAGAGGCATATAAATTATAAATGCGAATCAAATTTTGCCTCCTACACGACACGCCCTCCCTGACCTTCACTTTCGCTTTCACCGGGCGCAGATGTTTTTGGAGAGAATCAAAACACGCCCGTACCAGGTGTGATCTGCAGCCGAGATTTTGACGATTTTTTTAATGAAATTCGTGTTTTTTAGTGCCAAATTTTGAAGCAGGGATTAATGTCTTTCTCGTGAGCAATTTTTTGCGATCGGCAAAGATGTTGTCGTGGATTAAGCGGCTTTTTTTCGTGCTGATCTGTCAAGCCCTGTTGCGACCGGCGACGGCCGCTTTCAACTTTTCCAGCCTCGATTTACCGGAGGAGCATTTGCCGTTTTACTTCAAAACTTTCCCGAGCGTCGCTGAAGAATGCAGAGGAGACCCTGACTGCCCTTTTAAGGTACATAAAATTCACATTTGAAAATTCGCTAAAGCAACACCGGATGACGTGTTTTACTAGAAACACCCACTCGAATCTTGAATTTTGGCGTTCCATTCCAAATTAGGAAATTTATTGAGTAAGAATAATAAAACTTTTATTTACTATTTAGGATGTTTCTTAAATATTGAAGAAAAAAATTTTGTGTTTTCCATTATTTATTTTATATATTTACAAAATTATTAATGTAATTATTAAAATTTTCCAGAACCAACTAGATAAAAAGGTCTGCTGGGGCTATGAGCCTGACTGTCAGTTGGAAAATGCATTCCAAACACCATCCTGCCCAGGAGACCACAAAGGCTGGGTCAAGTCCAAAGAAGCCCAAATTAAAGCTTTCTATACACAAGCCGACTTTGGATATCTCAAGGAACAAGACAAGCAAATTAAAATCTTGTGCGAACCTCTTTTTAAGGTATAGATTTTTTTTATTCATTCATTCTCCTTTTACAAAAAAGATTTTCTTTTAATTTGTATCTATTTATTGATATATATTTATACATTATAAATTGCAGGAAGACTCTGCCCTTGAGTGCAGTGACCACCTTCGATTTTGTCGAGGCAGAAATATTATGATAAATTTTACTCAACTGGCCCTCCAGCCGGCCAGGTATAAAATGGACGTACTGAAACCTGGTCAAATAGGAGGGTATTGCACGTAAGGACTTACAAGAAATTATTTGTAATTTTTTCTTTTATTTAAAAACTTTTCTTTAGATTACATGAGGCTCGAATGAAAGAGAACTTGGATCACCTCAGTCCTTTGCAGTCGTGGGCACCAGAAATGAGGAATTTCGAAAGAATTCTTCAAAGACCTATCCAGAATGACCTATGTGACATTGTGATTGAAAAGCCAACCTACATTCTTAAAATTGATGCTGGTAACACTATTTAGTTTTCCTTTCAACTAACTATAATACTGATATGGATGATTTTTATTTTTCAAGCTGTCAACATGTACCACCACTTTTGCGACTTTTTCAACTTCTACGCATCTCTGCACTTGAACTCGACCCACCCTGACGCATTTTCAACCGACGTCAACATCGTAGTTTGGGAAACCTACCAATACCAATCTGCCTTTTCGGATGCATTCAAGGCGTTCACTCGAAACCCAATTTTAGATCTGAATTCATTCAGAGGAGAGGTCGTTTGTTTCAAGTCAGTGGTGTTTCCTCTCCTGCCTAGAATGATTTTTGGGCTGTTTTACAACACCCCCATTGTAAGTAACACTGAAAAAACGAAGGGTGGAATTTTCTAGAATTTTTTACTCTTTGCATCTTTTAGGTATACGGATGTGAAAATAGTGGCCTCTTCAAAGCCTTCTCTCAGTTTATGCTGCACAGACTGAAAATCCCAAGAAGAGACTCCGAGTATTTTGAAATTGATGACGGAAAGGAAGATGAGCCTGAGAAAATCAGAATCACAGTCCTTTCGAGGAAAACGGCTTATCGTCAAGTGTTGAATGAGGAGGCGTTGCTTGAGAAACTTAGACAGGATGATAAATTTATTGTGAAAAAGGTATATTAACCATAATTAACTGTTAAACCGTGTTAAACCAAAGTTTCATATTATTAAATTATAGGTGGAGTACAGTAGGAAGATTCCATTCCCTGAGCAAATAGCCATGACGCATAACTCGGACATTTTCATCGGCATGCATGGTGCTGGTCTTACTCATCTCTTGTTCCTTCCTGACTGGGCCGTCCTTTTTGAAATGTAAGTTAATAATAATTTTTTGTTTTGTTTTAAAATTAAATTAAATTTTTTTCTAGTTATAATTGTGAAGATGAACACTGCTACAAAGATCTGGCCAGACTGCGAGGAGTAAAATACATGACTTGGACAAACAGCAGTGCTATGAATCAGCAGGATGAGGTAAATGCAGAAATTTTGAATAAATTTCAATTTATTTTGCATACTTTCATTTAGGGTCACCATCCGGACGGTGGAGCTCATGCCAAATTTACTAACTACGAATTCGACCCAGACGAGTTTGTCAAAAAGGTCAACGAGGCTGCCGAGCATGTTAGTTCTCACAAATCGTACTTAAAGTACTTACAAAAAATTAAATTGAAGCATCCTGTGAATGCTAGTGAGGAAAGCGTTGAGCCTCAAGAAAATGAGCTCTCTGAAGAGCCCGAATCTAAAATTAATGTTGAATTGCAAGATGAACATGATGAGCTGTGATTTTTTAATCGTCAACTAATAATTATCGAACAAATGCTTATTGCTTATTAGTATTAACAAAAAGGCTGCTAACTGTAAAACTGCACAATTTTTGGTGATTTTTATACATTGTTAAAATTTATTGTTCAATGCGCAATAAAATATTGGAAAAAAATTAATCAGTTTTATTAAAAAAAAAAAAAATGAATTTCCTCAACTATTGTTTTCGAAATTATTTAATTAGCTGATTCTCATTTTTTTTTAACCAGAACTAGGATTAAAACAGCTCGAGTTAAAATATTATAAAATTGGCACTTTATTGAGATCGCTCAGATAACACGTCTACCGTTAAATATATATTAAATATAACCTTGAACACATAAATGCTTCTTGTCAAGAATGCAATAAAAATCTCACCAGAATTTGAATTTGCATCTGTTCAAATACAGTTTATAAATGGTGAATGTGGTGAGGAACATGTAGGTGCTAATGATGAAGAGACTGCCTAAGGGTGCCACATAGAGAGTGGGTACGGACAGGTTGATGACGCCAGTAAGGAGGTTGGCCAGCAGAAAGAAGGCCAGGCTGTTGTAGTTGATGGAGTTGAGGATGGTGGGCATGTAGACGTGGCCGTTGCACAGCACTCCAAGGGCAGAAGAGACGATATGGACAGCGACAAACAGGGCCAGCATGGTGCCGCCAAAACCAAGCATCCATGCAATGTAACTCAGGTTGGCGATTCTTCTAGAAGGGGGAGCAGACAAAAGGGCCACTAACCACATGGTGGCACTCAACGAGGACACTGTGGCCAGGCAGTTGATGCTTTTGTGCGCGGGTTTAGTGTGAAGCCACTGGCCGAGGGCCACGGCCGCCTGGTGAAGCGCCACATAGCCAGGAAGAGAGCAAATTCCTTCTCTGTGAACAAAAATTTTGGCACATTATTTTAAAATTTTCTTTGTATGAAAATTTTAGGAATTATGTATTTTTGATATGATTAAATTTTAAATTTTTTAATGATAAAAATAATAATTTGTACAGTAAAATTGTTATTATTAAAAAATTTAAGCGGAATTTTTGTATTCAATAAATCACAATAAATTTTTTTTATTCTAGCTTTTAATTTTAAGAATAACTATAAGCAATGATGAAATTATTATTACTAAAGGATTATTCATTTGTAATCATAGTTTGTTCAACTTTATACCTATTGGCCAAAAACAAATTATCTCTCGGAGCAGTGGAGAGCAGGAAGTCAGTCAGCCCTTTCTGCAACAGCACTTCATGTCCGACAACGCAAATCAAGGCCCAGAAAATGGGCCTCTTGTAAATCTTGAGCAGCAAAGTGCTGAGGAGTCTGGTGAACGCCAAGGTGACGAAAAAATTCCAGTGCACTCCGTACTCGGTGACGTGTTGCTGGTACTGCAGCCACCAGATGGAGAACCATCTGAGGAAGCCGAGGAAGAGCATCGGAAAGCAGCCCTTGGTGGTCTTCCGCAGGGCGACGGGCTCATTTCTGGCGACCGGATCCACCAGTCCATTGGCCAGGATGAAAAGTCCGACGCCAGTGTCCATCAGGCCCCAGCCGAAGGTCTCAGTCTTGGCAAAGCGTCGAGGGAATGACCGGAAGTCGACGGCCAAAATGCAGACGGCGGTGATCAGGTTGACGGTGCCTCGAAAATTGGTGATCACCAGAGAGATGTCGAGGTGTTTGTTCAGGTAGCTGAAGGTGACTAATTTTCTTTTGGGGCTGTAGTTGTACAGGACAAAGACGGAGAAGGAAGTTAATAGAGAAAAAACAGTCAAACTGACCGAGATGCTTTCCGAAAGGACGGTAGCGTTCAAAACTAGTGGCATGACCAGCACAAAGAATTCGATGAGGAACGAGTTGCGGGTGACGTTGATTAAAATAATGTTCAGGCAGTTGGACAGAATGGTGAGCACGGCCGTCGGCAAGATGACCAGCACGGTCTCCCAGGGCGTCGTGCCTGTGTTGTTTTGCATGAACGACTCATGCAGAATTTTGTACGCCTTGGCGTCCATCGTCCTGGCCGGTCAGTCACGCTGCAATGTCATTAATTACTGTTAATTTACCAGCAAGAGCAAAATGCACAGCAACACAGAAAGTCATAGAACACAGCTGAAAAGGAGGCGTGGTTGTACTTTGTGCTTTGCAGCGATGTAAGAGATAACGAGAAAGGCAAATAATTATCCAGATACGACTGGCATTAGTTGAGAGAAAAATGACTAAATAAGAAATTTGAGGCAAATTAAGCTTTAAATAATCCATTATTGACTTTATTGTGTCTTTAAAAGTAATTTTTTATTATCAAAACAATAGTTAACCTGAGAAATATTTAACTTCTTATCATACACTCTAATATCTTTTTCTATTCTGCCACTAGGTGGCGCGAATGCTGCAAACAGGAAAATGAATTTCGTCAATTCGCCGTTTCTGTGGCCTCCGTGTCTGTGGGAGCGAGGCGCGAGAAATTCCGATCCCACAATCCGAATAACAAGAAAAATTGCTAAAACTGAAACTTTGCAATCACAAATTAGAAAATTTTTCTGGCAAAATCAAAATGTCCGATGTTACCAGAGCCGTGATTGTCATCGGTGGGCTGTGTGTTGTAGGAACTGTGGCATATTACATGGGAAGGAAGAGCAACATGCAAATTATCAGTGCGCCGGCAAATGGTAAGTTTGCCACCAAAGATCAGGTTACAAGAAATAATGCAGAGTCGGCAGCGTCCCCTAGAAGCGAGATTGCTGTTGATACTGAGGATGATGAAATCGCCGAGGTTCTTTTCTTTCCTGACGTGGGCTATGCGTGCAACGATTTCCTCTTCAACCCTACTGGCTGCAGAAATGATGATCTTTGCCTATTCCTGCATGAACGCACTAGTCTAGGGTATATAATTATTTATATAGCTTTAATTTTACTAGGAAGGATGAAAACAAGGAGATTTATACAAAAAGAAATTTAATTCACTAATTTATTATTATTGCTGAACAATGTGGATAAATAATTAATTAAAAAAAAAACAATAATAAATTTGTGAATACATTTTTGTCTATGTAACATTCATGTTCTAAAAAAGGAACGAGCAATTAAATATTATTCTGATGATTTTGAATGATAATTTTTACAATTTTTTCAGATCCATTTGTGTCTACCTTCAAGCCGCTGAAATAAGCATAAATGTCTGCATGTACACTTTGAGCAGCTCTGAGATTGTGTCAAGCCTACTGTGTGCTCTGGATAATGGAGTGACTGTCCGAATTCTCATTGATTATCAGCATGCGATTACCTCAGCTGCAAATACCCTTCGGAAATTAGGAATCAGAGGTAAAATAAATAGAAGCATTAAATGCAAAATATTTGTTTTCATTAGTAGCCGGATTTCGATGTTTAGTGTTAAATACAAAAATATTCGTTTATTAAATATTTCGATTAATTTCTGATTTTACACAATTATTGTATTATATTTGCGAAAAATATTGTTACAGGCGCCCTAATTTATGAAGCAAGGTCCAACTTCATGATGCACAACAAGTTTGCCATCATTGACAAGAAAATCATCATGACTGGTTCCTTCAACTGGACCCTCCAGGGCTCGAATGGCAACTACGAGAATGTGGTCATTCTTTCCAAGAAGAAGTTGGTCCAGAAGTACTGTGAACAGTTCGAGCAACTTTGGGAGGACTTTGCCGACTTAAATGTGCCGAGCCACCCTTCTGACAACCCTGACTTGGCATTCAACCCTCTGAAGAATAAGATAGCTTGGGATGGCATTATTGTTGGCTACGAAGCTCCTAAAAAGGATGGTTTTATGAAAAGGACTCGGCCTGATGAGCCAAGTCGTAAAAGGCTTTAAGGACTTGTGAGTGGTCAATACTGGCAGTGTAATTCATACAATGATTGCATATTTACACTCAAAAGGCAATACGAGTGCCTTAAATTAACAACTGCTGACGAACTTAACTCAAGCTTTTTTGAATTTGTGCAAATTGGCCCATTTTTAATTTTTACATAGCTTAATCAAGATTTTAATTAATTTTGGAATGTGCCCAATTATTCTTATTAAGTTGGGAAAAAATGCCATAAATTTGATAAATATACTCCGAACAACTGCAATAATTATTATTACGCACTAATAATTCAATCAAAAGTTTAAGACTTTAAATGAATGTTAAAGTGATCTGACAAGAAGCACAAGCAAAAGTTTTCTAAAGTAGCAATTTAGACTTGCGGAGCACCTGAAAATTTTAAAGTAAATACGGAAAACGCTAGAATGTCCTCAATTAAGTTTTAAATTATAGGATTAAGTGCTCTCAAATAGATTTATAGCTAAAATGTTTTTGTTTCGTTGAGGCAAAACATTTTGTGTTGAGACAGGGAGATGTCAAGCGAGACACTGACTTGACCTCGATTACTACAGAATAGACTGAGCGACGTGAGCAAGTGTTTATGCTACAAAGCAGGGCTCCATGCTGTGAAGTGCAAAAACGGAATATATATAAATATGAGACTAACAGGTTCTCACGAATCAGAAGATTCATTCCTAGAAAAAGGAATACTATTTTTTTTAACAATATTTTCCCGCAAAGGGCGAGAAGACGGAAAAGAATCTTTTTATAATCGCACCTGTCATGCAAGTTGTTTATCAAGAAAATTTGTGTGAGAAATTAAATAAATTGAAATAAAATTTAAAATCATTTAAGTAAACTCTGGATTTATCATTTTGATTCTAGGACATTGGAAGTGTCTGCAAATTTTAAAATTCGGTGGCAAAGACCCATTCGCAAAAATACCTTAATATATTCGCATATCAATTTTCTGAATCTTATTTCATGAGACAAAAATATCTCAGCAGGCGTCTGATGCATAATGGCGGCACGTATACCTATGCGCTTATGAATAAATATAGTGTTTGCGCGAATAACAAGCGCGGCGGCTGCGTGCGAGGATCAATAAAGTGCGCACAGCAAAGACGAAATTTGTTCTAAAAATAAACACACTGCATGGGAAATTTCCATTTTGGAATCGAGTTCGAATTGCTAATCAAGTGGAAGGTGCTAAATGGACGAGTGTGCATTGCTAAAGTCACGTAGACAATGTGTTTAGCTTGAAGACGTACTTCTCCCCAAGGATGGAACTAGAGATGACCGCGAAGATGATGAGGAATGAAAAGATTGAAAGTCAAGCACAATTTCATTCAATGGCAATGAGAAAAACATACTTATTGAATATTTTTTTGGATCAATTTTTTTAAATAATTTTTTAATTTTTTAATAAAAATTAATAAAATTTAAATTTAAAAAATAATAAATTCAATTTTTAATACAATTTAATTTTTAAAAAGATGAAAGCAAAAAGATTTTATTGCTGATTTGCGAGTGATTTTTCCGGATTTTTCATAAAATTGATTTTGTTTTAAATGAAATATTTTTTCTTTATTTTTTTACTGAGGTTTTAATTTAAATCAAGATTTTAAAGTACATTCCGAAAGTAACTTTTAAGGTGTGTGGCAATGCGAAATTTTGCTCCCAATGTGAAATACACTGTGAGTCGGCCTCGAATATGCGCGTCTGTGTGGAGAGTCGAGGTAAGACTTTTGCCTGTTGTTTTCCCCAGCAGTGAGAGGCTGGTCGTGACGTCATCCGATCACGCCCTTAGTCATCTGCGGTGCACGTGAACACTTGTCTGGTGTTCACGTGCGCACCGAGTGATCGGCGCGCGGCGATTGGCGGAGGCACGCCGAGCCCCCTCTTGTGATTGGCCGGCCGCCGGTGCTGCATGATCGGCCAGGGTAGCCCAGGCTGGGAGAGCGCGAGCCCTCGCTTTCTTTAGACTCGCATTGTCTGTCCTTAGCTGCCGTGCGTCCTGTCCAGTCGTCGTGATAACTCTGGGATGAGTCGGTGGATCTCTTCCACTGCTGGAGACGTTAAAGCACCGATCAGTCATTTTTCCGCCGTTGAGCTGGACACTGCGGCCGCAGACAAGAAGCGCACCTTTTGCAATTACTACAAGCAGGAGCCGCAGGAACACCACCTGACCACCCTTTTAAAGGACTCGTCTATAGCAAGGAAACTCTATTTCCGATGGACCGAGTAAATGCTGTCCAGGCACCGGGCTGCCTTTCGCCCCCGTCCACGCCACCTCTGATTATTAATGTGAGTATTTTATTTTATTTTTTGCAAAAATTTTGCACTTGCAAATTTTATATTTTTCTAAATTTCCTGTTATGTAACATGCTCTTTGGCACGATTGGTGTAAACTTATCATATTATTACTTGTTCAAATATGAAGTTCTTTAACTTCGGTTTTTGGTGTTCTCCAGTTAAGCTATTTAAATGGAGAAATTTAAATTCAAGCAAGAAATGAAATTATAAAGTAAAACGTTTGATTTACAGTTCAGAATTTTCAGAAAATTAAAAAAATTGATCACAAACAAAAGAAAAGAATTACTTTTAAAATATTAGTAGTGAAATTAATTTGGGTTTGAAAAATTAAGCAAAAAGATTTAGCTAGCTTTTCTTTTATAAAATTTATTTTGTCTTGATGCATTTTTTTTTCTTTTTGAAAGTTCATAATAAATTTCTCCCATCTGGTTTGGAGGCCAAATCGTCACAAAGCTTAATTTTACACTTCGTAGAATTGACGGTGATTTCGCGTGCGAGTGAGGCGAATGCGAATTAAAGTCGCATTTTCCCATCAAAATAGACGAAGGGGGCTTGCATCACTGCCAGGAGCGCACGGGCCTGGCATGCGTTTATCAGGCGGCGAACACGTGAACAGGCCGGGGCTACGCGCGCTAGCTTGCTCACTGTGCTGCTGATGATGAGGGAAATTGAGGTCGCACGCCGGCCTGTAGCTCCTATGGTAAAAAGCGCCGAATAATTTTTATCCACCGCCGCACACGTTAAGATACACATATTATATCACTGAGAATAAGGTGAACTGGCGGCGAGCAAAATGAAAAGCAAGGTCGATGATCTTGTTCGGATTCGACGATGAGTCAAAATGTGACTTTAAGAAAAGTCAAACCACCACTTTCCTTGTGATTCATTTAATCGATTTCTCTGGAATTTTCCGGTTGGGAAATAAAAAAATTTCCTCTTCGTGATCAGGATCAAGGAAAGGTTCCGAAAATTAGTAATTATGAAGGACCTTCATTGTAACGAATATAATAAAGGTCGTCTAGAGATAATTGTTGCGTAACCGCACTTACCGCACTCACATTATTTTTATACATTATTTTTCTTATTTTTACAATAATTTTTTTAGTTTATTTATTAATTTTATTATTTTCAAAATTTTAGCTAATCATTGCGATTTCTCGTATTTTTTCAGGAGGAAAGTTCCTCAGTCGACTTTGACGCTGTGAAGACCCTGTTGTCTTTCGGCCAGTCTGGTCATTTGGTCGCCTCCACCGCCGTCCTGCACCATGGCCTGCCGACACCGCAGCCGTCCGATTCGGAAAGCGAAGACCCTGAGCCGGCGACCAAGAAGTCGCGGCTCTCGGCGCCAGTCAACGGAGCTGAGCTTGCCAGAGTAAGTTTCGCTGTTTGTTATTTCGCCGTTCACTTTGTCGAGTTAGGCAATCTGCTCTACACTAAAATCAGACGGGTTGCATAGCCTTGCAAAACATGCTACTTTTTATTACAAAACACAACAGAAAAAAAGGCAAAAATAATACAAAAAAATGAAAAGTAAAAAATAATTATGAACTAGAAATAAATCTTTTTTAATTAGAAAAATATTTAATTCTTATGAAAAGTTTTAAATATTTAGAATGTTCAATATTTTAATAAAATCATAATTATACACTTATGTAACTTCCTGTGCAAAATTTCCCAATCTTTGTAACATTTTAATCAATGTGGCAATGTTTTGAACTCCTCAAGGTCTCAATTTTCACAAACCCATTCAGATATATTTCTTGTGCGATGGAAAAATATCTATTTTAAAACGATCGAACTTGTGCCACGAGTCTGACCTTTGGCCTTTTGTGTTTCCAGTTGCTGACGAGCGCCACTCCTCCCCAGAGTCCGACTCCGGCCGTGAGTCCGGTGCGCGTGCCCGTCATCATGCACGCCAACAAGGACGGCACCTGCCATCACGTTGCCCAAGTTCCCAAGAGCTGCGAGGGCCTGTCGAAGACGCCGCTGAACAAACTGCCTCTGCAGAAACGCATTCTGGCCAAGCTGCCGCCGAGCAGTCTGGCGCCTCAGGCCGTCTTCGCGGCGCCGCCCAGTATTAGCCAACCGGTGGCCATCGCGCCCAAACCGGACCTGCAGCAAACCACCGCCCTCATCTTCACCACCGGCGACGCCCAGGGCCAGCAACCCATGCGTCTGGTGCTCAACCCCAATTCGTTCGTCCTGCTGGCGCCGAGTTCGGCGCCGTCGGTGGCGCCAACGGCTGCTGAGAAGGAGCCAGACACCCGCCGTCGCATCTTCGAGTGCAACTTCGAAGGCTGCACCAAGAACTACTTCAAGTCTTCGCACCTGAAGGCCCACATGCGCACCCACACCGGCGAGAAGCCGTTTTGGTGCCAGTGGAAGGACTGCGGACGGTGTTTCTCAAGGTCGGACGAACTGTCCCGGCACAAACGGACGCACACCGGTGAGAAGAAGTTTGCCTGCAAGGTTTGCGGCCGGCGGTTCATGCGTTCGGACCACCTGGCCAAGCACGAGCGGCGCCACCTGAGACAGACCTCATCGACGCCCGTCTCGGCGCCACCCACCTTCACTACTCAGACCCTGGTGCTGCCCTCGACGTACCTGGCCGCTCTGAAGGCGTGAACGCGTCCAGTATTCGATCGGCATTCCACTCCGAGGACAAATTTTAGTGAATTTCGAGTCGAACTGTAGCTTCTTCGATTTACACATGCAATGCTGTGATGTTGAATTACACGTTTAATTAAGATTAATTTTATTTTTAATTATTGTATGATTTGAGATGTAATCTTGAAATCGTGAGATATTTATTTTCGAAAGAGAGGACTGATGTGTCATTAATATATGCACCATAGAGCAATTCAATATTTCTAGATATAAGTTTTCTTTGAAGAAAGAAAAAATCAGCACTTTCTATAATACTGCCATGTCCTTGCTTTTGACGCTCTCGCATCAGATGACTAATAATTGGAAAGATATTTCTACAAAATTTGAATGTTTTCTCTACACAACTTTGTATATATAATAATTCTACAAATCAATAAGGTTACTATAAACATGTTTTCACTTTTTCATAAAAATTAAAAATACAAACTTAACTGAATCATAATACTGCGTATTTTTTTATTTCCAAGATGACCTTTATTCCTAAACACAAGGAAAAAGCAAATAGGGACAGTCAAGCACCTGGTCTAAAATGATACGCGCACTTCATCTAAAACCAGTTCCGATAGCTTTTGCGTATTTTCATTTTTCTTTTCAAGCCAGTATGGGTGGGTTTGAGCTGCATTTTTTCATGCGTGCGTAATCTGAGCGAAGACTGGTAATTGCGCAGCAGCAGCAGACTTCAATACGACGCCCACACAATTGCCAATTCATTTATAGAAGCGTTACATGCGCTTGACACACAAATCGCAGCTTTACGACGCCATAAGAAAGTTCTCAACAGCACGTTCCGACGCTCAAGATATAGCCATATCGGCAAGCTTGTAAAATTTTATAATGTTGTTCTTAAAGAATAGCACCTGCAAAACCTTCAAAGATAATTATCAGTTGTCTAGCTGTTAAGACAACAAATAACATGTAATAACATAAATCCAAATATAGATTTATTAGTTTACTTTTTCATTTGGTAATTTCCACTTGATTATTGGGTATAAATTGCAAATGAAAAAAAAAGCAATAATTTCTAATATTTTGAAATTATTTTGATATTACCTATCTAGAGAATTCCCGATCCAGAATGATCAATTGGCCCTCGCCTTATCTTAAAATAATTGAAGAGCAAATAATAATTGCGCACATTCTTATAAAGATTGCGTCCTTCAGTTGCTGCAAAGAAAAATGACCGGCCAAAACTCTTCACTGATAAAAATGTTCCCTAGTCATTTTTTCTCTTAACAAAGTAAAATTAGTGCTGGTCGAGAGGGTTTTGCCTCAAGTGCTGAGGAATAGAGCAAAAGACAAAGAGCGTCGTGCCGCGATGCTCTTTTCACGCGAGACACACGTGAACAGCAGGCGATCGACGAGCGGTCGCCGAGCCTCTTTCTTCCTCTCTAAAAGCGGCGCGCTTACTCCACCATTAGAATAAACTGAGGCGAAACGAACCCTCGGCTTTGCCTCCACACGTACTTTTATATATATATTCGTACAGATTCGCCGGCAAACGAGTCGATTTGCCAGAGATCCATTTAATGAGAAGAAGAAAAACAACCTCGTGGGTGGCGACGGAGCTCGGTCGTTGAACTTTGACACGTTTTTAGCACAAATACAACCCCTTCGATGGACGGATTAATTTTTTTTATCAATATGTATGTTGCTTGACAAAATTGCAAAACACGCCTTTAATCACTCATAAACAATTAATTACAGTGTAAATTAAACGTAAATAATATTGAAATATAGAAATTTAGACTTAATCAAAAGCGCACTGAATTCATTAAAATTTAATATAACGATTAAAAAAGACATTTGAATTTCTGCTTGTTTATTGGGGATTGGGTGATTTGAAATTTAAATCACGTTGTCGAAACACGTGTTTGGCAGACACAGACTTTGCCGAGAGTTTGAATATTTGAGATTGCTTTTTAGAACGCCTCAAGACTAAGCAGTATTTACATCTACTTTAAAGATTGATTGTGACAAGTGGCATTGAGCTCGATTTTAGAAAACGTATACCCGACGTTTACACATTTAAATTCCGAATTTTAAAGGAAACTCTATGTAGGGACAACGTTATGCACCAAAACGTTATTTTAATTTTATCGTGGATATTTTAAAATTTATCGTAATTATATAGCACGAAAATAAAAAGTCATAAATACGCGTCAAAATTAGTATTTGTTTTGTGAGGAACAGACGCAAGCGGCATTAGATCAACATTTAAATAAACAATAATGACGAGAAATTTTTTAAGATTTTCACGTTCAAAATTTTATTAATTTGCCTGCAATTACTTCAATGTTGATTTATATATATTTAAAAAGGTATAGTTTCTTCGAAAGTAAATTTTAATGTTCCCTTATTATTAAATTTTTTCCTTTAATTTCCCCCCTGAGAATTTCCTATTGCATATTTCATTTATTTATTTTTTACTCCATGACGACAAATGAGCCAATTAGCACAACGTCTTTGGGTTTGAAGCGCACGCAACGAGTCTGACAAAGTGAGTTTAATTGCCTGGCATTGCGAGCAAGGCTGCTTTCAAAGCGACAAAAATAATACGCTGGTATAAATAAGACACAAAATTACAACGAATGCATGCGTGAGAACCAAACGGCGGCGCGACCCGGCAATACTGATAAGGCGAGAAAGACAATGCCGAGCCGATCCGGCTGCATCCGGATTCGCTTTCTGGATTCTGCTTGAGCCACTGATAAGTTTCGAGATCGAGAATCAGAGTGTCTAGTTCTCGACAAACACATCGAGATAACGAAAAAGAGACGGACCACACTACTTTTATCAGGCTGGGCAGACTGCTCGATCTTTTGGCCCCGTCACGCGACAGGTATAGAAATCGTACAATTATAAGAAATGGAATTTTCCGTGCTGCGTGACGTTTGGGTGCTTTTCGACATTTTCGCAGATAAAGAACAACTAACAAGTCCCTCTCTCTAAAACACGCCTTGATTGTTGTTGTCTGATTGATAGTCTCATTGATTGATTCTGGCCGGACTTTGAACCACTTTGCACCCAGTGAGCACTTACCTGCAAGCACAGCATTACGCAACCACTTTGTTTCGGTGACATTGGACTAAAGGTGCAAAGTACAAGTCGGCTTCAAGAAGTATTATTTTTAAAGTTAAAATAGATTCATTTTTTAGCTAATTTTCACTTTTAAACTGTGACAATTTTAACAAATAATTTTAAATTTTATTTTTCTAATTACAAATTTAAAAGGGTTTCTAAAAATAAAAATTGAATAACTCCAACTTATATTAATAAATATGGTACGTGTTGAGCTTCATAAATAAATAAAATTTAGTTATTCACACATTATTTGATATTAATTAAGTACTTTACAATAAAAGTTGCCAACTCCACATATATTAAAGAAGCATTTTAAATCCTAACAAATAAAAATTATAAAAATAATACATAATAAATAAATAAAGATTTAAAAATATGAAAGATCTCATTTACAAAAAAAAAAAAAAAAAAACTAATATTTTCAAACAGATATTTTTTAAATTATTAAATAGCTTGTTTTATATATTTTTAAAAAAACAAGCATATTTTTCCAAGTTCTCAAAAGCAAAAGTTAACTAGAATTTAAATCAGTTAAATCACTTCCGTTTATTTTTTTTTTCACAGAAGTCTAATTAATCAATCTCAGTTGAGGAAAAATATGATTTTATTAGGAGTAATAGAAGACAAGTCAATAACTTTTTCTCCCCTTAAATAAGTAACAATATTTTTTAGCACATTGCCATTTCACCATCTCCGCCTTGCACTAATACATATTTTATAATAATAAAACAACAATAATCGCTTGCGGATTTTTTTTTAACTTAGCTACTGGATTAATTTGGGTCCATTTTTTTGCCGCACGCTTTAATTATCATCATATTTGCAAATTCCCCCTGAGTAAGATTACGGTAAGGTGGAAAGCCCGATTTGTCCAAAGTTTAATTGCCCCAGGACTTAAAAGTGAATCCAGTCTCAAGTGATTTCGTACCATTAAAACGGCCGCAGCAACAGCCAGGCGCTGGGCACGTGCTGCTGTTCTCACAGCACGCCCTTATCTGCGTGTGTCTCTTAACGCTCCGCAAAGGACGTGCGCGAGAAACAATATAATCGTGTCCGATAACAACAGGTGCTGACGAGAGCGAGCCGCCCGACCGGTCCAACGCAATCTCGAAACACACACCCTTGGCGTTCCCACGTCAACCGTCGCCGATTTGGATTATTTTATTTTTTCAAATTAGATACGTGTTTACGCCCAAAGGACTCGCCCCAACGAGGAGTTATTTTTAGTTGTTTTTCTGCTGCTGGACGTTCAGTATATATTTCATTTTGAGATATATTTCGTGGACGTTTCTTATTTTTATTTTTGGTCGAACTAATGGCAGTGGCAAAAATTTCAGTGCTAAAACATTATACGCAAGAGTCGTGTGAATTTCATCATCTTGTTTATTTATCCGCGCACTGCGGCCTTCGCACTGTGCTGGACACATCCTCCTTCGTCTCATCCTCCAATGGCTTCTTTTTGAGCTTCGCAAAAAGTGCTACACCCAAATCAAAACTGTTTAAAAGAGGATCGCGTTCACCGTCTTTACAGTTGAGGTTCATTTGAATCCAGGATCTACAGAGATTGCCTTTTTTTTAATTTTTTTTATTTAAAAAGATCAGAATAATATGGAACGTTTGATATTCTCAACTAATATATTTGTTGAAACTAAACAAGATTTTATAAATTAAGACTGATTATGCTCTTTTTTTATTCAGCATTGACGTTGTAGTATCACCTAAATTTGCATGGTTTTGCCCAAAATCACCTATCAGACAAACAATCCCCTATATTTGATTTGCGTGAGAGTAAAAAACGACCTATATTCTCCTAAAATCGCTTATTTCTCAATTTGTAATTTCATCCAAAGTCACCCACCTAGAAAAATGATATTTTTTTTTAAAAATGTACAAAAAATGCATAATGAAAATGCTTAATTATGATATAAAAAAAAATTATCAACTATACTTTGTTTTTTTTCCAGCTTTTTCCCCTAAAAACACTTATTATTAGGCACTTATTTCACTTGTTTAATACTAACATTAAGCGCCAATTTTGCGAAAGAAAATCACCAATTTTATATTTCACAAGTCTTGCACGGAAATTATGATCTCGATTTTTAATTTGTTCAAGCAGGTTAAAGATCGGAACAAAGACAAAATAATTATTAATATTTTAAAAGCTGCTTAATTTATTTTACTTATCTGGTTTTATGTTAAGATAATTTTTAAACAACAACATTTTCATAAACTTTTGATAACGGTTTTTAAAAGATAATAAAAAGAAAAGATTGATTTGAGCATTCGCTGGCGGCGTGATCAGTTATTGTGCTCATATTTGGCACAATTATTCTGAGCTTTGCAAAATAAACGCTACTCATTATACCAAGCAGATCTGCAAATATTGTCGAAGTAAATTAATGAGAGGCCAAAACTCAAAGACCTCCGCCCACGCAAATAAATAATGCAATAAAAATCTCCTCCGCTCGGGTACACATTGCCAGGCAAATATTTGCCCCAGCCGCTAATTAAATAGTCTGCACAAACAATAGGTCACCAACCGGCTCTATCTAATGCTATCAACACGTGGCAAAATCGATTGAAATATTGGACTGTTTTGCTAAAGTGAAGCAAAATAATGCGTTCACTGCGAATCAGATATAAAGTATAATTCATTATAAAAATTAATAGATACAAATGGTAAACAACTATTCAGACTTTACAGTGAAATCTTTCAACCTATGACACGATTTCTTGTTGCAGAGAATAACGTGAGGAAAGCTTGGAGAAAAAATTCAAGAAGCAAAATAATTTCACGTGGTGAGAGGATGATTCTTCTCTGAATCGCACAAGCTTAAAAACGAGTGGCGTCACGAACCCAGAAATATATCTCGCGGGATCAATTCAAGATTCAAGTTAAAGGTCAAAGAAGCGTCAACCTTTTCATTTTTTACTTCATAATTCAAATAAATAATATAAGTAGTGAATTAATGCATTTTCCTTTTTGCTCAGATATTTGAATGTCAAGTAAAACAAAAGTTTTTTACCGTCTTTTTTTTATAATTGCACGTGTCTGCTTTGAAGTAAATGCATGTACTTTAACCTTGCAAGTCCCCAAGCAAACATTTGCACTTTAAATTTAGACTGTTATTTATCGGATCGTTAAGCTCGCAAAACGAGTGAGATTTCGCAGACACCGCTTGACCTCGTTTTCAAATGCCAGTTTCCGACAAATTTCGAATGAACCGGATTTGCTCGAATATTTATTAAAGCTAATCGCAACTTTTTTCATTCGGGTTATCGGACGTCGGTGTCAGGGTACTTTTCGTCTGCACGTGTTATATAACATGACTCACGGCGTAATAATTGCGCATTATCAGGCGACCTGTGACCAGGTCGCGACCTCTGACCTTCAACTGGAGCACGCTTGTTTGGAGTGGTAGTGAGTGCTGGCGTGAATTTGAACTGCTTGAACCAAAACAAAACGTATTAATTTATGTGAAACTTCCCTACAGTGATATTTTCTGGCCAAAAGCCAGCGCTTTGCTGTCACGTTCGCGGCACAACCCTCAAGCAAAGTCCGGCACGTTTATCAATGCGGTGGCTAACAACAACTTGAAATATGCTCCGATAAGTGGTGAATTTCAAGATGACGCGTTGGCTTGTGAAACGGGGAAAAGAACCACACAAAGCTCCATTTCAAAATAAAATTATTTATTTATTTTTGATACAAACGATTAAAATTAAATAATTACTCCTTCGATTAAATTTTATGTCAATTTCAGTTTAATTTAATTCTTATCACATATGTATTTTTGCAACTGAAGTTTTAACGCTCATTTCATTTCAGTTTAATTGTTATCAAGCGAGTAAAGAGGACACAACAATTAAAAATAGCAGCATCAGGGGCAAGACTGACAAATGGGGACGTCCCAATTTTCCACTCAAGCAGAATGTTTCCACTTTAAATTAGGGGATCTCAAAATATATGCTTTGACCTCGGCAGTAGAGCGCAAAAATGAATCGCAATAATTGTTTTTGAAGTTTAAGTAAGGGACGCTACTTATCGTTGGGGGCCACCACGATCCACCGCTCTTGGCGCTGCTCCACCTGCCGTGCCACGATCGGATGTCTCAAGCGAACTTTGACTTCTAGTTGGCCTCCAACAGCCTTACGACCGTCCATCAGCTGCAACATAGTTGCTTTTAATGTAAGCGAGCAGCCCAGAAATAGATGGTTAAAGAGCAAAAACAAGCCCCAGCATAACGAAGCAAACATTCCAATATTCTTGCAAATAAAAAAGTTGAAGGCAGGAATTTTTAAGTAACAAATAAATATCTTCTATCACTTACAGGGAATGTCTCGTGAATGGTGCATTTTGTTTCCAAAGGCAGCAGTTTAACGTTGACGGTGCCAATTAGTGTGTCACTCCTCAGGAAACCACTACAACAGCACCAGGAACATCCACTTGAAAATTTTCACAAAGCGCAATTTGAGTTAGTAGCCTTAAGAATTATGTTAGTTTTTTTGCATTTTCCTTATTTTTATTTTTGTTCAATAAACCTGAAGTTGAAGTTAAAAGTGTGGCTGAAAATAAATTTATCAAAATTTATATTTAAAAGCAATAAAATTATTTTATTTCAGGCACTGTAATTCTAACTTTTGTCGATGCAAATATTTTCTATAAGATATTCATTCAATTATTTAAATAATATCAAATTAATAATAAACAAATTGTATTAGTTAGGAAATAACTCACCCCTTTGACCACACTTCAAGTTTTATCGCGTGCCGTTTAAAAACTCTCTGGCATGGGCGAGAGCTTCTTGAAATGGGAAGCGTGAAACTATGGTTGTACTGAGGATTGTTCGTGTTGTAGATCAAGGCAGTCTTGTCTTTAGGCGGAGTTTCCTATTCAAAAATATACATTTTTAAGGAATTTATAGTTGCAAAAAATTATATTACAGTTGGATACGGAAACTCATATTTGACATAGGTGTCAATCTCCTTTGGATTAGGCACAGTGTAGCTAATACCCTGAACAATCACAAGTTCCAAGTCGTTTTCACCCAAATCTGTATTACATCTAGAAAAGATATTGAGATTGCTTAGATTGTGTCATTAATATATTTGCTTCAGGGATATTACTGTAATATTTGGAAGGCACGGTTCTCATATCGGAACCGGGGCAAAGTTTCACCCCTCAAATGGCATGCTTTGACCATGTTGTAGTCCCTTTTGGTTTGCACAGCCAACTGCTCAAATTTATTAGCTCCGGCAACGTCTCCTGTTGCCTTGTAGTGATCTCTTGTGGCCAAACACAGCTGAAAATAATATATTTAAAATATATTCTACTTTAATTTTAAAATTTCCCACCTTCATTTGTTTTTTGAGATCATCTTCAATTTTCACATAAATTTCCGAGGCTTCGTCGCCTGTACAATTAGCAGGGGGGGTGACATACTCAAAATCAGCGTCGAGCGAGGCAGTCAGACTTGGCAGAACAGGCAGAGTGTCAAGATCAACTGGCAGACCTGATTCCGAGGCTTGGAGCAGCGCGTCAAAACCCTTGGCCTGGCGAAGGAGTTCTCGCGCCTCCGAAATGTCACCCCGTTTTTTGGCAGCCAGCGCTGCTTCTTTGAATTCCTTTTGCTTAGCCAGAAGTAGATTTATTTGTTTCTCTTGCCGCGTCTGCTGCGGGCTTTTACGGGCTGAAATTAAAATGTTTAATGTACGGGTTGAAAAAAAACCTAACAAAAATGATAATAAAAACGGTCATTACCTGGCACTTGGAGTTTGGCAGCTGCCGTCGGGGTGGCGTCTGGTCTTGGTGGTTTTGAAACCTTGGCCGGAGGCTGCGGCTCTTCTAATGGGGCCTCTGTAGGTTCTTCAGCTGGTTCAACCATCGCAACTGGCGGAGAAGCAGGGGCTGCCGCGCCAGGCACAGGAATCGGAGCAAATCCTAAAACGAAAGAAGAAAGCAGGGTTTGAGAAAAAAAATTGAGAAAACAACCAAGCGCAAATTTTTTGATATGATTAAAAATAATATTAAATCTTTCAAAAAGACGTGAAATTTTAATTTTTTTCAGTATTACCTGGAGGAGTCGGAAGGTCTTCTACAGGAATAGGCTTTCCAGCCTTGTGCATTTTGACTGCGTCTTGGTATTGCTTGACGATGCGACCCATTCTTCGCGCCTTGCTGCTGTTTCCTGTATCTTTGGCCAATTTTTCCTCTGCCTGGTACCTGGCCAGCCTCTGGTTAAGAGCATCAGCTACTGAAGTTGGAGCAGGAGGGTCAAGCAGCTCAGGAGGCAGACTGGGTGCTTTCGGATTGGCCAGAGGTTCCGGCAGAACTTCAGGTTCGGCACCTTCACTAGACGACTGAACTTCAGCCTCAGTTGGTTTTGGAGTAGTTGGAACAGGAGGAGCCGGTCTCGAAACAGGTGTTGCTGCTGCTGGAGGACTTGAAGAAGGTGCTTCAGGCATTTCTGAAAGGTCGACTGGGTTTCCACTCTTAACTGCCGCAATCACTGAATCAAATTGCTAAAACATACAGAATTAAATGTTTAAATTTTATTTTTTAATATTGAGTACTTTTGAAACTTTGAGGTATTTGACGGCCTGTTCCATGTCTCCCGACTTCTTAGCTGTCAAAGCTGCCTGTTTGAATAACATCTGACGTTGCTGAAGTTCAATCAGAGTTTTGTCCTCTTTAACTTCTTGAATTGGAGCAGGCAAAGGGGCTGCTGGCGCCACCCTGTTTGGAGGGACAGGAGGTGCTGCTCTGATCGGAATTAGTGGTTCTGAAAAATAATTGAAATATAACAACAAACAAACATAACTCTGAAAAAATAAAATTAATTTAACTAGTTTCTCAATTTAAAAAAGTCCACTAAAAGACCGTACCAAAAAAAAAAAACAGTCGATGCGATCGTCCCAAAATTAAATTACAAACCTTGGGTCGGAGGAGGTGTTTCGGATGGATTTTGTGGAACTTCAACAGGAGGCACGGGAGTTTCAGGTGGCTTAATTGAAGCCGCTGCAGACACAACCGGTGGAATCTCTTCCTCTGGCACTGGGCGGCCAGCTTTGGCTTGTTTAAGTTGGTCTGTCAATGTTTTCAAACCACGATTGAACCTGATAATTAGTTAAAGATTGATGTAAATTTTGCAAAAAAAAAAAATCCATAAAAAACAACCTTCTGGCTCTGGAACTTTCACCAGCTTGTTTGGCAGAATTTTCTGCCTTCTTGTACATTTCAATTCTTTCCTCTAGCAAGCCGACAAGTCCTCCAGAGGAACTTGGTGTTGGAGCTGCTGGCGCTGCTGGCTGAGAAGATTTTCGAGGTGGAGCGACTGGTTGAGGTTCTTCTTCAGCCTCCTCTGCCTCAGGAACCAACTCTCCAAGCTCAGCCTAAATTAAATTAAAATTTTAATATAATTTGAGTTTAAATATTTAAATAATGGAATTTTTAAAGCAAATTGGAAAAAATTGATATTACCAAAAGGTCGGGGTCATTTTCGTCGGCAGAATCTACCTCCTCGTCGGACGGGATGTCCCGCATGCTGGCTGCGACCATCGCGTCGAGATTAACTCCCGGCGCTGGTTTCTTCTTGGGCTTCCTAGCCGCCGATCCTGTGGTCAAAGCCGCCAATTCGGCTTCCAGGTCGGCATCGTTGTCACTGTCTCCACCGCTGTCGACTCCGATCTGGCCGAAATCGTCCGGAATGTCGAACAGACCAAGCTGCGAAAATCGAGATGTAATTTTTCGTCGACTATATACTACATACATATAATTTGCAGTCGAATCGGCTTACTTTAGAAAGGTCTGCCTTCCTGCGAGGATTTGCTGGCTTCTTCTCTTCCTTTTTTCCCCAACCGAACATCTTGACGGGGGTTCTTCGAGTCCGAAATCTGAGAAATTGGGCTAAGAACCTCAAAGGGTCTCAAAGGGTTTCTTCTGTTGTTTTCCTTGCCAGCTGAGGGAGGGAAAAAAAATTATGAGTCACATCACAAAATTGTACTCGCACGCCATCTAGAAGTTGAAATGAAAGATAAATTTTGCATAACATTTTTGTTATTATTATATTGTATATTTTTATAAATAAAATAAAAACCAATTTAAAAATTTAGAGATTTTTAAGTTCGGAATACAACTAGTTTATATTTTATAATTTTTTTTAAATTACATTTTAATTGAAAAAATAATTTATGCATTATACAAATGAAATATTTTATAAATCCATTTTGATTATTGTATACATTTAATCAATTTTTATTTTAAAGCTTTTCTAATCCTTGGTCCCTCAGGTGCTCTCATTTATAATTTTTATTTTTACTTGCAAATTTCCACGTCCAGCACAGGACATCTGTAATATAATTATTATAATTTATTTTCATGAATGAAGCAAATTAGTTTGATGATTTAGTTTCCTCTCTTATATACACAGAGATATTACAAACAATCCATTATTTCAATACAAGTCCTCTTCACAAATCAAATAATATGCATATATTTATTTTTAATGCAAAAAATGGCTTCGCTTTCATAATATATTATATATATGTGAAAAATGTCAACTTTTTCCACTCTCCTATTAGGATTTGATTAACTAATTTCCCCTTGAAGTTTTTCAAATATCTTTTTCACGTGCAATAAAATTATTACATAACAAATAATATTTTTTATCCTTTGAATTCCGTGATCTTTTCAAATTAAATATTTGACCACGGATCAATTAAATGGTATTGAATGATAAGATAAAAAAAAAACTTGATGAAAGGTAAGCATGAAAAAAAAAACACTGAACAAGACAAGTGCGTCGATATAATCAATCAATTGAAAAATTGCACGGCGTCAGCGAAAAATCCTTATTTTGCTGTCGCGCGCACCGCTGGTTGTCGTCGGCGGCCCCGCGTTCCTTATACAGCGAAACGCTCGTCATCAGCACATTCAAAACGAAAAGGAGCTGCGGACAATTAAAATGCTAGGCACAAACATTCCTTTTTCCTTTTCTAAAGGCAAACATCCACATAAAGAGAAATAAGAAAAAACTATACAGCGGCCGGCGTCGCGAGTTGCGCGCGCCCATATCAACATGACATGTGCGGCCCTTTAAAATATTTAGTCACCTCGCGGCCGTTCGCGGAGCAGCAGCGGCCAACACAGTGTGGGTGCAGATGAATTACAAAAAGAATCTCATCTTTCTCGCCGGGCGTGTGCATATTTTTTCGTTCTCTTTTTAGTTTCTCGCCCACGCCTTTTATAATAGTGAAGGATCGAATCATTTTGTGATCGGTGGCTTTGGAGTCGGAGTTGAAAATTAATATTATAATATCGAGTGTGTTGTGCGTTTGAAATATAAAGGTCGTGAGAGCGGCTGCAGCGGCGGCAGGATGGCTGGTGGTATGCACGTCTGATTCACTCTCGGGTGCGACAAACTACTTTTTTGCTCGATCGGCGCGGAATTCCATCGCGGCATGACCTGCTTAAAGGATGTTAATAGCTCCATTTGGTGAGTTTTTTTTATGTAATTAATTTCCTAAAAAATATGCATGATTGAATGATAATTAATAATTAAATTTTTTGCAAGCGAAAAGGATTTCATTCAATAATTTAATTTTTTAAATGTAATAAATTAATTATATATTATATTTCATAATTTAATCGTGGATTATAAAGTGGGTTGTGAAGGAGGGAATCAAAAAGAGGGGCGAGGCAGGATATACACACAAGTCTCTTCTCCAGTGTGGCCGCCGCGTGTTTATTATGCATTGGCTAATTTTGGCCGTGGAGAACGTGCGATGCAAGATTTGACTCATCCCGTCCAGCTCCTGCCAGAAATAACAAATCTACCTGCCAATATTTGCCTTCCACGGATTAAAACAATATAATAAATTAATTAACTGGTTGTATTTCAGACCATTCATGAAAAGCTCTACTTTTCATGGTTTACCGTCACATATTTTTTTTAGAGCGCTTCGAGTCAGTTATTAAAATAAGCGATGAGCCTCTTCTTTCAAACTAAAGCAGTCCGTCATTCAACGTTTTTTTTTCGTCCGTGAAGTGAGTGCAAAATAAATAGCCGCGCGGCTTAACTGTCGGATGATGTCATCACATGCTCGACTCTTTGTCAAAGCGCAAGAGATGATGCAGCACACACCGCAGGGTGCTAATAAATATGAAAATTTGTCTCGTTTGGTTAAAAGTCAGCGGTATCTTGTTCATCATGTATTATTCTAACTTCGCTTTCTTTTTTTATTATCTTACTTTACTAAAAAAGATATATTGGGGGAAAAATAAGTTATTGTTATAAACAGAATTTTTACTCATTTTTGATTGGAAATATGTTAATAAACATAAAAATAATTAATTTTGAAGTGTTATAAATAAAATCAAATAAAATGAGAACAAAGTTTTGTTTATTTATAGTTTTAATCTTTGAAAGGTAGAAAGAATTTATTTGTACAAATAACTTAAATAATTAATTATGTGATCAATGCGAACAGTTAATTTAACTTTCAATACTATAAAGAAAAACAAAATTATAATTATCAGGGACCCAGCATCAGGGACCTAAAAAAATAGCTTGAACATACATTTTCTAATTCAAAATATGCAAAATATAATCAAATAATATTATCCAATCATTAATTTAGTTTTGGATTTCAATGATTTCATGCTTCATTATATTTAGAAGATATTCAATGTATGATACCTCATTGGTTATTGCAATATAAATGAAAAAAATAATCGGAACAAATCATCATAAAATCATCACCAAAAATTCCTCTCGTGAGCCCCTCTCGTTCGTCACTTTCGCGCCGTGTTTTCATCTCGGGGAGTTTCGTAGATGCTCGATTGTTTCTGGCGGACTTGTCAATGATGGCGCCCATCAGCGAGAAACAGGACGACACCGGGGTTTCCGCAAAAAACAAAGACGATGCAGAAAACAAGGAGAACTTGTGGTAATTTTGGTGGCTTAAAGATACTCACGTAAAATTCATTCAAAAATTGTATTATTTATCTTTCGTCCTCTAAGCCTTTTGAAACCGAACGAATTCGCAGCTGCTCTTGGGGTCATTGCCTCTCACGGAAAAGTGGTCGATCTTCTGGTTTTTGGTCCTTCTGTGCTAAAGATTTTTACACGAATATAACTAATTTGCGTTTTTAAATTGTGATGCTGCTGACACAAATTAAAGAATGCTCGGAATGCAAGGAAACGTGCCGGCGAAAGGGTGTTGTCAAAAAGAGGGATGGGCCGCCCACGATCAAGGATTTTTTTTTTTTAGCTTTTTTAGGATATTTAGGAATAATTATTTTTTTATTTAAACATTATAACCATTTAATATAAATTTCTTTGCTTGATGTGATTTCAGGGCAGCTATTCTCAGTGAAGTGCAATCCAGAGGCAACACGAAGTTGCCCACAACCAAATCGGTTCTTGTCCTAGGTTTGAAAAATACACTTTTTTAAAAATTCAACCCAAGTTTATAACAAATTCTAATTCAGGTGAAAATGAAAGTGGCAAAACCACGCTAATAGCCAAACTTCAGGGAGTCGAAGACCCAAAGAAGGGGTCTGGCCTTGAGTACGCTTACATAGATGTCCGAGATGAGTATCGGGACGGTCAGTTTTTTATGGTGGACCCAAAACCTTTTTCCAATGCTGAATTTCACTCCAGATAACACAAGACTGCGCGTTTGGGTGTTGGACGGCGACCCTGAACATTCCCACTTGCTCGAGTTTGCGCTCAATGAGGAGACATTTAAGGACACAACCATCATGTTCACGGTATCAATGACCACTCCTTGGGCCATGCTGGAGCAGCTGCAGAACTGGGCCACACTGCTCCAGGACCACATCGACAAACTCAATCTCTCCGCAGACTTTATCCAGGAGCGCAAACAAGCCGGTCAGTTCCCTCCTTTAGATTATAAGATTCGCTCACCTTCATTTAAAGGAATTATTTAAATTTTATTCTTATTCCCAATGAATCTCAAATTTCATTTAAAATTTTCTTTCAGTTCTTAAAAGGTGGCAGGAGTACATTGAGCCCGGTGATGAGCTTGAGGCCAGCTCACCAATGAGACACTCGACTCGAACCCTAGAGGACGATCTGATGGATGATGAGTTGCCTCTAGGAGAGGGAACGCTTACTCGAAACCTCGGTCTCGATATGGTCGTTGTCGTAACTAAGGTGTGATATTTTATTTCAGTATCCTTCAGAAGTTTAATCTCCTTTTTTGACAGACTGACTACATGGGAACTTTAGAAAAAGACATGGATTATCGAGACGAGCAGTTTGACTTTATCCAGCAGTGGATCCGCAGGTTTTGCCTGCAGTACGGCGCAGCTTTGTTCTACACCTCAGTCAAGGAGGACAAAAACTGTGACCTGTTGTACAAGTATCTGGTGCATAGAATTTATCACTTGCCCTTCCGCACTCCGGCGCTTGTTGTAGAAAAAGATGCAGTTCTCATGTAAGCATGGATGCTAATTTCAAAAAGCACAAATTAATTATTCGTCATTAACAGACCATCCGGTTGGGATAATATGAAGAAAATCAGCATTCTCTACGAAAATATGCAATCGATGAAGCCAGACGATTATTATACCGATGTCATATCAAGGCCCCAAACTCGAAAGGTAAAAAATTAAAAATCGCTCTTGATTTGTACATTTTGAGTGTAATTTTATAGCCTGTTGCAAGAGAAATTGAAATCCACGCAGATGATGAGCAGCAGTTTTTGATCAAACAGCAGCAACTTTTGCAGCAGGGAGGCACTCCGTCAGCCCCTCTTGGCATGACCCGACAGGAGTCTCCTATGAGGACGCCAACCAGCTCGAAAACCAGCGACAGACGAACATCAACCACTCCTGGAGTGCAGGGCTCTCCAAAGAAGGTAGAATTTTAAGAGTTTGACATTGTAAAAATAATGTAAAAGTTCAGATGTTTGGCTTCTTTCGAAGCTCACAATCAGATATGAGTCAAGTGAGGTAAAAATTAAGTTAAGCTTCTCTTTCTTATTGTTATTGAAAAAAAGATGGAAGCCAAAGTGGGCGCAGCTGCCGGAGGAGAGGGCGTTTTGGCAAATTTCTTCAACTCACTTCTGCACAAGAAAACCGGCACTCCTTCCCCAGGTAAAGGGTCAGGTAGGGCGAATAGTGAGATTCCCTTTTAGGCATGGTGTGACATGCTCTAATCTAGAGCGTTTGCTTCTGTGGTGGGTTCAGTAAGCAGGTCTTCCCTATGTAGATAGTCACACTGATAGCCAATCTGCTCCTAGCCAAGCCAATTACTAAAATAAAATTAATTGCTTCTGCTGGAAAGGGAAAAGCTGCAGACATTTAAATTATAACTAATTACTAATCTTGAAGATTAAATTCGCGCTGAAATTTGATTTTATTAAAATATAAATACTTAATAAGCAAACTTTCTATATATTTATAAGAGGTCAAGTATAAAGGGGAATTAACAACATAGTGGCACTAGCTAAGTTGGAAACTAAAAATAGTTAATATCTTAAATTAACAAGGTCATGTTCGGTTGTTGCAAACTTTTTATTGAGTAGATTGATGGTATTCATCAGGAAATCTGAACTCTCATTATTTGATAGTTCTTAAGTAAAGCCTGTTTTCATACGTCGAAACGCCAATTTTTCTGATTATGCAAAAATTTTCTCATTTCCAGTCATGGACAAAAATGCTGTTCGATCGGACGCTGCTGCTGAGCTGGACCGGCTGACCAGAAACAAAAAAACGTCGTCCCCACCTGGATCTCCCGACTCTTCGGCAAACTCAAGTTTGGAGCAGCCGCCTTCATCGTCTGAATGCTGAGTCGTGACTTGTGATAGCGTTTCGTATCGAAAGTACCACCAAGGTCTTAATAACTTCATTATTTGTTTGTTCTCTCAAAGATCCCTTGTCGATCAAGAGATTCAACCCTCAGAGCCTAGTTTTCTTCATTTTTTGAAGCATCCACTGTCTCAAAAGAAAGTTTATGATTGCCCACTATCTGTATAAATAGCACAACAATTGCAGGAGCACTAGTGCGTGTAGTGAAAATTTTCAAAGTCCTGTTCATTATTTATTCCAAAGTTTATTTATTTTTGGCAGCGACATTATCTTCTATTAATATTAAATGTCGTACTATGGTCGTCTGTCTGGATTGTAGCTTCTTGCTATGTAGTTTTTTTTTTATCGTTTTCCCTTTTTACTGCAATACATAGACTCTCTCAATAAATTCTATGATATTTGTAATTAAATAAATTAATTTTTCCTGGGCAATTTTGGATGATAATTAAGGCAAACTATTAATTTTTTAACTTATTTGTAAATTGGATTTACCATTGCATTACAATAAATTCAAAGCTAAGCCAAATAAATTTAACATTATGCACTTTTATTTCAATATCCTAGACTAGAAACAATGTTTGTAAAGTTCAACTTCTGTAGTACTCCAACAATTCTTTGTCCTTTGGTTTGAGAATCGCCTTGTCCTTCAAACTGATAACCCAGCCTGGCTCGAGGCCATAAAATATTTGTCTGGGATCTTTTCTTGTGGTCAGCATCTCATAGTCAGGGTCATCCTCGATTTTTGGAAGTTCGTAGCCATACTTCTGAGCCAGTGCCAGCCTAGCCTGAGAAACTTTCTCGGGGTCTGCCAGGTAGCCCCTATTCTCAGCCGAGGTGTAGTATGCGATAGCATCGTCAGGTGGGATCATCCTTTTAGGAATAGGATCACCTAAAAAATTTAACATAATTTTAATCGATATAATTCAGAGAAATTTTTATTATGTGATTTTCTTCTAGCGTGTGCCTTTTTTAGTGGCACAGAAGGAGCCACTCCATTACGTCCTGTTATAAAAAATCTACTTTTTATACATAATTAAAAAAGATTTACTCACCTCTTAAGAAGAAATTTGCTGGGTCGATTACAGCATGGAGGCTAAAAGGGTCGTAGTAAGATGTGGTGATAGTGCCTCCATTTCTTTCGATGGCTGCAATTGCTGGCTCTGAAGCCCACTGCACCTCAATGTTGACTTTTGCCTTAAATATATCAAAGCCCTGAAAGAAATTTAAAAAATAGGGAAATAAGATAATTCAGCAATTAAAAATTTAATCAACGTACTTCATCGGTGAGGTTGACGCCATGATGGTTGCAGCAAATTAAAAGTTTGTAGAGACCTGTGTTGCAAATTGCTGTAAGGTCGATGGGCAGTTTAAAGTCAAGCCTGTTCAGGTCAATCATCTTCTGCAGCTGCAGCAAGCTCACGGGTGGATACTCTCGTTCCAAACTAAGAAGAGAAGAGGCGGTTGAAATAAAAACTTTTAATGAAAATCTCCAGATAAAGATATTCTGCTGATAATTACATACCGATGCCTTTTGTAGTATTGCTCCATGCCGAACCTGAGATAGAAGGGTGTGTTTCCCGTCTCGTAACCCAAGGGCATAAAATTCTGTCGAGCCTTTGAACCCTTTGAGCCAAAACCGTGAGTCTTGCCCCCGTGAATACCTCGACCTCTGTGAGACTAAATCAGGTAAGAGCAATGAATTTATGTTATTTTAAAAGAAAATATTTTTATAACCTTTTTTGTTCTCTCGGCATCCTTCAAGTTGCCCAGGGACACCCTGGGAAGGGTTCGAAGGACAGCAAGAGCTCTGTCAACCACGTTCCTGTTGGCAGCCATCTTTTTTATTAAAGTTTAACTGGTAAAACGCATAAAACCGGTTGCCTTTTATTCTTTAATATGAAAAACGTAATCATTCTGTAAATAGAATGTGCTAAAAATAGACCAATTTTTATTAAAATATAGCTATTGCATAATAAAATATTATGAAAAATAAACATTTTTTCAGACTTATCCATAATATCCATAACAAAAAAATACCGGAATTTAAATATTTTTACCGGTAATCAAAAATTTTAAAACCGAAAGGGGCGACAGGAATTTTGTATTTGTAAACAAAACCACGCGAGAGTAGGAATAGGAAGGAAGCGTAACAAAATTAATTTGTTAAAATGAAAATTACACGTGCAAAAAGAGCTCACAAAACGCTCAGTTTTTACTCAAATAATTTTGGGTTTCGACAGCCGTACCAAGTGTTAATCGACGGAACAATGTGCTTCTTTGCTTTGAAGGTATGTGTAGAAATAAAAATTATCAATTAATTCAAGTACATAATTTGTTTTTGTATTTTTATCTGAAAGCCAAAAATAATCAATTAAAAAAAGGATTATGTACTTAAAAATCTAGATCCTCATGGTGGCTAATTTTCGCTAATTTTTTTTGCACTAAAATATTTTTTATGCAACATAAACAAAAACTTTATGGAAATTTCAGAACAAAATCAACCTACAGGAGCAGCTGCCAAAATATTTTGCATCTGAAGTGAAACTGCTGACAACTCAATGTGTTATCATTGAGACTGAAAAGCTAGGTGAGCATACTGTTCTGCAAGTTTTTGGTTCCATTTTACAATGATTATTTTCCAGGACCTTCTTTATATGGAGCAATGTTGATTGCAAAACAGTTTCCTCTTCACAGATGCGGACACGAAGGAAACCCTCAGTCAGGGTCAACGTGTCTCTTATCGATGATTGGTAAAATTAATAAAAACAGGTATAAAAATTAAATTTTTTTCGGTCAATTTTTGTATAATATTTCTTTCTAGATATATAGTTGGCACACAGGACAGAGATTTGCAAGAAAAACTAAGGCTTGTTCCTGGTGCCCCTATTTTATACATTCACCAAAAGGCCCCAACTTTGGAAGCTCCATCGGCCGCGAGTTTGAAAAGATCTGACAAAGTTAGCCAAGCCAAGTAGGTTTTTATATTAAATTTATTTTTAATCAATAAGAAAAATTATAAATGAAACCTACAGATTCCTTCCTGAAAAACAATCTGGAGAGAATGTGGATGAAATCAAACGCAGAATTTTTGGTGCGTCCAAGGAGGAGGAGAAACCCGTGTTTCGTAAAAAGAAAATTAAAGGACCCAATCCTCTGTCTTGCAAGAAAAAGAAGAAGCAAAATAGCAGTGTCAAAAACTTGCCAGTTATTGAAGGAAAAGTGAAGAAGAACAGAACGAGGAAAAGAGTGAAAGTAGCCTCTCATATCAAAGAACACATCAAGTCTAAGGTTGGAGATTCATGAAAACTTCTCACATTTGTATATAAATAATTTTATTCCGTAAGTTTGCACCTTAATAAGCGCATCCTTTTATTTACAAAAATTAAGTATAAAACCCAAACCCACAACCTCAAGAATTAGAGGCAAATCAGGCATCGGAAGATTGGTCGTCGACGTTGCGAATCACAACGGAGTAGATTGGAGACTGCTGATTTGAAGAGGAGCCATAGAGGTGGCTGGTCAGAGATCCAGAACTTGTGTCTGTGTCCAAGGAGCTGCAGGAAGTTGTGTCTCCCCTGATGGCTGAGGAGGCTTCGCTCAATTCACTGTTGATGCTTCGACGAGTCGCAAATTGATCGTAACTGCTGATGGACAGGTCGTCCAAGTCATCGTTGGTAAAGCTAGTCGATCGGCTCATTGAAACTGCAGCTAAAATTTTGTTATCATGGTGTTTTGTGAAATTGTCAACCGAATTTCTTACTGGCTGAGCAGGCGTCTAGGTTTCTTCTTGCAATTGCATTGGCTGCTGTGATTTGCCTGTGCCGCCGGACAACCCACCAGGCTGCAAATCCGCTTCCAATAGCCACAGTGCTCACTAGGGCCAACATCAGAACCAACTGGGCACCAGACGATCCTATTATTTAATTTATCAAGCTTATATATTTTAACTCTTATTTTTCTTTCTAATTAAACCTGAGAGCCTAGCTTGATATGGAAGTTGGATCTGCGCTTGCAGGGCGCTCGAGTGGCGCATCAGGGCTGGAGGAATGGCAGGATTTCTGAGGAGTCGCGCCCCTCGCCACTGGGGTTCCGCTTCTCCTGTTCCCACGCTGTTGTCCCCTTGGGCGTGCGACTGAACTCCTCCAGGAAGACTTATTCTGAGGGAGAATTTTATTACTAGGAGTTTTCAATTTGAGCGGAAAAAACTCACCCTGCTGAGACAGTCAATGTGTCAGGCTGGGCAGTGCAGAGGACCAAAAAGCGTCGGGTGCTGTGGGTCAGAATGGGCAGGTTTTCCTGGACAAGCAGAAATGTGGCCACTGCAGACTCGTTGAGGGCTTTGGTGCCGCCGCAAATGTTGTGGTCGAAACGTAATTTGTAGGTGCTCTGAGGACTGCGTGGGTTGCCCCAAACTGAGCACGAGGAAGCTGAAATCAAAATTGGCCAAATTTAAAAAGCTCTTATAGTAAATCATGTCATCAGAAATTTTTTACCACTTTTTCGCTTGTTGTGACGAGAATAAAAATAGTTGTACTGATATCGTTCTTGCTTTGAAAGCAAAAAATCTAAAAATTTCTGATTTTAACTTATATCGGGAATACATTTTTATATTAAAAGGTTTAAATAAAAATATCCTTATTTACATTCATCTTCGGAAGCAGGTGATATTTCTCCAGGCTGACCTCCCAGACTCTCCACGGAAATTCTTCCTCCGAAATACGGTCCAGTGTCCACTTCAACCTCTGTGCTATTGGCAAGACATTGCGTCGCCTTTGCAGAAACTATAATTATTGTTTCAAAATTAAACAATTTTAGTCATTTATCTTTATAATCAATAAATTAACATACACCCTTTGGTTTGGGCAGTGACACTGTCTGATGGCAGAGGAATCTCATCTTGCATGGTCCGCGCTTCTTCAGGGTCGGGAATTAAACGGAATGTGTATTTTGTGGCCATTCGCAGACCGCTCAGTTGAGCCGTGAACATTCGGCCCGCACGAGTTGCTTTCACAGCCTACGAATAAAATGATAAATCATATTAAAAAATCGAGAGAGAAATTAATTCTATCTATAATGAATTATAATTCAAATCACAGCTCAATAATTGACGAACTAAATCCAATTTTCATAATCTTACATGACAGTCTAAAACATTATTTTCACATAAATATTTGAGGGATCCATAACTCTTTTCAGGGTAGGGCTATTATTTTCTTATTTATCACTAGACCCGGTTGGGTCATTCAAAAATTGTCTTAGCCCTCAGTATTTCATGAGGACTAGACGGGGTATTGGGATTAGTTTTCAACTAGCAATAATCGCCCCTCGGTAAAACCTCATTGGGTACGATAATGCCACTGCGCAAAGCTGATGAGAATACGCAGTGCTGGCAGGCCGGCCTAAGCGACGCGAGGTGAGTACCGTCGCACGCCGTATAGTAATTCAGCTGCTGGTAAGAAACAAGTGGATCGATTTTGTATCTAGTTTTAGAATACAAAGCAGATTTTTTATTACTTTCTATTAAAATAATAACAATTAAAATAATCACACTAAAACTACTCAAAATGTAAGTAATTTTGATGTTGACGAGAAACCTTTTAACTTTGTTTGCGCGACTTTCCGCGGTGGCGCTAGTGTGTAGTGCTACCTTCCTATATATTTATGCACAATGATTGCGTGCTCAGAAATCCAAAAAATATCTGCAATATCTCAATTAAAAAGAAAACATCTCATTTCTTATAACAAACTTATTCCCTTATTTTTTTCTCTATTTAAATAAATAATGCGCAATTTTTATTTATGATTAAATTAATATTTAATTTGATTTTAAATGCAAGATCAATATTTACTATTTAAATTAAAAATCAAGTTCATTAACTGTTTCTAATTATGTCATATGTATTTTAAGTAAGAATAACGATTATTATAATACCTTTTCTCTGCATCTTTGGGTTCCCCAAGTCTGGAGCTCACAGTAGGAGATAAGTACTTTTCCAACCCTCTCCACCGATTCAATTTTTCCTGCAATCTCGGGGTCGCTTCCCCATTGAAGGGTGACACTACGGAAGTCTGGATTCACCTCTAACTCTTCACCTGCAATTCAAATGGGAAATGCTCACAAAATTTAATTTTTTATTAGGATAATTAAAAGTAGACTTTCATTATTGGAGCAATGTAATTAACATTTTTTTAATTAATTTTTAAATTCCCACTGCTCGCAATGTAGCATTGTAAAATATCCAGCAGCAAAAAAGACCAAAGCATTAGTTCTTCCCCTTTTTGTTCCAATTCGATGATAATCGCGGCGTGCGCGGCCGGTCGCGTTAATTGGAGCTCATCAGACTCCCACAACAATCACTCGGCGTGGACAAAAAATTAAAAGCTTGTAGCTCTTTTCGTCATTATAAAAGTATATATGTGTCAGCTGCACACAATAAGCGTAACCTTTTTATGCATTTTTTAAGCAGAAAATCCTGCATTCAATGGTAACTGTTCTTGTCATTAAAGCTTACTCTGAAATAAAAGGAATCGAGTGCACGGCGCGCGCGATGATTGTGAAAGGTGCCTTAGATCGACACACGAGCGCACAAATTTATGAGGCAAAGAAATCATTTGTACACTTTTGAAAAAAAATAGACATTTGCAACTAAAAGGTTACAGTAATTTAAATACTAATAATTCTATAGACAATGCGAAAAGAAGGCAACTTTTTTTATAAAATAAGAGAAATATTAAAAAAAAATCAGCCTAAGGAAACAAATTTAAATTTTTAACACCATATAAACAAAATTTACAGACATTAACGAAAATAAATAAATTGAGTATTCAAATTGATAAGAAAAAGTAAAAATAAATCAATTGAAAACGTAATTAATTTTGTTTTTAAGTTTTAAATGATAAATTACATTACATATTTTAAATAATAAACAATGGTAATATAATATTTAATAAATAAATTAAAAATATTTAGTTAATAATTAAAATATTACAATCATTACATTCTATTATTATATATAGAAACTAACTATCTTTGCATGTTAAAGAGCAAAAGGTATTTCTGTAATTCTGTATACTGGGGTAACCAAGCTGCCTTTATAGTCATCGACCCACATTTTGTACAACAACTGCACAAAGTCAAGCTTTTATTATTATTTTTTTTTCATTCTTAACTTGATCCTCTCGCAGGATGCAGATAGTGACACACTATATCATGCTTTCTTTAGATGAAACGCAAACGCAACATTTCGTTTGCTCAGCGTGAAGCAGCTCGAGTGTGACACACGACAAAAGGCAATTCGTTTTGTTTTTCTTGGCAATTGGTCTTGAAAAAAGTCGATTTATTCGGAAATGCCAAGACCTGAAACTGTACTCTTGCCGGCGTCATACGTGTTCTTTTATTCCGCCTTTGCGTGGCACAATTTCCTTTGGTTTATTGTTTCGTGTGACACATTGACTGACTGAGCAAGAACTGATATAAAACATTCTGTGGAATCAGCTGGTACAAAGTTGATTTCAAATTAAATGCGAATTGGCCAAACTTTAAACTAGAAGAATAAGAATAATATAAATAAACTTTAGAGAATAAATTTAATTCTTCTTAATTACAAAAGTGAGATAATTTTTTACAGCAACAAAAAATATCACTTTCTTTGCATTAATCACATAAATACAGATTTATATCTGTAAATTTATACTGGTTGAATATTTCCTTTTAATATTCTGCGCATTTTTTTTCTTAACGTGGTCATTAAAATTAATTTTAAGTATTATTAATGTAAAATAAGATCAGTTCACAATGTAATCACTAATCAGATTATGTTTTCAAAACGCTAATGTAAATTTGTTTCTTGCTCTGATTTCAAGGGTTCCATGTCCTCGCCTTCCTTTCCTTCAATGCAGCACCGACGCCACGCAATCTCTCCTTTCGCCTCTTTTGCTCTTCGTGCGCTCCTTTTAACTCGATTCCACTTATGTTGACTTGAAACAAATTTTTTACCTTGATCCATATAGCAAAATAAATTCAAGCTCTCTAGCTCGTAAAATTTTCCCAGCGGAGCATGAGACGAAAGTGAGTTCTGCGGGCGGAATGCAGTAAAATAGCTATACTCTGTGATGAGCTAATAAAATATCAAATTAAATTCCGCGTCGACACATGTAACGACCGCATATTTCAGTGTCTCGATCCGGTGTACTGAGCAGACGAGAATTAAAGCGCATGCAAGTAAAGAGGTAATTGATCTCTGCGTTGTTCAATTCATGGGCACATCAAAAGTAAAAGGCGTGTCTGTTGAGTTTTTTTTTCAAATATCACATATTTGCACGTTCTACAAAACTCGTCTGACTTGCGCTTACTACACAAAAAATTGCTTTCTATTGCTCCAAAATGGAAATTCACAAAACGAAAAGGAAACAAAGCGGAGATTGCATTGAATTAAACTTTGTTCTGGTGTATAATGTGCAATATCAAAGTTGTTAACCACATATTGATGATTGTTGTGTGCAGCTCACGTCTTTTCGTGACCGCAACTTAATTCGGATACCACACAAGATGATGACCTCTTCGAGTAACCATTCAATATAAAGTTCAGGCTAAACCAAAGCAATTTTTTATAATATTATTTTTGCAATAGAAAATAAAATTAAATATCTACGCGCAAATGAGCCCACCACTTTTACATTGAAAAATTTATATTTTCGCAAATGCGTTGTAAATCTCATGTAATTGCTCAAATAATAAAATGCAGATTTTTGTTATCAGTGTGTTGTATCACATGTATACCGTCATCGCACCAAAGAGCTTTGGGACGCACAATTGAATTTGCATAAATGAGGCGGAGTGCAGCGGCAGGGCAATTATTCACGGCTGTTGCACCGAGATACGCTTTACTGGACATTTGGATCGACACCAAATAATCGACCAGTTGAATATCGTCCTCTTATCGGTCAATTGACCAGATTTTTTATCACAGAATTCTTCATTTATGGCAATTCAAATAGTTTTCTAATATATTTTAACTGTGAGTAGAACTATACAGGACCTTGACCGAGCAATTTTTATGGCTGTATTTATAATATAAATTGCAAAAATTGTCCTATTTTCCAAGAAATGCATCGTAAAAACGGCCTATCTTTGATAATTATCATTTAAAGTAGGTTTATTTGCTTTTATAATTATCTCAGCTCAGTACGTATAATTTTTTTTAAAGCCAACATGCTCTGCTCATAATAAGCGACGAGACGGTATATTTTATCCCTTTGTTTCGCGCCGGCAGCTCATACTTTTTATGGTCGCGTTTTCGCTTTGCATCCGGCCAAAGGGACTGTAATTACAATTGTGTCTTCGCTTTCTGCGTCTGCTTTTAGTCAAAATCCGGTGCTCTTCTGCTCTTTTTTGGAGAAGGAAGTACGCGGCAAGCATTGAGATAGAAATCATCATCGCGCCCGAAAAACTGTAAAACGCGCGCGGTGTTGAGAGAGCTTTAATGAGTGAAGGGTCCGACCGACTTTAATACAAGAATGATAAAGACAAAATTAACTTTTTGTGCAAAGCTCTTTTAAACTTCAACACGATGATTCACGTCAAATTGAGGGCTTTCAAATCTTTTGACAAAATTGGCCGTGCAGCGCATTAACTGTGATCTGAAAATTGAATTAAAAAAGTGAGGGATCATTCAGAGCAACAGAAGCACTCAACCTCAATCACTTTGTGCGAGATGATTGCAATCTTTTGCTGTTATGGTAAAAACCGTTTTGTTGTTAAGAGTATAATGCACTCACGAGACCATCAGCTTAACTATCATGAATAACGAGCAAATATAAATTGTATAAAGATATAATAACAGCTTAATCTGGTCAGTAAATGTGTAGAGGAAGCTCAATGTAATTTTAATATATGATTTTGCAGCGTATTAAGTGAGACAAGATGAAAAAAATTAACAATACTTAATTCAAAAGTTTTAATTTGCTATTTTTATCAATTTCATTGAAGCAGCTGAAGTGAAAAAAGTGCATCATAGAGCTAAAAAATTTATTTATTTTATTTTATTATTCTTTAAAACTGATGGAGAATTCATTATATACCATTTACAAAAACGTAAACTTCAATTGAGTTACATTATGAAAAAGTCAATCGAACTACAATTTATCAAACTAAATTAATTCGGTACATAAATAAATGAAATTAATTATGGATCTTGCTATCTAGAGCAATTTGTTGATTAAAATCTTCCTTCCATTGTGATGTGCGAGGCTGAGTGTATGCAATAAAAAGGTAACGGCTCCGGAAGAGATGAAAAATGCGAGCATCATGATATTCGCTACGTTCGTCGTGATATGTAATGAGCTAACAGGACGCACGAAAGACGTGCCGTATGAAATCCCGAAGGCGCAAAGTGAGATAATAAGCGCGGTGATATGCACTTTTATGTGCATTTTATTCGCACACCGTATAGAAGTCGCTCACCAGACACCCAGAGGTTAGTTTTATATGCGGTAAAGCAAAGACCTATTATGCTATTTTGAGTCTTATTTGGTGAGAAAATGAATAAAAGCCGTTACGCTCCTCACAGCAATTATGCATTAGTTTCTGTTGAGCTGAGCATCGCGTAGGGCATCCAACACGCAGCTCAAAAATATGTGATACAATTTTTTACTTGAAAAAGCATATTTTTAATTTTACCTTCAGCAATTTATTTTCAAGTTTTTTTTCTTTAATAATTTCAATTTTCACCAAACAAGGCAAATAATGTAAAAATGTAAGCGATTTGTCATTTTTCATAATTTAATTTTTAATGGAAATTCGCAAGAATATAATGAATCAGAAATTTTACTTACCATCAGCTGCAGAAATTTGGTACACAAGGACGGCGATGGATGCAACAAAAATCCACTTCATATTGTAGCAGTTTTGATTTTTCTTCTAGTCGCAATTTTTGTTTTTGTTGGCGGCGGCGATCTTGAGACAAAAATTGAAGCTGCTGCTTCTCAGGATTACTTCATCGCCTCTGTAACCAAAGAGTAATCGCACATTTGATATAACAGTTCACAGATAATATGACATAACGAAATTTACGGAATTGCAAAGTAATTGCGGAAGAAATGAATTTCACTGAGCGTGATAATTGGAGGCGGCCGGTGCGAGAAAACACTACTGAGAGAGAACAAAGACATCTAATTTTGCAAAATATTGAAGTGGGATCGTTTTGATAAATTGCTTCTTAGAAGCTCATTTTCTGCCCGGCGCTTGTTGGAGTGAAGATGGTCATGTCATTATAACTTTAAACGCTCCAAACGAGAGTGGTTTTGATCTTTTCAGCAAATAGCCGCCGGTGGCTGTGAGCGTTTTACATATTTGTGTATGTATAATATAAATATTAACACGGCCAGCTCGTTTCCGATTTGTCATTTACCGCAAAGGGGATTTGAGATGCCATAAATAAAGGCATGAGAGACTCAGTTTGTTGAACTCGCATATATATTTTATCGCAATTATACTCTCAATTAACTAAGTTTGATGGCAATAATAAATATAAAACGGAAAGAAATTTTTTGAAAATAAATCTGGCAGGATCATAAAAAGTCTTAAATTACACCGGCGCCACTTTACAATCGAACATCAGAATATTAAATTTACCTCTAACCATGATACGTAGGAAAAATTAATTATTTTGTTCCGTATATTTAACAAAAAATCACTTAAAAGTGATTTTTTGATAATAATTGTGAGAAATATTCTCTGATCCGACTATTAAATATAAGCAGACCGTGATATGAAGGGCCATTAACCCAAGTGAATTAAAATTCAGTCTCGCGAATTTCATTTATGCGCTTCTCGGTACACATCAAAGAGCTGAAATTTCTAAGCACCGGTCGTACATCCGCCCAGCAGCACTGCCAAGACGGTGTGCGTTTGACCCTCACAGAAAGTTCAATCCCTTTTGATATGCATCCTCTCAAGTTTAATGCACGCATACTTGCCGATTGGGAAAAAGCAGGAAAAAGGATACTTAATATTAACATGGCAAAAGAATAAGACCGAATTGCGATTTCTCTCGCATCCTCCCATTAAAATGGAAAAAAAACATCTTTTTTTCAATTAAGAAAGGAATTCAAGTTTAAACATTTAATTTTACCATTACGTTCATTGGGTTTAAACTGTTGTAACTTTCAATAAAAAATTCGGGATGAAAAGATTAAAAAAAAAATAATATATATTCTTGAGTTTTTCTCTGAAATTGCAGAAGGCATTAAAAGAGCTAATGCTCTTTATTGCGTATAAATTGAATTGTTCGTGTGAGTGTGGGTGGAAAGGATTCCCAGGTGGCAATCATCGCGAAATTAATCCAAATCAGAGCGCGTGTACCGCATTCGCAGTTAGGTGATCTCATTATTAAATACAAACAATGCCTAATATACTCTCCATAGCATAAAAGTAGTTCCAAGTGTACATTTCCAGAAACGAATAGCATGGAAAGGTCGTTACTCCACGTCGAGGGAACAATGCTGGGAAAGCGAGATTTATCAAAATACAATTCGGACAAAGACGATCGGCATCTCCGAAAGAACAAAACGCGCGCGGATACACGGCGGAAAAGGCACGAGAATAAAGTGGTCGCACGTCGCAGGGGATTATTTTTGCATTAGACACGCTTGCACAGCTGAGCGAGAACGCGTTTATCCATCCAGTTAAGAGACAAAAAAGGTGCTCGAAGTGAAAGAAAATGAAAAAAATCCAAGAGCCAGCGAGCTTAGCAAAAAAACTTTTATGTGATGCATTTCGTTTGGATCAATTCTAGTGAAAAGTGAAATTTATTGGAAAGGCTCTTTGTTTTTTATTCTTGAATGAATCTTTATTTTGGAGGTGAGGGGATTTCGTTTAAGAGCTTCTTTTTGTACAAAGTTGAAAGTAAAATAAATGGAGAAGGATATTTCCAAAAATCCCATATTAAAACTTTTAAGAGATGAGTAAAATTACAATTTTTTTTTATTTAATAATTATTCTGATCTATATTTCCTCATTTTTGATGAAATTAAAAAAAGGAGGGGTATCGAATAGGTGCATAGTTTTGAAAAAAAAAATATGGGAGAACTAATTTAAAAATATGCAAAATAGCACGCGTTACTCATTGTTATAAAGTTTTATTGTTTGAATGTAAATCAAGTGAGATTCATGTTGAATAATTGTGGTTTTATTTTACAAACATAAGGTTCAGCAAGTCCAAATGAACAAAATGATCCTTATGTATAAAGCACGCAGAACCAAATATTCTCATTCTTGTGGCAAACCATTGCAAATTTGATTGATTCGGTTGCACGCAGGTGATATAACTGTTACACAGAATATGCATTTTTCTTCTTGTTTTAATCTGCTACTGCTTTTAATAAAAAAAAATTTTTGAGTGGCACAACGAATTGTATATGTACTTATTTTTTTTCACCTTTTGCGACGTGCGTGCATGTTTTGGCGACAGGCTCTGATTATTTGGGAAAGAACGAAAGGAACCAAAAGGTGAGGAGAAGAATGAACGACCTCTGCAAAAACGGCAATGGCAATTTTCATCAGCAAACGACGGAGAAATTACCAGCTGTTGTTTTCTGTTATAAAACAGCGTACACCATGACACGCGGCATCTCATTAAAAATAAAAGTTCATTCCACGCAACCGTAATATTGTTCCCGCTGTGTTGATCTCATAATCAGAAGATTATTTTTAAATAAAAGTTCATTTTGATATAGTAAAGTGACAAAAAAAATTATAAATAAAATAAAATTGGTATTGTAATTGTATAAATATTTGGAATTTTTTATCTGACGTGATTTAATATTGAAGGAATTGTCCTTTTAAATAATGTGGCTTCTAAAAACATTCATTGATCTAAGGAGCAGATTACTTAAATCAATATACGTGCTACCTCAAAAATTAATTTAATTATGAGCAAATTTTAATAAAAAATGTACACAAGAGAAGTTATCAATCTTATTATACAAATATCCTAAGTAATTGAGTGGTTTTTGTGTGTGAATTCCTCACGCAGCGTCGAAAGGAAAATTGCAAGAGAATTAACGCTAAATTACCTTTGCACTTGCAGTAGCCGCAGTGCTGATCCTTCTTCCGAGATAATTAATTTTTTATAAATCACGTTTAATTGCACTGGCTATTAAGCTGTCACTCAGTCAATTCTTGAGACGAAACAAATAAAGCTGCTGAGATGCATAAAAAGCAAATCGCAGGTTCACGGCCGCGCTCTCAGGTGCACTTCTCAAGGCTTTAAACAATAATTACGGGAGGTTTAAAATTAATCTGAATAGGCTATGTCGGCAAAATATTTGGTTTTATAGACTCGCTGTTAAAATAAAATCCTATGGGGCGCGCAAAATGAACTTGCTGATGATGTGTCGCGATCCGACTGCGACTGAATTTCCCGAATTCGCGTGAGTGACGCTGTCATCCTGCGTGCGCATCATGTGTGTATTGCTCTGTGTTAAAATACTTTTTTTGAATTAAAATACAGACCCAAACCAGGCATACGTGCAAGTACAGAGAAAGAGCCGTCAAATCACTTGATTTCCGGGCTATTCAATGAGCGTGGTGGTCCACGCCAAGGCCGGGCTCTTTCGGGCGTCTGCTTTTGTTGATTTTTGATCATCAAATATAAATAAACTGATTGGCATTTCAGATGGAAGGGTTAGGATGGGTGGCGTGAAAATAAAATTAGCGCTTGAGGAGAACTTATAGTAATATGATAGTGACCATACACTGCTTATGATATGAAAGTAAACATCTACTAATTTTCCGAAACTCGCAAAGTACTGCATTCGTTGAAATCTCTCATATATAATTAATGAATAATTAAAATGACTAGTTTCTCACTCAAAAAATATCAGCAGCAATTTGCAGCTAGTTTCAATAATATTTATAAATACAGAGTAAAATATTTCAAATATTATGAAAAGGCCGCAAACTTAAATTTAATCAAATTCCACGTTAATTTAAAAATATGAAACTCAAATTAAAATTACAGGAGTAATTTTTTACCTTAAAATAACGTTAGTGAATGTTGTTGATTAGTAGAAACAATGTTGTAATAGTGTGCCTGCAGCCTGGTGTTGTTCAAAACCGGCGAGCTCTCCAACCTGCCTGTGAGTGAGCAGGATGCAGACTAAACTAAAAGCCGGTGGACGGAGCCGGCAGTAATTTTGCCATGATCGCGCTTCCATGCACACAGACATGCGCAAAGCCACAAAAGCGTCTCATAATAATCTTCATAATTTTAGGTTTGAAGCTGGTTTGAAGGAGTGAGCATAAAATAACTCGACATAATTATGAAAATCAATATAATCAAATAAAATCGAAATCAAAATTGAAACTTTCATTTTTCGTGTAATCTGAATGAGACACTTGTATAAAATTTGTACTTCGTTGTTTTATTTTATTTATGGTTTTTTTAAAAATTGAAATGTGTTACAACTCACTACAGTTGTGTGGAAAGATTTTAATGATTGTAAGGCGAACAGTACCATCTAGGATCTTGCTAATCTAAAATATCATCCTAAAAACGGCATAACGTCCAAAAGAAAAGTTAAGACTCAATTATGATCTTCGTATCAAAAGAAACTATACAAGTGATCAATAATCATAATATGCACATTGTGTAGTGTCAGAGAAAATTTACAACAATTTAAACTAATAAAAAAGTTTACGATCAAAGTATCAACAATTTAATATGATTTTCAGTGATTTTTGCACAATGTACATGATCATTATTTAACATATTTTTCACGTCCTCGAGAGTTTGGTAGTTGAACATGAAAAGCTGTCAAACTAGTTTGATAGGGATGACTCTCCTTGGAGCTGCTCTGAAAGGACCATCTCTGATTGGTCAGCCTCCGTTTGGATTGTGATGATCATTTTGCTGTCTTCCTCGGCAGATGAGGCGTCATCGTCACCCAACGGATCCTCGATCTTGGAGCCGTCCGCTGCTGTCCGAACTTTACTATGCGTCCGGATGTGTTTCGAAAGGTGGTCACTACGCATGAACTTCTTGTTGCACTCTGTACACTGGAATCTCTTCTCGCCTGTGTGCGTCCGTCGGTGACGCTAAAATCAGAAATAATCACGTTATGGTTAAAGACAAGTAAAGAAGAAAAAAAATGGGAAATAGAAAATAGAATTTTTTAAACACTGGCATATAAATTTTATTTTATTTAATCTGTTTAAGTTAAAGTTCATGAATTAAGAAAGGGAAATTTAATAAATTGATGAATAAACTGACCTGTAGCTCATCTGAACGGGTGAATCTTTTTCCGCAGAAGAGCCAATTGCAGACAAAAGGTCGTTCTCCAGTGTGCCATCTTAAGTGAGCCCGTAGATGAGACGTCTTCCCGTAAACTTTGTTGCAACCGGCAATATGGCAGATATGTTGCTTTTTTCGATTACCTCCTCTGTAAATTTAAGTTTATTTAACAACAAAATCACAAACATTCATTTGGTTGTAATTACTAGAAAAAGAATTATTATTTTACCTGTATCTTTCACCGTCGGTACAATTGGGACAAGTGCAGGCAACTCTTCGAACTCTGGTTTTGGCAGGAGAGGAATTTGGGTCCGACTGGTTATCATTGTTTGTTGGAGTAGCCGTTTGGGTTTGAACAGGCGATGCCGCTCTGAAGGTTTGTTGCGTGCTAGTTGGGGCAGTGGTCAAAACTTGCCATTTGTAGTCGCCAGCTTCCTGAAGTTGCTGGGCAGCTGAAGAGGATTTTTTTACATTAATATTAAATGAAAATAGTTTTAACAGGCTTACATATGATTTGGGTGCCCGGGGGCAATGTTTGGATTGTGGCTGTTTGCTGAGGAGCCACATTGATGGTGGTAGGAGTAGCAATTTGGATGTTCTGCAAGCCCTGAAGACCCTGAATGTTTTGAAGAGAGCCAGCCTGGATGATTTGAACGTTTCCGAGGCCAGGGATGTTCTGTATGGGAATTCCTTGGATGCTTCCCAAGCCAGGTACCTATTTACAAAATTTTGTATAAAATAAAGCCAAAAGAAAACTTTTTGTTCAACGAACCTGAATAATGTTGCTTTGTTGTCGAACCTGCTGAGCCTGGAGATTTGCCAGACTAGAAGCCGGTATAACAGTGATCTGCTGGCCATTTGCACCAGACAATGTAATCTGCTGCGGCTGAATTTGCTGAGAGGTGGCCTGTGCTGCCTGTGTCTGTTGATTCGAGGCAGCTGGACTACCTGCTTCGGAGGCATTGACCTGCACGGTTGTTTGGTTGGCGTTCGTCTGGGACTGCGGGGTGAGTTGGTGAGATATCTGCACCTGCTGCAGCTGCCCAGAGGCGGTGAGGATTTGCGCCACTTGCGGTTGAGAGGGTATCTGAATTTGCTGGGCCATTGGCTGCAACATAAAAAAATCAATTACACGATCATGAAAATTTTAGACATGAAAACAAAATATAATTACGTAAGAGCCGTAATTAAAGATCTAAACATTCGAGATAAATACAAACAATTTTTAGCTTTTTATTTATCTGATTTCAATCTAGATTTTTGTACCTGTGACAGTTGCTGGATCATTTGCAGTGTTTGTCCGTGCTGGCCGAGAATGTTGCCAGTTGGAATGGTGGTGGTCAATGCTTGCACTGGGAAATGAATTGTCTGGTAGACGGTCTGACCTCCAGCTGTGGAAACTGGCACCTGGACAGGAATTGTCTGCTGCACTGTCGGGAACTGCATCATTTGCGCGTTGCCACCTCGAATTATTTGCTGACCGCCAGGACCTGAAGAGACATGTAAATTTTAAAACCAACATTCAATTGATCAAAATTTCAGTTTTTTATTTTTATTATTTCCAGCCAACTGACCTGTCATCTGCACCGTATGCTGGGCGACCATGTTCTGCAAAAGACCAGCATTGACCACTGTGGCCTGGGCTGGTGACGACGGCACTTGCGCTCGAATGATTTGTCCCGTTTGCGTCATCAAGGTCTGGCCGCTGCCCTGAGAGCCGGGCGAAGACGTGAGGGCTGTTGCAGGAATGAAAACCGCTTCTTGGCCGTCAACCGTCACTGTCTGCAGGGGGTGGACGTTGTAGCCAGCAGCCGCGGCAGCCGCCGCCAGGTTTTGCTGCTGTGTCGGCTGCGCCTGAGCACTCATGATTTGACCCTGGAACGAGAAATTCAGGTTCTATGCTGAGATTCGAAACCATTTCCATTACATTCAAATTGGTACATTTAGTTAGTAAAACACAAAAACACAAAGGAAAAAAATAGCAATTTTACCTGCATTTAAATGAAAGTTTAAATAAATTTATCGAATTTGCATGAAGATGTGATGAATGTTCTTATGTAATCCATGTTTGATTTAAAATTATATTAAGAGATATTTATGAAAATTTTGCTAGTAGAATTATTAAAAAATAGATAAAAAGAAAACAAAAACTTAAGTAATTGGAAATCCAATTAATTATAATTACCTGTAGGAACTGTCCTGGAAGTCCTTGCACAGACTGCAGAGAAACAACTGTCTGCTGCTGTTTCGATTCTCCATCAGAGCATGAAACCTAAAATAAAATAAAACTAGAGTAATTTTTCCATCTTATTAAAAATAATTTTGTGCAGATTTCAAATATTTTATTACTATATAAACATAAAAAACCTTTTGGTAATTACATTTCCGACGGAAATCAAAGCCATTTTAATTCTTTTTCCTAACATTGAATTTTTTTTTGCGGAATTTTCGTACCTGTTGTTGGACGAGGGGCAGTAGCTGTTGCTGCTGCTGGTTTTGAAGTTGCTGGAGCTGTTGAAGGGTGATGAACTGCGGCTGCTGTGCCGCAGCCTGGGGCGACGTCTGCACCAGCGAGCCATCGGCCTGCTGGATGAAAGTGGCGCCGCCGTTGACCAGTCGGATGGACTGCTGCTGCTGCTGCTGCGGGGTCGACGGCCCCGGGGTGACCGTTCCCGACTGCTGCTGGGTCGGGGTGGTCGACGGAGGCGGCGTGCCCACCGGAAGAATAACAATGTTGCTGTCCTGGCCCTGCATGGGCTGCGACTCCTGGGGCGAACCCCCTTCGCCATTGGCACCTCCTATTTTGCTGCAGGTGGCGGCCAAGAGGGCCAACGGAGACGGCGCTGGGTTTTCCTGCAAACACAAATTCCCACCAATGTTGAAAGATGACAAATACAAATTTTGATTATATTTATTTCCTCGATATGCATGCGAGCTACTTCATAAAATTATCCTCAGCAAGATTAACATTAGACTTTCCCGTGTTAACCTTAGGCAAGATTAAGTTATGATATATTATGTTTTTTTTTCTTTCATCGGTATATTTTTTTAATTGTTTTTGTACCCGAATTATTTGGAATTCCAGCTGATATTCTCTTGGTGCTATCTAAACAAAGGCATACATTGGAAAAGTGAATCAACAATTTAATTAACTGAGCATTTCAAACTTTATTATTAATATGTGTAGGAATGGATTTAATTTTTTTAATACTTTTTCTTGATTTTTTTAAAACATTCATATGGCAAAAAAGTTGGTAGATTTAAAAAAATGTCCTTAAAAAAATTCGCTGTGGAAACAAAAAAATACTTCTGCATTTTTTTTTTTTTTTTTTTTTTGTAATATTTTCCCTCAGAGAATTAAATTTTTTTTAATTCTTTAATTAAACAGAACAACATCTGCCTGTAGATATTCTTTATTTAGTTGCTGTTTTTTTTATGGTGAAGTTTTAAGTGAAAAAAACTTTGCCTTTGCCTTGCTACGAATTTACGAAAAAGCATCCCTTCAAGCGTCTTGAGTAAAAAAATGATCTGCGAGCATCTGTTGCCGCTGGCTCATCACTCTCAGCTTTTGCGTGTACGTACAGCAGCGGAGAAATGAAATTCACCGCGCGTGACGTCACGAGCAATAAATACCCACGACCTCCACGCAAAACACAAAAGACGAAGTTGAGCGAAAATGACAAAGGTCGCGCGGTATCACTCACCTGTTTAGTCGGCGACGGAGGGTAAGGCAGAAAACAGTCTTCCTCTTTGACCTTATTGGTTGCGGAGGACATGATCTACGGACACATGAAAGACTCCCACAACGGACGACAACCGCCCGCCCCCAGAAACTTTAAGCCTTGCCTACAGTCGGTGGACGGCCCTCGCACCGAATTCGCTCGATTCGGCCGCCAAAACGCACGTGGCCTCCGGAAAGGCGCCACCGACTGACAGGTACGTCTGCAGGGAGTGCGGGCCTGTCGCTTTCGACCACTTGTCGGCCCGAATTCCACTAGAAACGCGCGATTAAAGTGGCAAAGCGGAGTTGAGCTTGTTCGCCGCTCTACAATCGTCAGCCTCTTCCGCCTTTGCCACTCCGCTCTAGAGTGTATTCCTCCGCCACTGCAATCGATACCCCACACACGGACCCTTTTAGGCCGCCGAATCCCACATTTGACAGTCGGAATCAAACGAAAACTGCAAATAACTTGAGTTTGAACACTTATAAACCTTCATAACTGGAAAATAAAATTTAAATCTCAAAATTCGTGCTTGCCTCCGTGACTTTTTTCAACGCCCTAGGGTCAATTTTATTTGGCGAATTTTGGCGCGAGTTGGGCATGTCGGCCTTCTAGGAATTTTATTTAAGCACCTTTTAACAAAATCTTTGAATTAAGCACAAATGTGTCAGGGAAGTTTGCTTCGGAAATTTCGAAATAAATTTTGAAAATTTCTGGGCGTTGACGTCGGAGCACTAATCGTTGTTATACGGTCGGTCGGGGCGGCCTATGTGCCAGGCTGATTGGCAGAGACCTCCCCTTAGCCGCGGTGCAGGCATCCCCAGCGAAGCGGGTCGCAGCTGCACAGAGGGAGGGTCACCTCCCTTGTTTCGGGGGTGCAACAAGGGTGGAGACACGCACTAAAATGCACCCCGTCCGGCCCCCGAACAGATCTCGGCGGTCGCACCGCCGAGGCCGGAGGCTGCAAGAGCCGCCGCCAAGGGCGCGATATCATGAAAGCAGGGAGGGCTCTCGCAGAAAAATACAACCCTCCCGCCGCGTCCGTGTTAAACACACCCCTCACTTTAATGAATTATTACACACTCACGGGCTCAGGAACAGGAAGTGAAAAGGTTCACTAGGTTAAAAATCACTGTTGGGACTTATATAGCAGTTCTTTTATTATATTGGAAATTGAGAACTCCAAAATTAAAGAACAGAAAAAGAAAGAGACTCAAATCTTTTATTATAATTATTTTATTTTTGAATAATCAATCAAAGTTATTCACTTCATTCTGAAATAAAACCAGAAAATTGAATTTGCCAGGAATTTGCAATTATTGCGGTTAAATTTATTTTAAATTAACTGGAGCTAAATATTTTCCAACATAAAATTAATGCTGAAAATCGCCATAAATTAATTTAACTTACATTAGTATTATTTAACTGTAAACAAATTATCGAAAATTTCCTGTTCTTGAAGATGGTCAAAAATTGTAGAATTGAGCTATTGAATAATTTTTGCGCAAAGAACAACCCTTATTAATTTAAATTAAATATATTTGGCAATGACTATCTTAAAATATTAAATCTGTTAATGTTGAGAGATAAAGGACCAAATATACTGGGTGGGTCAGCGATGTGTTGTCGGCGCGGAGGCAGGGCGGGGCCGGGGTCTTCAGACGTGCGCCAGCCCATTAGCAAAGAGGCCCCCCGCCCCTTGATGCCGCCGCCGCCGCGCTGCCTCGGCGTGTTTTGTCTGCGGCGGCCGAGGACTCGAAAAGGTGCTTAATCGGTGAACACACCCACATTACCCATGGGTGGGACTTCTTTAAGATGGAGCTACACGTGCGTTTGTTGACCTTCAATTTTAATTTCGTACCTTTCTGAATAAGAGTGAAGCATTAATTTTTATTTACGAAGTCCTATTTCTACAAAAAATAAAAAATATTAAGCAAGTCGTGTGTGTTTTTTTATTAGGGGCACGTGACAAAATCGAATTTCACGTTTTTATATAAAAAATTTAAAACAATATCAAAATGTCGAATGAGCAGGGAATCTTTTTAAATTAATTTTTACCATTAAATTTAAAAACGGTTTCGCTTTACTGGCAGATAAAATTTTAAGGGTTGCCAGGAATTAATATAATTTTTCAGATGAATAAAACAATGACTTTTTTATTAAAAAAATTAAGGAATTGAGAATAATACAATTATAAATTATTCCCATAAAACGTTAGAAGTAAAGTATGCAACCATCGTGGAATGAGTGCTGGGCGGAAAGCCTACCTCTAAAATCTGCAGGGTGTTTCAACATAGAGCTTTTATTTTTTGATATTCCATAACTTTTCATCCCTTTCTTTATAAATTGGATTTCACTCCCTTTTCTCGCTAAGCAGTCTCACGCGCGCCTGGACTGTGCCTAGCGCTTTTGTGCCACCATCTGTCGTTGACGGGCCGCGGCTGTGCAGTCGCGGCTCTTCGGAGAGAGGCCGCGCGACTCGAGCCGCGGCTGCCTCGACCCAGCTGCGACCTCTGATCTGCCTTTTCGGTGCGCCGAGGACGATAAGAGGGCGATGAAATCGAACCGCCCGTGAAACCCTCCAGTTTTTACGCCACCCTCTCGCCGTCGGCCGTTGAAATTGCGGAAGGTGAGTCCGACCTGAGACCTGCCGACACCCTTTTGACTAATTTTGCGGTCACCGCCGGGCTCCACCGTCCCTTAAACGAGTGGAGAACAACTTGGTTGTGTAACACTCGCGGCCGCCCGCAGCTGTCTATAGCCCTAGTCATTAACTTAATTGGGTCTTCGTTGTTTTCCTCAGCAATTTGCCGGAGAAAGTTGAGTTAAACGGGGCCTAAATTTTAGCAATCCGACTCTGGCCTTCCCGGAGATCAGTTTTATAACCCGATTCGTTCCGAGAAGCGACTGCACTTTTGACTCGCTTGAGTTTTAAGAGAGGGTGAGTGCACTGCAGTGGTTTTATTTTTGCTTGGCGTACAATGTGGCGCGTCATTTTTGGCATTTGCCTCCGGCATGTGTCCGGTATACCAGTCATTAGCGAGGCACGGTGCCTCCTCCCTTGACTAATTGCAAGTCCGTCAGTTAAATTAAAGCATACTTCAATTTAAATTCAATCAGAGTTGTTGCATAATAATAGAGCCATTTGAACAAGCAGGCGCAATTGGAGCCAAGGATAACACCGTATAAGAACTGACAAGTGACGTGAGAAATGGAATTATTTCCCTTGAACGAGCAGTTTTACATGCATGAATAGAAAACAAACAAACTAAAATTCTCATTTTTCCTTATTTGGATACAAACTAATTATATTTAAATGTGTTTTAAAGTTTGCAAACCATTTTCGAAAGACACATTTTCATTTTATATATTTTGTATTATTATATTATTTTTAATTGTTTTCATTTAATTAAATAACTACTAATTACTGTAAAATTTATTATTTTATTTTACCTTCTATGATTTATGGTAATGTATTAGCTTTTTTTACCAATTATGAGCAGATTTAATTAGTGAACTTTTTTGTAAAAAGTATTCATTTCGTTTAGATATAAATAATTCTTAGCAAATTAAGATTTGTTTAAATATTGTTTTATTTTGCAATTTCACGCCAATTTAATATTATATTTATTTGAGCTTGAAGAATTTCCTTCAAATTATCCAGAAATATTATGCAATTTTAATCATTGTAATCATTTTACTAAATTTTATTTATATATGTTTTTGTTAATTTTTCTAATAGAATTGCAAATAAATAATATTTAAAGGAAATCCCTATTTGTGTTTGATATTTAAATTATATTTGAGCAAGTCTTGAGGTCATAAAAGTTTTTACTTGTAACACTATCTTCTGCGAAATCAGCAAGAATCAATATTTAATTTTGCAACTATTGTGTAATCACTGATTAAACATAGGGATCTTCAGCCTTCTTTTATCTGCTGCGGCAAATATGTTTGAAAATAATCATGCTTCAAAAACGTGCCGAGAGCGTGGCTGCGGGCGGACAAACCATTGAAAAACGTCCGAGCGCGTGGCGTCACTTAATTGCTCGATTCGCATAGAGGCGCAGACAGACAAGATTTGGTTCTTTGCCAAATTTCCACGCTTCGTTTGGCGAAAATGGATTAAAAAATCCGCTTGCAAAGTTGGCGCTTGGTCGCAAACAAATATCCAAGACGCAACAATTGTAAAATGCATTTCATTTGTTCATTGTTGCCCTTGAAGTACCGAATTTTGCTAAAAATTGGACAATTTTCTGCTGTTTCAGTGATTGGATTTGAAGCTAAATTTTAAACTCATCACCATGGCATCTCGCCTGAGAAAAATCGCCTATGGAGGGGCTCTCCTTGGCACTACAGGTCTTTTTGGCAACTGGCTTTGGGATGATCTTCACAGCAAGCATAAGGTGATTTACAACTTCAATTTTTTCAAATAATATAAAGTATTTATATAGGTAATATTTTAAATTTTTATGCCAAATCCTTAAGTATTTGAAGTGTTGTAAGTGATTAGATAATTATTTTTGTTTATCTAGATGATCTTAAATAATTGTCAGATTTTTTGATCATCTTTAACTAAAAAATTCTATCGCAGAAGACTTAATTTGAGGATTGAATGTCAAATAAATGTTGTAGATAGTTGCAATGGAGACAAATTTGAGCAAGACCAAGCCGACCAGGCATCTTCCCACAAGAGCCGAGCAAATCGAGTCTCTGCAGAAGGAGTCGTTTGACGTCCTCATCATTGGCGGTGGCGCCACAGGTGCTGGATGCGCCGTGGACTCGGCCACCAGAGGCCTCAAGACGGCCATGGTGGAGGCCGACGACTTTGGCTCAGGCACCAGCAGCCGCAGCACCAAGCTGATCCACGGCGGCGTTCGCTACCTGCAGAAGGCTATCATGGGCCTTGACGTGGACCAGTACAACATGGTCAAGGAGGCGCTTTATGAACGCGCCAACTTGCTCGCCGTCGCCCCTCACCTTTCGCACCCGTTGCCGATCATGCTGCCTGTTTACACGTATGATTATAATTTTATATTATTGTAATTTCTGACATCCTGGTTAAATTTCACTCATTTTAAAAGTTATAAAAATAAATTGAATTTTTTAACTTATTTTTATCAAATTCTGGGGTATATTTTGAGGTTTTATCAGATCCAATGTTCACCCTGTCTCACTCACTTGACCTAGCTGCTTGATTTTAATCCTCATTTTTTTCTGTTCTCAGTTGGTGGCAAATCCCTTACTTCTGGTTCGGCATCAAAATGTACGACTTGGTGGCTGGCTCAAAATGTGTCAAGAGTTCTTACTACTTGTCCAAGACAGACGCCCTCGAGCTTTTCCCCATGCTGAAAAAAGACAAGCTGTGCGGTGCCATAGTTTACTATGATGGTAAATTTAAAAAAAAAAAAAAAAACTGTAATTTTTAAATAATAGCATTATTAATTTAGGTCAACAAAACGATGCAAGAATGAATTTGGCTTTGGCCTTGACGGCCACTCGTTATGGTGCCACAGTGGCCAACCACGTCCGGGTGACCAGTCTGCTGAAGGACGCCAACGGCAAGGTCTGCGGTGCCAGAATGCGTGACGAGATGGGTGGTGGAAAGGAATGGGAGGTCAAGGCCAAGTGCGTCATCAACGCCACCGGGCCCTTCACTGACTCCATCAGGAAGATGGACGACCCACAGATTAAGGAAATCTGCTGCCCAAGCTCAGGCGTCCACATCGTCCTGCCCGGCTACTACAGCCCTGAGCAGATGGGTCTCCTCGACCCTGCCACCTCAGATGGCCGAGTCATTTTCTTCTTGCCCTGGGAAAAACAAACCATTGCTGGCACCACTGATGCTCCCTGCGAGATCACGCACCACCCTGCTCCCTCCGAGGACGAAATCCAGTTCATCTTGGACGAGGTCAAGCACTACCTCAGCCCTGATGTTGAAGGTATTGGATTTTTTTTAATAATATATGAGAGGAAATTTGAAATTAAAATCAACCTAGCTTCAGAGTTTGAAATTATGTACTTGAACTATGACAAATTCCAGTTCGTCGCGGTGATGTCTTATCTGCCTGGAGTGGAATCCGTCCCCTGGTGTCCGACCCCAACAAACCAGACACACAGTCGCTTGCTAGGAATCACATTGTCCACGTGTCAAAGAACGGACTGGTGACCATTGCTGGTGGCAAGTGGACCACCTACAGAGCCATGGCTTATGAAACAATAGACGCTGCAGTGAAGGCCTCAAGTCTCACTCCAGCACATGAGAAAACTCAAACCGACGGCCTGTACCTCGAGGGTGGAAAAGGATGGACACCAACCATGTACATCAGACTGGTGCAAGACTTTGGCCTGGAATGCGAGGTGAGAAATTATTTTTATTTCACGTAATTTTTTTTTTTTTTTTACTTTTAATTTCAAGCCCATTTCTATTTAATTAAAATCTTGTTAAATTTCAGGTTGCCCAGCATCTGGCAAACACATATGGTGATCGCGCTTTTGCAGTGGCCAGGTTAGCCGCTATGACTGGACAACGGTGGCCCATCATTGGCAAGCGTCTGCACCCCGAGTTCCCATACATTGATGCTGAGGTGCGTTACGCTGTGAAGGAATACGCATGCACTGCCATCGATGTGATTGCCCGACGTCTGCGACTCGCCTTCCTCAATGTGCAGGCGGCCCAGGAGGCCCTGCCCATGATCATTGAAATCATGGGTGAGGAGATGGGCTGGAATGCTAATGAGAAGAAGGCGCAGTTCGAGTCCGCGCTTAAATTCCTACAACTCGAGATGGGCCAGAATGTGAACAGAGCCAGCAGGGACAAGATTCCGATCAACCTGAGCAAGAACGAGGTGCAGATGTACATCAAGAGGTTCAACCTGATTGACAAGGACAAGAAGGGCTATGTCTCCATTAATGATATTCGTAATAGCTTGAAGGTGGGTTTAGATTGAAGAAATTAAAAAAAAAAATTCTTATTCTAAAAATTTCAGCGAACTGGAGAGGAAGTGTCTGGAGAACAGCTCCATGAAATTCTAAGGGAGATAGACACTAACATGAATGGACAAGTTGAACTTGACGAGTACCTTCAGGTAATTTTTTTTTTTAATTTCATACTTTGACACAGAGATTCCAATTTTTATATTATTTAAAATATAGATATTTTAAATAAAAATTTAAAAATTTTATTACATTTCCCATAAATTTGTTCTCTTTTACAAAAACTGATCAAATTAACTTTTACATTTCAACAATACTTTTGGTTCTGGTTGTTAATTGCCCAATTTTTGCTCCATAGATGATGTCGGCGATCAAATCCGGCGCTGTCACTTACTCAAGATTTGCTACAATCGCTGAGATTGAGGAGGAGCACCTCGAACGTGAGCGACTCAAGAAGAACATCACTGTGGACCGCAGTGGCGGTGGATTGTAATTCATCCCTTCACCAATCACCTTTTTTCAGTATTCGTCTTCATCACAAATTTGGTATTTTACTTTTCACAACAGGCGCAACGACGAGAGCTTTCCGTTCAATGACTCGGAACTTGAATGAAACTAGCCGAGAGGGAAGCCAATACACAATTAATTAAAAAGAAAGTTTAACCCAGAATCTCTCATACTTATATATCTAAATGATAATCAAAACTTTAATTTCAAGAGTATAAAATTAACTGAAGCTTTTGGCGCCTTGCCTAAATTGTGAAGCTTTTACAAACCGCTGCTGCAGTTATAAAGTCATTTTTCTTTTTAATTTCACTCTTCGATGCTGTTTTTCTTGCCTCTTTTGAGGTTTATAGTCAGAGTGCATGATGATAGAGTAAGTGGCTTTGGTACTTAATCCTATATCAATGCCCAAACTGGGCCAACTCCTTGATTATTTGTTGATTTGCAATCTAAGTGATAATGTACCCAAAATTTTGTTTTAAGCTACCTGACGTCTCTAGTTGCCTTTTTTCAATCAGTATTTTAAATGGTTATATATTGTTCAGTCACGATTGTGATTTCATCCTTGAAATGAAAAGACTTATTAATGTTACCAAGTGTATTCTGAGACAGGGGAAGTCGATCGTATGTTACTTATTTGTAATTTTGTTACACAAAGGACATTTTTTAAAAGACGTGAAAACACATGGTCTGGTCTCTAATTGAAATTTTCAAAATATTAATTACAACACAAAAAGTAAATTTTTTGTACATAATACCAAGTCGTCTCAAATTTTCGCTGTCATTTGTATCGTAATGCTGGACTTTTAATACCCAAAGCCATAAACATGCGCAAATTGTGTGTAAGAATTCCGTTGTTTGAGCAAATTTATTTATTCCTTCATTCTTTATCTTTGCCAAAGTAGTATTTACATTTTCTGTTTACTTTTGTAGCAACCCCTCCTGAAAAACATTTTTAAGTAGTTGATAAATATAAATTATTGTTATTTTATTCACTATTGTGATGGAAAGTTTCAGATTGTTTTTAAATTATTGATTATTGTCGCTGAAAGACGGAAATTATCATTGTGTTATGTACTTACATATTAAAGCAAAGAACATCTTCATTTATTTATTCTGCGCACCTTAATACATTTCGTTAATTGTTCAGATTGAACTAATAAAATAAGGAATTTATTGTTGATTCAAATAATTTTTGAAGAATTTTATTTTTTCTTCTAATTCCAAGTATGTATATAAGGTACGTCGCTTAGAAAAAATATTTCAATAATGTATACACAAGTTTATAATTCTTTGACAGCGAGCTAATCAAAATTCTCGTGATGAGTAAGATGCTTTACATTTTTGTGTGCCTTTTACCCTTGACGTAACCTTTGCCTCTGACATAGAGCAAAGATAAAAGATATTCCAGCACGTAAACCATTCCTCCCCTTTGGCACTCGCGGCGTTGCAGCCAAAAACACGCAGTCGGGCAGTAAATAGACAGCTGCCGCGGTCAAAACATCTGATGTGGCCATAAAATATTTTTAAACTCCGGCAGTTCTTGCTAAATTTTCGTGATTAAATTAAAGAAAATGGCTTCAAAGTACAAGTCAGTTGTCGCTGGAGGTATTGCCATCGGCACTGCAGCATTCGCAGGGAATTTTTTACTGGCAGACGGTCAAAGCAGCAACAAATCGGTAAGCGTTTTTAGAGTTAGAAATTTGTTTCCTTCTAAAAATATTTTGGATTCTGTTCTTTATCGCTATACTCTGTCCCAAAACTATGGGGATCAAAATAGAAATTTTATATTATTCCAAAATTAAAATCACATTGCAAAAAACTGAATTTTTGTTGCAAAAAATAACGCCTGCAGCCACTCATCAATATGCAACCTGCGTGACTCTATTCGCTACCGGGTTTGCATATGCAAATTTTTACAGGCGCTCGCTATAAGTAAATCATGTGTACACACACGACGTTGTTAACTTTGTTGATCTTCATTGTTAGGTTGTGTTAGCGTCAGAGGTGAATTTGAAGAAGAAACTCCGCCGCTTTCCAACCAGAGCTGAGCAGCTGGAGTCTCTGAAAACGGAGGAATTCGACGTTTTGGTCATTGGCGGTGGTGCAACTGGTGCAGGATGCGCTCTTGACGCTACTTCTAGAGGTTTGTGAAAATATGCAACAGTTTTATTTAAAATTAATATTAAAAAATCTATGAAGATTTATGCACATTTTTTTTTGGAAAATGATAAATTTAATAATTTTGTATTTTTTGAAATACTTCTTTTTTTAATGTTGGAAATATTTTTCATTAAACGAATTTTTATTTCTTATTAATTTTAGGCTTAAAAACGGCTTTGGTGGAGGCTGATGATTTCAGCTCTGGCACCAGCAGCCGCAGCACCAAACTGATCCATGGTGGCGTCCGCTACCTGCAGAAGGCCCTCATGGGTCTTGATTATCAGCAGTACAAGATGGTCCGTGAGGCGCTGCATGAGCGCGCCAATTTTCTGGCCGTCGCTCCGCACCTCGCCGAGCCGCTGCCAATCATGCTCCCTGCATATGCGTGCGCTTTTTTTTTTTTATTACCTTTTATACTTAAATATTTCTTACGATAATTCTATAGTTGGTGGAAAGTGCCGTACTTTTGGTTTGGTATGAAGATGTACGACGTCCTATCTTGGTCAAAGTGCGTGCGCAGCTCACACTACATTTCGAAAGAAATGGCTTTGGAATATTTCCCAATGCTGAAGAAAGAGAATCTGAGAGGCGCCATCGTTTATTATGATGGTTATTAATATAAATTAAAATTTTCTCATTTTTCTATTTTTTTATTTTAACGTTTCAGGTCAAATGAATGACGCCAGAGTGAATTTAGCACTGGTCCTGACGGCTACTCGTCACGGCGCCACAGTGGCCAACCACGTCCGAGTGACCAGTCTGCTGAAGGACGCCAACGGCAAAGTCTGCGGTGCTAGAATGCGTGACGAGATGAGTGGCGGAAAAGAGTGGGAGGTCAAAGCCAAATGTGTCATCAACGCCACAGGCCCCTTTACTGACGCCATCAGAAAAATGGATGACCCCCAGGTCAAGGAAATTTGCTCTCCCAGCTCTGGTGTTCACATCGTCCTGCCAGATTATTACAGGTTGGAACTAAATATAAAACTTTTCCTTAAAAAATAGAGCTTCATTAAAATAAAATTAAAAAAACAGCCCAGCAAAAATGGGTCTTTTGGACCCTGACACCAAGGACGACAGATTTTTGTTCTTCCTTCCTTGGGAAAAGCACACAATCGCCGGCACAACTGATGATCCTTGCAAGGTGTCTGAAAATCCTGCGCCGACTGAGGAGGACGTGCAGTTTATTTTGTCTGAAATCAAACGATACCTTAGCCCTGATGTTGAAGGTTCAAAATAATTTCCCCAAAAAGGATAAATTGTTAAAAATAATTTTCCTCTAGTTCGTCGCGGTGATGTTTTATCTGCCTGGAGTGGCATCCGTCCTTTGGTGTCCGATCCCAACAAACCGAACACACAGTCCCTTGCACGGAACCACATCGTCCATGTTTCCAAAAGTGGACTGGTGACTATTGCTGGCGGAAAGTGGACCACCTACAGGTCTATGGCCGTAGACACTTTGGACGAGGCTGTTAAGTCTTGTGGATTAAAACCAGAATATGTGAAAAGTCAGACGGACGGACTGTTTCTGGAAGGTGGACGTGGGTGGACACCTACCATGTACATCACCCTCGTCCAGGACTTTGGACTGGAAAGTGAGGTAAAAATATGAGCAGAACACAAAATATTAACAATGTTAAATTTATTCACTTTTCTGAAGATTTGAAAACTACTTTTTCTATGATTTTATAATTCTATATACATTTTTTTTAATGAAATATTAACATAAGTAGATTTCTATATTAATTATAATAGAATAGTTTTAAAGTTTCATTTAATGATCTTTAATACGCCAGAACAAAAATTTAATAGCATTTAAATATAAAATAAAATTCAAGATTTTCACCAAGAATCCAACTTACAATATTAACTCGATTTGGCCAGCGCCTTCGATTTAAGTTTTATGTGTACACGATACTTTTTTTAATATTTTTTGTTACTTTTTCTAAATTATGAAATATTTGAAATGAAAATTATGAAAAAGTTAATTTAAAAATACTCTTATATATTGGATGATTTTATTTTAATATATCAAATTAAATAAAGATACAATTTTAAATCTGGAGGAAATAATTCAATATTTTTTACTTTCATAAAGTGAACTTGTATTAAGGAAAAAGAGACCTAAAATGTGCTTACAATTGGTAAAAAACCAATGAATTTAATTTATAATATATCATTGGTTGTTACTTATGCACATTATAAGTCTCTTGCACTCCCCTAAGGATTATTAATTTTTTCTGCATATTTAATTAACATTGCATTTCAACTAATTAATTACAATCCATTTTTTTTTCTTTATTCTTTAAGGTTGCCCAGCACCTGGCAAACACCTACGGCGATCGTGCGTTTGCAGTGGCCAAGTTGGCGTCTATGACCGGTCAGCGTTGGCCCATCATCGGCAAGCGTCTGCACCCCGACTTCCCATACATCGACGCCGAGGTGCGTTACGCTGTGAAGGAATACGCGTGCACGGCGATTGACGTGATTGCCCGGCGCCTGCGACTTGCCTTCCTCAATGTGCAGGCGGCCCAGGAGGCCCTGCCCATGATCATTGACATCATGGGTGAGGAATTAGGCTGGAGCGCCAAGGAAACAAAAGCCCAGTACGAGTCCGCGCTCACCTTCCTCAATGAGCAAATGGGCCAAGGCCTGAATCGGGCCTGCAGACACTCCAACATTCCGATCAAACTAAGTTCAGAGGAGAGGAAGATTTATGAGAAGAAGTTCGCATCTTTGGACTCTGGCAAAAAAGGGTACATTTCCTTGAATGATGTCAGGATGGCTTTAAGGGTATTTTTGAATTACAAAATAATAAAATTGAAATTAATGCTGCTCAATTTTGGCAGAGGGCTGGTGAAGACATTCCAGGAGAACAACTGCATCAGATTTTGAAAGCCATAGATGGAAATACTAATGGGCTAATTGAACTTCATGAATACCTGCAGGTAAATTTTTTTGTTTTTAACTTTGTGTAAATTTAAGAAATAAATAATTAAATAAACTTTTAGTTGATGTCAGCCATAAAAAACGGCGTTCTGCAGGATCCAAGACTGGTATCAAATGAGAAATAACTTTTTGAGAAAATAGCTAATAAATACAAGAAAATAAAAATGTTTAATTATAATTTATAATACTTTTTTTGTAATTTTGTAGGAATTTTCATTTCAAAGAAAGAAAAAAACTAAAAAGAAAAAACAATTTGACAATGTTTTCTTTTTAAATAAAAAGCATTATGTCTTGTGATTACACATCATCATCATCATTTTATTATTTAAACATTGCATGGTCTTAAGTTTTTTTTTTAAATTCACCTTGGTTATTTTTTTCTGAATGCTGAATTGCCGAAACGGCTCTGGTTACTCTCAACTGACCCCCGTAATAAGAATTGACATCTTTCACGTCACACAGAATTTATAGTAAACCATTAATTCCGTTCTTCTACGCATTTTTTCTAATTAAACACGCACCCAAGCTTCTTCTCTTAGTTTTCGTTTAACCGGAAAAATTACTAACAACGAACTCATTTTCTCGATCCACGCATGCAGTACTTTTTTTTTTATCTACAGCCTAATTTTTGTCGGACCATAAAAGACGTAATGCAAGAAAACACTCAGTTTTACAATCATTCAGTACTTTTGTTTGTTTTTCACATCGTAAATCAGTGTTGTATTTCATTTTTAATTTACACTTCACAATCGAGAATGAATTTTGACAAAATTCAGATCCTCACGACACTGAGCAATTTTGATTTTCGTCTTAATGGTTTCGTTCGTTTACCACTGTAATTCGTTTTTTTTTTCATGTATAATGCATTCGTGTGTGAGTGAAATGCGGGTACAAGCGAGTAACACACCTTTTCCCTCAACCTCGATCTAATACTTTTTAAAATATTTAGGCACAATTATTACACACGTATTGTTTTGCTCTATTTGACGTGGGCTTTTTTTTTATTAATTTCTTTTTCAGTACCAAAATTTCGTTTAAAAATCAGCTTGCTTTTGGCACAAAGTTTCAAATTCCTCAATAACCCTGGCACCCAAATATCTTCAAAGGAAAATTAATTAAGACAGAGGCGAAAAACCGCCACTGCTGGACGACAAAATACATGGTTTTGTTTTAAAAAGTACACATGATACAATATTCGGTTGTGATGTGTCAACAAAATAATATGTTAAAATCGACAACAAATATATGAAACAGGTTAAAATTAAGTTTCCTCTCAATCAAAGAAGTAGCAAAGAGTAAAACATAATAAAATGCACCAAACTGCATCAAACACACAGCCGCTTAAATTGGAATTCTAAAGACACATGATGAATAATGACAAAAATCGTTTACTTTTTCCAACGAGCTAGAGGTAAAAATTTCGCTAAGACGGCGGATCTCGCACGCAAAAATGTCCAACCATTCAAAAAATTATCATCGTCGGCTAACTAAACACAAAAGCCCATTTTCAGTGAAATTCTACCGCGGTATTTTAGCTTTTTTTTTTCGAAGAGGTGAAATTCCACCAAATATTAGCTCGCTAAACACTAAAGCAATTATTCGCATAATTACAATTATTAATTATCATCCTTTCTTGCTTAAAACACGTGAGTGATAAAATATATTATTCAACGGTATTTGTCTCTTTCATTTTAGTAGTGTTTCAGTTTCGCTGATTTCAAAATTGGTTGACGATGGCCTTCGATAAACTTCCGCGCATTAATATTCCTATTTTTAAAAAATACTGCTTTGTTTTGCTTTCTTTAGACTTTTGCGAGAATGGAAGTGGCCCCTTTTGAGTAATTCCGCTCTGTGAACTCTACCTACTCTCATATGGAATAAAAGCAAGAAGCTGCCGCCAAGAAGGGGTTTCCAGAAAAATATGCACCAAAAATGAAAAATATTTGACAAATTTTCATACGCTGCCTCGAAATAATTGCTAAATCTGAGCAGCAGATATGTGTGAGAGTCAGTGAACGAAAAAAAAACTGCCTTTCAATGAATCCCGCTCTAAAATTGACTCTGCGCAAGTTGTATGAGTAATTAATTAGTATGAATAATGTCTTTTACGATTTAAAACTATATCTTCTACGGAGCACAGTGAGCACATCAACGGTTCAGTTAATTAACAAAAAGATAAAAAATTTACACCTCAAAATAATTACAACAGGCGCTCCCCTCATTGATTCCGAAATCCGGTCAAATTTTATAAAAGTCTCAGTTTTTAAACAGAATTTTGCACATGGAAGTCGTTTGTAAAAATAATATCGAAAAGCGGCAGAGACGAAAGAGATGTGAAAACTGAATAAGATTTTTCTGCACCTATAACAGAGTCAAAAATCAAGGTTTGCAGACTTTGGCTGAAATGCTTTCTTCTAGAAGTTTTGATTTCGGCGCTGGAACTCTAGACGGACGTCTCGGCACCGTTTTTGCTCTTCCCGTTCACTGCCTGGTTGGGGTCACTTATGCGCGAATTTCTTGAAGTGTCGATCTGCAAACGACAGAAATTAATAAGGACAATGTTAAAAGAAAAATTGAGATGCGGTCGTCCAGTTTTTCTTTGAATCTGATTGCATCATGGAAATGATCGATTGAATTTTTTACTTTTAAATTTTGGAAATAATTTGCGCAGGGTCGAGAGATTTGCTGAGAGAAATGTGCAGGTGCGATTTGAGGGTGGCGAGAATGAGCTTGGTTAGTGCTGTTAAGCGGAAACACCAATCAGTGTGAGATTAAAAATCTCAACGTTGTGTCGCAAAAGATAAAAACACTGAAAAGTTTGGACAACAATAATAACACAGCCAGAAAACACAACATCAAACCTGGCTGGGCACACAAATAATATCGCAAAAAAACACCAAAATCTCTTTGTACAAACTGTAAAATTTAAAAAATAATTCCGAGGAATTAACTTGAAATGAATTTTCTATGGGCAACTTCTTTCGATGGGGTAATTTTTTCAGACTTTGAAGGTGTCAGCCTAAATTTTTGCATACCTAGGGCTAGGAATGATTTGAGTGGTGTGGTGGAAGGTATTTGGGTGACTAGTGATGAGGCACCGTTACGACTGCTGCTGAAGGCCATTGCTTTGCTCCTGAGTACCTTCCTGCTGCTGCTTTGAGGGTTTCTGCAACATTGGCGTGGACGGGGTTACGCTGGAAGGGTCTTCCTCTTCCTCCTCCTCCTCGTCGTCGTCCTCCATTGAAGCTTGCGGAGCGACAGCCTTTGTGTTGTTCGTATTCTTTTCGCCGCTGACCGCCTCGTGCTTGGGGGTTTTCTAAGTGTCAGGAGTTTTGGCAAAAATCACAACATGCTCCAGTTATCTTTGTACAGTTGCAGCGCTTGCCCACTTTTCCAATGATATAATTAGGGTGTGATTTTTACAGTTTTAAATTATTAGAAATATAATTTTTTATTTAATTCTATATTAAACTGATTAAATCAAATCAAATAAAGAATTTATACAGCATCGGATGAATATTTTTACTTATTGGAATTGTTTATATGATGGCTTCACTGTAAAAATATATGTTATTTTTAATAGTGATATTCTTTATTTGTAGAAAGAATAAAAGTCAATGTATTTAAAAAAAATCTTGAAAACCAAAAACAAAAAAATATTACATAACATTAAAAATTTAAATCAAACTAAAAAAATTAAAACTTTTGATTAAAAAACTGTAAAACTCGTGTTGGTTAGAAAATTGAACACATACTAAATGTAAATTATTTAATATTGAAAGAGTTGCTTTTTCAATCAAGTATCTGGTTATAAGGGCAAAAGCTGCTAATTGTTAGCAAAAAGTGTTAAAGAAAATCATGCAAAGAAACAAGGGCGGCGTTCAAAAGAGCCATTCTCTGCAAGTGCTTTCGGGACACTAGCTAAATACTTTCATCAGCCGCGCATTCGTGTCTCTCTCTAAAGTGCAGCAAAAACGAGTTTATTTTGGCAAAATTATGGCAGCAAGTGCGGTGATCGTCTGGTTCTACTTACTGCTGCAGAGAAAGCCAGTGTTTTCTTTAACTCTAAGCCACAGCTATAGCAGGGGGGTTGTATTTTTTTGGTAAATTTATAATAGCGTGTGTTTGGAGGACAGAGAGAAGCGAGAAGGAGCCTTAATTGTAAGACAGCTGGTACATCCCCACCTTGATGGTGATGCCTCCGTCGTCCTCCTCCTGCTCTTCTGTCATTGTGGACAGACGGTGGCGCTCGTCCTCACTCAAAGCATCCTTTTTGCTGCCCCGCTTGCGAGGTTTACTGCTAAAAAAAATAATTTCAACATTTTTAATAAATTTCCTGGAAATTGTTATTAAGGTGTCATATAATTTACAGAAGTAGAATTTCAAATAATATTTATAAATTTATTTACATTTTCTTTGAAATTTGAACGATTTTTATTTAAATGCAAATTTCTTACCTGCTTTTGGTGGGCGACGTGCTCTTTTTCTTCTCTTCTTTAGCAACAACGATTCCATTGTCTTCATTGACTTGTTTCCAAACGCCACTCTTGTTCACCTCTTCGGAAATGTTGATGGACGTGAGGGGGATTTTCATAATGTTGCCGTTTGCCAATGGGATCTGCAGATTGCCTGAAGGGCCGATTGGTAGCTGCTTTCCACCTCCCTGTTGCAATTTTTTTTTTAAATTTTCAAGTTTTAATCACCATGTTTAAGAAAAAAAAAATGAAATAAAAAATGAACAAAAGTTGATTGATTATTTAGAAATATTTTCCAAAAATATTGCGGAAAATTTATCTAATTCTAGTAAATTTTAAAGCTATTAATTTTTTATTTGACTATAATTATAACTAAATAAAGTTGATTGACAATATTAATCAAAATTATTATATTTGGTGAGATAAATAATTTTTTTTACCACATCGCCTGACTCTGTATCTTCGTCATCATCATTATTCTTCTCAGCAGCAGATCGCCTGTGCGTCTCTGGCATCACATCATCCAGGATTTTCAGCTCACGCTGCGTGAAGACAAAGTCGAGCAACTTCCTGATAAAGATCATCACAACCAACTGCAAATGAAACAAGTGAAACCTCCATTCCTGTATTTGTAACAATAAAAGCACCATAAGAGGGAACAAAATTGAGGTCTTCTTGAAGGACTTGATGACCCAGAGGGCGATGAGACAGGTGAGTTGGATGGCGGTGAACAAGTGCACTCGCTTGAGGGGCACCTGCCGCAGGAACATGTAGTCGGGCTGGTACTTGAGAGGCATGAACATGATGAGGATGCGGTCAAAGAACTGTAGACCCTTCAGCGAAGCCGAGCCCATGTAGAGGAAGACGCCGTACAAAACGGGCATGGGGATGATTTGCAGCATCGGTGTCAGCGCCACCGAAAGACCGATGGTTGCAAAAATCAAGATGTGGGTCACACGTTGCTCCCTAAAAGATTTTTTTTTATATATTTTAGAACTAAAATATTTTTCAAAGGCAAAAAATATTGACCGAAAAAATACACATAATTATATTTATATTTTTTCTTTTTACCTGACTCCAAGGAACTGCGGTTTTTCTCCTGGTGCAGCGCATTCAGATTCCAGTTTGAGGGAATTGACGTGGTTGATTGACAGCACTGTGGCGGCCACAAACCAAGGGAGACCCATCACAGAGCAAATCATGATCAAAACGGCAAGGATGAACAGATCCAGATGGTAACCACCTCCTTTCTGTACTCGCAATATTAATTATTATTATTAATTCAGCAATTTTATTTTGAAACTTTTACCTTCAGCTTATTTTCCTTCCTATTGACGATGACAGCGGTAATTTGCTGATCCATGAAAATTAATATGGTGGCCAACAAAGCTGGCAAAATAGCCAGGAAGATAGTGTAGAAAGGGTTGAGGAAGGGAGCAATTAGCCACCCTCTGTTGGGCAGAGTTGGTTTGAACTCCGATGGGACCTTTAAACCGCACATTATCAGTAAACCTTAATAGTACAATAAAAATTTAATACCATCAGTTTGGGGGTGGCGATTTTCATGTAGCCGTCCAAGAATGTCATCGAGAAGATGGCAATGAAGACGCCGAAATCGCTGATAAATTGCCGAACCTAAATATATTGAATGAACGGATTTTGTATTATTTTTATATGTCTGAAACTTACGGCTGAAGGGAAGAAGAGGGCGTTCTTGAAGTCCTTCAAGATGACAGAAAGAAGGAAGGTACCCAGGAAGAGAATGACGGACATGAGGAACACGTCCGGCACATACTCGGTGGCAAAACAACCAGGGCCTTCGAGGGTGCCGTTCTTCAAAAGACACTCTGATTTGTCCAAAGAGCTCCAGTTGGCTGCGCTCCAATCTGTCATGACCGTCGAGTTTCCTGGGACGCAAGAACAGTTGTTGGGCAGCAGGTAGGCGCCTATGTCTGACGTTGGATTTACAGGAAACTCGTCGCCAATCTTCAGAACGTTTTCAATAGCCTAGAATTGATTAAATATTTTTAAAGAGAGTAATTTTTTCTAATCAAATTTTTCTACTCTATATAAATTAAGAAAGGATAAATTGGAAAATAATTGTACAAAGAGACTCTTTAGTATATTGTTTATTCTACTCAAGTCAAAAAACAAAAAAAAAAACAAAAAAAAAAACAAAAAAAATTAAAAAATTGAAATGAAAATAATGAGCAAAGTATTTTTATTTTATTTTGTGGATAAATATTTGGGTTAAAAGTAAGTTTTAACTTGAATTAAATTTATTCTCGAGGACAGAATTTCAAATTAATTATTATTCAATTTTTTCTTTAAAATTTTTTGAACATCTGATAAAAAAAGATTTTGTTTAATTTTAAATTTACTTAAGTTTGTGCAAGAAACTCACCTTATAGATGAAAATAAATGCGATCAGACAAGCAAAGTTCTCCTCCGTAAACCTGGTGATGTAGCAGACCAAGGCGCTCGCGTCGATGGCCACCAGGATAATGAGGATCACACCAACCCATATACCGGTCCAAAATCGGAAGCACATGTAGTCCCAACCAACGGATCTTAAAAATTAGGCAAAACACTCAAAGAAGTCGTAAATTTAAAGAAAAATAAACTCACTGGCAAAAATCGTACATGATGGTTTCAAATACTAAAACAGGACCCGTCGAACCGAGAATGGTGAGTGGCTGTCCGGAGAAAAATCCGTAACCAAGGCCGCACACAAAGCCAGACACCAGGGACTCCATAGCTGCCATGTTGTTGCCCGTGGCCTGTCCGAGCAAACCGCCGAAGGTGATGATGGGCGAGAGACACGCGAAATACAAGAAAACCCACGAGGCGATACATTGAACTGCTACAGCGTCCTGAATCAAACAGTTTAAAAAATTAGCAAGGAAAATCAAATTTCTTTTTAATCCAGCGCAATAAATTCACTACAAAATGTGGAGCAAATAGGGAGCTTTTGCAAATAAATTGTTTTCAGGTAATTGAAATTTGAGAGGAGGAGAAACAAATCTTCACATTCTTTTTAAAACGCATGTGTTCGCATTTCCAGAAATAGGAATATATCACAAGATGAGGGGGAAAACGTAGAAATTTATTTACAAAATTAATTCATAAGTTAAAAATGAAAATATTTTTAATTTTAATAAAATTTATAAAAAAATTTAAAAATAGAAATTATAATGAAAAAATATGTTGTAAAAAACATTTTTTTCACATAGGGTATATTTAAATAATTTAAAATTATTTAATAGTGTAAAAAAAACAGACAGCTCTTATAAGTATTGTTTTCAGGTAATTTAATATTGAGGAAAGGGGAACAAATAATTCAACTGATTCACAATTTGTTTCTTAAAATTTTTATATTGTAGGAACTATGATGCTTAAAACAAATTAAATGAAGGTTATTGATTTATATAAAAAAAGCAATTTAAAAATAGTTATCATGAAAATTAAAGTTGCGGTAAAAAAATCAATATTCTTTAAATATTGTTTTCAAAACCCATCAGGAAAAACAAAACGAATTTTGACTTTTTTTGCTATGAAATATATAATAATTATAATTAAAAAAAAATTGTACCTTAAAGTCGGACCAGTACCAGGGCGCTTTTCGTTTGATGTCGTTCATGAGGCCGCCCCAGATGCGGCCGGTGCGCGACAGCCCCGCTTCCTCGCGCTGCTTCTGCTCGTCCTCCTCCTCCTCGATGGACTCGCCCTCGCCAGGGTTGCCGCCGCCGCCAGGGGGGTTTCGACGGGTGCTCTGCGGGATGGCCGCCGGCGGCTCAATGCGAATCGTGGGGTCCCACTCGCCCGGGGGCAGGACGGTGACGGCGTCCAGGAACTCGTCCAGCGCGGTCACCAGGTGCTCGCGTTTGCGAGCCTTGTACGCCACGTCGTGGAAAATCTCGTCCGACATCAGGGTTGCCATTGAACGACCCACCTCGTGGAAACGGGCGCTGCCACCCTTTGAACGCCAAAATTCGGAAATTTAAATTTTAACTGCGACCTACTTGCGTTTTTTTTAAATAGATATTTAAGCGACTGCAATCTAATAAAAGCTAAACCTATAATTTACCCCATATTTTGGTTGCTGAAAGAATAAACAAACAGAACAACACAATTTTCAAATATTAGTTTTCAATAATTTTTTTGATAACATGTTGATTAGGAAGAAAGTTTTGGGGTTGAATTTTCTTGCTAACAAATATGCCATACCAATTACAAAGAAGGAATTCAAGTTTCAGAATTTTGTAAATGAAGAAAAAATAAATTATAATTTGACAGAAAATCAAATAATACAGGTTAAAATTTTTAATCATTTATAAAGCAAAATTTAAATTAGTAAAAAAAGCGCAGGGAAGCAAAAAGGGTTTAACTTACCACAGGACCTAGAAGGATGAAAATGAACCTGGTGGGGACGGGGACTTCGGTGAGGTCGCCCATGAAGGTGGCCTGCGACAGACGGATGAAGGCGGAAAGGGGTTTTTCCAAGAAGTCCACCTCGCCAACCAGCACGTTCGAGGCTTCAGCGCCTTGGGGGATTTTGCGCATGAAATTTATGTTTGTCTGCAAAAAAATTTCGCCAATGAGTAAATTTTTCTCTCTTTAATTTCAAACTTACCTTGTGCTGCGTCAGATCGCCGTTGGTGGAGCTCTCGGTGAGTCCGTTGGCACTGTAATTTCGCGGGATGGAGCTGGACGAGGGGCTGTGCTCCATGCCCTCTTGAGGCACACTGGCAGCGCCTGAAATTAAAACTCTCAGTTTTATTCCGTATAACAATTGATTTTTTCAGGGTAATTCAAAACCACAGGAAAAGCAAGAAAAGCAGCATCGAACGCCGATCAAGGAAAACTGGCAAAAACAGTAGCAGCTTTTCAGAAGACATATTTTAGCACTGACATAAAATCACACACACACACTGGCGTAAATATGTTTGAGAAAACAATTAATGTACCAAACAAGAAGAGTAATCAACTTCATACGCTTGACAATTAATTAGTTCAAAATGGGCTCGCATGTTTAATTCGGGCGAGAGCGGAACACAAATATGAACAGCACGGTTGTCACAACAAGGTAAAATAATGTACAGATGACACGTTCAAAACAAACACAATTATCATAATTAAAACAACATCACAGCGAAAATGTCCATTGGAGGCTGTGAAATTTGGCAAATTGTTTAGTATGTTTTTGCATTAAATGTAAACAGGGAAGAGCAAGTGAGAAAATTAATCATTAATTAAATCATGCGCAAAAATGATTTTACCTTTGTGATACATTTTTCTTCGATTTTTTTTTTCATTTCAATTAAATCAAAAGATACATAGAATGTATCTTGAAAAACGTTTTTAATGGCTAAAAATTAAAATTTTCATTTAATAAAAATAGAAAAATTGTTGTAAACAATAACAAATATAGTTACGAAATATGTTAAATTTAAAAAGACAAAACTGAACTTTTCATTAAAAAAAAAATATGTCATCACTGTATATTTTCTGTTTAATTATACTGTTGAGGATCTGAAAAATAATTTTTTTTTTTCAAAAATTTGTTATCGTACCACAAATATAACGTGCAAAAAATTGTTAGTTTATAAGTCGGGGTTAATGGGATTGAAATTTTTCGTGCGGGCGCACCGGCACCGGCGGGCAGCGACAGGTGTCTGCTGTACTGGTGAACAATCTTGGGCGGCTGCAGGACGAGGTCGCCGTCCACGCTGTGCACCTGGGGCGCGGCCATCGCCATCATGGACTGCTGCACCAGCATGGACATGGGCGTCACGGGCACCACTGTGCCGTCGTCGATGACAAACGCGTCCTGCGCGCTGGTTGTGCTGCTGCGCCGCCGGTCCACTGCTCAACCGGACGGGGACAAACACAGAAAAAGAATAACAGGAAAATTGAGAGACTGATTTGATTTGCTCGGCAATTGCTGAGGGAAATGAAAAGATTGACCAGAGTCGGCCCAACATTAATTCCCAGAACTTTTATAATAATTTTTAAAGCGAATATTTACAGCTAACATTTCCATACATTTGAACCAATGACGGAGGAAGGGTAAAATCTCTAATCTTTACTGAATAATATTAAGTCGAAATGAAGTTTATAAACCAAATACCTGCCAAATACCAGGTGTTTCCAAGTAATTATACTTTAGTATCCCCTGATAAATTGACGTGTCATTGTCACGGCTCTTAATTAATTAATGCATTATTTGAAAATAAAAGTTTTTGCAATGAATTATTAATTTAATAATAATAATAATGGTTTATTTAAACAATATAAAATTAAATGCATGATATTGATAATTTTAAATATAATATTAAAAACATAAACGTAGAAAAATGAATAAAAAATGTTTTACTAGTTAACGTTTTAATATTTCATTTTGATATTTATATTTCTCCCTATATTATAGATTCTTGTAGTTCTTTTGGAACCTTTTTAGCACTCAAGGTGTTCATTTTATTTCATTATATTTCTTTATTTTACTTTATTTTTATTATTATTATTTTTTTTGTATAATAAAAGTTTAGATTTCTTCAGTTCAAGAGAGCGGAAACAATCAAATTTATCTATTACAAAATAGGACAGAGTAATGTAAAAATTGACGAATGAAGATCATAAAATCACAACAGGCCCGTGGACGAAAATACTTCCCGCGAGACACACTTTTCTCCCGCTGCTGCATCCACATGATGTGTTAATTTCAACCAACTCACAATATTGGATATTTTCCACAAAATACTTCTGCTGCTGCTTCTGCAGTCTTTTCATTTTCCTGCTCGGCTCTGCAAATGTGGTGGATTTTATTAGTAAGAAGCGTTAATCCTATGTTAGTATGCGATTTTTTCCTCTGGCATAAAAAAAAACAAAATATTCACACTTAGGTATGCTTAATTCGGCAAAGCGTGCGAATGAAAATCCGCGTTCGAAGCGTAAATTGAAAATATAAACGGGAGCGACAAGCAAAAGCGATTATTTTTGCAATCTCTATTTGACCAGCTGAAAGCTCTGGATTAATCGCATTCGGCTTTGTTTTTATTTATTTTTCATCGCTCCGCTTTATGTCAGCAACCGAGTGAGAATCGAAACAAAACACACAGACGCATATAATCGCAGTAATTAACGTGGAGTAAAAAAAAATCTAGTTCAGTATGTAGAACGCAATGGTGCTGCAAAAGGACCGACTGGGTTTGTTCAACGGGTCGTTCTCGCAGTGCCAATGGGGTGTGCATTGTTCAGTATATGATGTGCTCACTGTGGATGGTAAATAAATACTCTGCGAGAGCCGGTCTGCCTTTAATGTGAATACGTCGCATTGGCTGAATAAACCGGCTAGAGAGCTATTTAACTAACGAGGTATTGAATAATGAACGACGTGTTTTATAAAGAGATAAAAAAAATAAAAATATTAAGTAATGGAGTTTTAAAGAAGCGAATTTATGAAGAAAACGATTTCACAACGTCACGAAAACTTAATTTATATATATAAAAAAAAAAATATGAAATCTGGGCCCTTTAAATTGAAAATTAGCAACTAATACTTATTCTGAAATTGGTTCTATCAAAAAACAGCTAGGTTGAGAAGACTTGTAGTGAAATTTTAATTTTAAATAATGTTACTTTAATAGAATTTATTTTTAGATGGAAATTAAATTAAAAAAGATTAGATAAAAAAAAACATTCAATTTACCACTAAATTATAATTATCTAAACCTAACATGTACAGCCCTAGCCTAATGGATTGTACGCTGCTGCAAGGGTGTCTGTCTACGGTTTGGTGCGTCAAGTTCGAGTTCGGGGGTGCGGTGGTACCTGACCTGGCACTGTCAAGTACGGCCCTTTGCAGTCGTGCATCTCCAGGAGGGAGGTTTTGGGCGTGGGGCAACTGTTGCTGCGAGTCACGCTCAGCAGGGGCCCCGTCGAGTGCGTCGGCGAGGGCGTGCGGCTCCCCCCGTCCGAGGCGATTCCTTTCAGACAAATTATTCTCAAACGTCTCAAAGGTCCAATTATAGCTCAAATCAAAATTTTTCCAAAAATAAAATTATGAGGAGAAAACTTAAAAATCCATAGAAAAGAAATCTAGCTTCGGACGGAGAACTTTGTGCGCTGGTTAGTAAAAAAAAACTAATACTTAACGGAAAAACACACGAAAAAAAAAACGGTGCTGAGGACTGCTAACCTATGGTCGTTGCTACACCTAAACGAAGGTTGTGCAAAATTTGTCGGCGAAGTTTTGTGCGTTAGAAAGGTTAGTTTAAAGCGGGTTGCCTATACTCACTTTTGGAGGAGGAATGATTGCGACCGATTTCCGCCAGCGATCGGATGATTGGCAGGCGGGCCATGTTGGAGGAACTTGCTTCCTTGCGCCTCTGGTGCTGATGTCGGTGTTTGCGCAGTAGGGCGTCTTTTACCTACCGAAACAAAACACAAATTGTCAAAAGCCGCCATAATTAGTTTTCAAAGAAAACCGCAAATTCAATAACATGTCGATCCAAAACATTTCAGACACTTCCAACTTTCTCACGTGATTTAGCCAAAGGAACTGAGGAACTAACGTAATTTTAAGTTTTGACTCCAAAATTTTGAAGGTCAGGTAAATTTGATGGAAAAAAGGAAACGCAATAATATACTAAATTACTTTTGAACTAAAAAATAAGAGAGCGTCAACTTTAAGGGCAGAAATCGATTTTTTAAGTTCTAAGAGAAAACGCTGAAGCATCGCCTCATCCTTTGTGCAAAATGTCTCAACTTCAGATGCACAGATCAAGTTCTCTCAAGTGATTTCAAAGTGAACAAGTGAACATTTCAAATCCTGGACATAGAGTAAATCAATGAATATAGAAACTCAATCAATCAAATTCTGAGATATATTTGCAATTTTTTGTTTATCTTTTGTCTGAAAATTTTATATTGAGAATTTCTGAGGTGCCTATTTTTGGTATCAAATCGATCCGTATCTCATTTTTGCTGGAAATTTCGCGACTTCAAGGGGAAAGTCGTCTCCGTCTGCACAGCTGCTGCGGCGGCTGTTCACTATTAGCATTTTTTCTCAGGAACCTCTCCAACGTTATTGAATTCTTGCTGCTTGTCAACGCTGAGTGAGAGTTAACGTGATAATGTCACTCTTGCAAGTCGCATCGATTCACGCGCTCGGTTATTTTCGCACTCGACTGATTCACTGATTGTGTGCCCAGCCAGGTGCGTGGGAGTCGCATTCGGCAAAGGATGCACAGTGAGTCAGTCGGCCGATGGAAATCAATAAGGCGCGTCCAAATGCTAACGAGCTTGTCAGACAAATGAGCGCCCGCGACACTCCAAGGACCAATTAATGCGCCGCCTAAATTCCTTATTTAATGCAAACTTTCCCCCAACACACTCTGCCATGGAGTCTCATCAATTTATGCGGAGGGGAAATTTACCCAGTGATCAACAAATATTGTACCCCTACGTCGTCTACAGCACTGAAATTATTAAAAAAAGAGTTTTAAAATTTATAAAATTGTAATAAACTTTTTTTTAATTTTTTACTGTACATTTGACAATTTCACTTTAATTAGTTATTCACCACAGCATAATTTACAAGTTCAAGTAATTATATTGTTGTCAGTTTCATGACTGATTAAATGTGATAACGTGCACAATTCAAATGTTTACCCAAGGTGTTATGCTAGTACAATTTTTTTCTTATTTAATTCATTTCCAATGTGTACCTCTGCGGTTATCAAGGTTTGCCTTAAGATTATGAGATCAATGTATTATCAACTCTCAATGAAAGCTTATTTGATCTGCGATTGGAATGATTGATGGGAAGATTTTAAAATAATTAAAAATTGAGACTGCACAATAGTACGATGAAATATGTTTTTGACTAAGTTAAATTTAATTTAATGCGATAACGGTATAAAAGGGAGTGAATGATAAATTTATATAATTAAATCACGGAAAGATGTATTGCCTTACTTTGGCTCAATTCAATTCTGGCTTTTCCTCAAAAACTTTTTTCACGATTTCTTTGTCACAAAAGTTTTTCCTTCATGCCGAATCCAAACCGCACTTTTCTACTTGCTCAATCCAACTTTGCGCGTGGGAATTCGTTGGAGCTTGAAAGCAAGGGAGTTTTAAATGAATTCGTCTCTCTGCAGATGACGAGGGCAATATCGCGCGCCAGCAGACGGCGGAGGCGCGAGAGGACAGAAAGAAATTACATCATTTTCACAACGGCGGCGTCATTTGCGAAAGAAGAAATTAAGAATGGCCGTGAAGGAGTGGATTTTCGAAACGTTTAGTGCTTGTCCGATGCTTCACTCGGTCTGTCTGAAGTCTGAATGCGTAATTCTTAATTGTGAGGACTAAAATTTTACGTCTGCGCGCGTATTACGAGATTTTTGGCACGCGAGAGAACTTGAAAAGCGGAGAGAACTTGCTGGTCATTTTAAAAGAGGGGGTTGTGTAATGCAAAATGCTTCACGGGACTGTAAAACAGTTTTATGCTCACTTACTTAAAATTAGTTTGGAAATTAAAATATGAACCAAAAATAAGTTTCCTTTGACAATTTAATAATTTTCTTTTATAAAATATAAATTTTCATATCGAAAAGAATTGGTTGAGAATTATATATTTGCTATATTTTGACAAAATTTACAGACCTTCTCTTTCTGATCCTCCAAGAGGTGTCCACCAGAGGCCATGGCATCCATGCAAAGGTCGGCCACCTGCTCCAGGTTGCTCGCCTCCATGTCAAGCATGACGGTGCCGCTGGAAAGCATCGCCCTCAGCTCGAATAACGAGTGAAGCGACAGGGTGGCCACGTGTGGTTTCGACCACCGGTTGCCACCCTCTTCCACGTCCTCCTCGAACTTGATCCAACGAGCAGTCTGAAAACAGGCAAAAACAAACCTGTAATTGAGCAAATAAATCTAAAAAAAGTGGAAAGTGATGACGAAAAAAGTTTTTCATAACAATTTGAATAAATTGATATTACTAGAGAACACGTTTGTAGCTGGATTCGTTGGTCGCATTGATTTAAAAAAATATTATTTATTTTTGATTTATTTTAATCAACTAATAAGAAATATTTTTTAAATTTAAGTTGTATAAAACCTATTTTGATAAATTTAATTACATTAACTAATTATTGCGAAATTCTGCTGATAATATTGATATACCAGGAGGCAATTTATGCCAAAATCAAGATGCAACATTTATTTTTACAAATGTTACACAAATTTTACAAAAGAGATCGGGAAAACCGAAATAATTTTACTTTTGAAAATGGAATTTAAAAATAATATTCATAGTTTATAAATTTTTAATATCTAAATGTATTCAATTTATATTTTTTCTTTTGCAATAAAATGATTTGAGGAAATATTATTATTGTTTGGAGATTCTTTTTTTGTTAGGAGCTTTTTATCAGTATTAAAAGATTGCAACGAAAAATTATATTATGTACATAACGAATGATTCTCAAAATCAATTTCCCTCGTTTTTCACCTGCCGCCGGCAGACTAATAGCCTTAAATGTAATAAGGTAGGGCGGTAAACAAGCAACTTTCGTGCCTCCGCATAATAAAAAATTGCATTTTCCGCAAGAACAGTGTGTGCGGTGGGTGCTTAGAGGAGCAGACGACGATGCGAAATTCGCCTGCTCAGCACAAAGACGAGACCGGCCTGGAAAAAGTCGATCGAGAGAGAGAGTTCGAGTGGGCGGATGGCTGGTCTGCTCTCTCTACTTCTGCTGTGATAAGCTATTTAAGGTAGTTCTTTATTAGACGGACAGTCCATCATCTGCCAAACGTCTGTTTGCCCGCGACGTTGCTATTTTCTGAGTGAATGGAACTCGACCACGTATGAGAGTCGGATTGACTTCACCGCAAAAAGAAAAATGAAAGAATTCTTATATTGTATATCTGCTTCCAAGAAGTCTGAGATTGGACAAGGATATCATTCAGTAGCAATAATCTCAGTCAGATACTGGCAAAAGGCACATTTTCTGCAAAAGCAAGATCAAAGGTGTCCAGCCGCAACGTCTTCAGTATAATCTAATCTACAAAAAAAATTCATAGCCTGATTTGAAACAGTTTTATTCATTCTATGAAAACTTTTTGACTGATATTTTTATACAACTTTTGACCTATTTGTTTCTAAATATAAAATATCTCTAAAGAGATTTTTTAATTCAATTTTTATCAATTTTTATGTCATCTGTACCAAAAGGAATGTTTAAACATTCAATTATAAGTTTCAAGCTTGTGAAAGTACATTTGCTTTGGAAGAGCTTTTAAAAGCTACGACTCTAATGAATTTCTTATCGCATCTCTCAGAATTTTCGTTTCAAATCTTTGCGCAGAAGTGAAAAATAAATCCAGCCAATTTGTATGCTAGTCACGTCTTGAAAGTCACGCCAGATCCCTGCTTTTCAGTCGTAATTCTTACCTCCTTCCACTCAAATTCGTCGCCGTCGCGGACCAGCTCACCCATCTCCGAGAAGAGAGGGTGCGTTTCGTGACCGGCGCCATCCTCGCCGTCCTCGCCCAGGATGAATTGCACGCGCTGTGCTGGAGGAGTGACTGAAAATAATTGATATGGAATTAATTAAACTGCAAATCTGAGAATATTTATAAATACTAAAAATAAGAAATAAAATATTTTAATTATCAATTAATATAAATGTGCCTTCTAAAAGAAACAGAAGTTTCAAAAATTGCAAAACTGTATTAAGAAGTTTTGCGAAAAATAATGTCAATGTTTTCAGTACAACCATACAAAAATAAAGTGTGCCAGAATTATCTTAAGTTGACCCCACTGGTTGCAGAGGTCGCAAAAACTTTTCCATTAAATATATACACATCCCAAAATCTATCTCTTTTTCCCTTCCTTCTAGAAGAACACACAAGTCAAATAATGCAATTGTGTTGCGGACAAATTTGGCCAAGTTCCCGCACGCATTCATTTCACTCAACGTTGTGGAACGAGGGTCGCGCTCTTAAGAAAATTTATCTCCAACGCTGAAAGTTTTAGTTCTAGCGCGAATCAGGTCAGCCGGACGATGCAACAATAAGAATTGGTGCAGTGCTTATTAGAAAACGGGTCAGCAATTTCTATAAATTTCAGACGCAAAAACGTTTAACTCTAATGGATCGCTTACAGCAGAGATTTTTGTGAAGAAACAAACGAGATCTACTTACAAACAACAAATGTGGAAGTGAAGAGGCTTTTTATGTTCATTTAACTGATAAAAAAAATTTATTTCAAGGAATACAATTTTTAATCTGTAAATAAATGAAGCCTGATCCATGAACTCCCAATTAATCATCTCTTCGAGTTTCAATTTCTTTTATCAAATAACAAACATTTTTTTTTTTAGGTGAAAAGTCATTTTGTCATTTTTTTTAGCCCATTAATTTTCTGAATATTTCCAAATTTTTGTTGCATCATTTGAATGTTATAAAGCTTTTCTCCACCAATTTTCTCCAAGATTAATATTGTTTAGTTAATTACATTATATTAAATCTGTGTCCTTCCACCAAATTTAATTTAAATAATTATAAAATGATGTTTTACAAAAATATCGTATAAAATATGACAGCAAAATGAAGTTAAAGTTTTATTTAAGAAATTTAAATTATAAAATAATTATATTTAAACAATAAGTTAGAAAATGATTAACACAAATTAATAAAAAAACTATACAACATATTATAATATAATAATAATATTTAATTACTTGTCTTAGTAAAACAATTTTATAAATTTCATACATATTGAAATTTTTATTTTGTGGGTGCCGCTATTTGGCGCGCGCGTTTTCCGCGTGTGCGGCAGCAAAGCCACCGTCGCGTTCGCCGCTCATAAATCTCGTTGCCCTCGAATGTCGCGAGTGCGCCAGGACTAATTAATTACGACTCGGAAAATCGCACGTCGGCTCGTTCAAACAAAGCATTACGAGTGAGAAAAATGCGCGTGGCAAGAGTGCTCGCGGGCGGGCGGGCGGCGATTCAGTCTGACTTTGGCTGCCAAAACGAATAACTTTTATAGGGCGGCCGCGATTTCACTTCAATTACTGTAAAAGCTGCGCACGCGAAATAAAAATGTACATTTTACAAGAAGAGAGGGAAAATCTGTTGAGCAAACGCGGTGCCGAATTCAACACGGCAGGCGACTCTTCAAAGTGTGCGGCTGGCAGGTAGAGTACTTGTTGAGTGAGCTGTTTGACTTTTGCATAATGCAACCGTCGGCGGAGAGTTTTAAAGCTGAGCGCAAATAACTCTCTGCTTGTATTAAAAAAGGAAAATAAACCACACATCATCTGTAATCTTTCCATTTAATCACGAAACTAAGCTCTATTTTAACAGAGTTACTTAGGACTACATCTGGACTAAATATTAAAAAACGATATAATAAAAATTTTCTTTTATGTTCTATTCCACTTTTCACACTGTCACTTTATTAATCTCAGAGAAGGAATTATATATCTGTCAATTGATTTTAAATTCATCTGTTACCTTTCCATTACTTCAAGAAACTATGCTCTATTTTTACAGAGTTACTTAGGACTACGACTGGTCTAAATATTTAAAAAACGATATAATAAAAATTTTCTTATTTGTTCTATACCGGTTTTCACACTGTCACTTTATTAATCTCAGAGAAGGAATTATATACCTGTCAATTGATTTTAAATTCATCTGTTAACTTTCCATTACTTCACGAAACTAAGCTCTAATTTTATAGAGTTACTTATGACTACGTCTGGTCTAAATATTTAAAAAACGATATCATAAAAATTTTCTTATTATTTCTATACCGTTTTTCACACTGTCACTTTATTAATCTCAGAGAAGGAATTATATACCTGTCAATTGATTTTAAATTCATCTGTTAACTTTCCATTACTTCAAGAAACTATGCTCTATTTATACAGAGTTACTTAGGACTACGACTGGTCTAAATATTTAAAAAACGATATAATAAAAATTTTCTTATATGTTCTATACCGGTTTTCACACTGTCAATTTATTAATCTCAGAGAAGGAATTATATAACTGCCAATTGATTTTAAATTCATCTGTAAACTTTTCATTACTTCAAGAAAATATGCTCTATTTTTACAGAGTTACTTAGGACTACGACTGGTCTAAATATTTAAAAAACGATATTTTAAAAATTTTCTTATATGTTCTATACCGGTTTTCACACTGTCAATTTATTGATCTTAGAGAAGGAATTATATAACTGTCAATTGATTTTAAATTCGTCTGTTAACTTTCCATTACTTCAAGAAACTATGCTCTATTTTTACAGAGTTACTTAGGACTACGACTGGTCTAAATATTTAAAAAACGATATTATAAAAATTTTCTTATATGTTCTATACCGGTTTTCACACTGTCAATTTATTATTCTCAGAGAAGGAATTATATAACTGTCAATTGATTTTAAATTCATCCTTTAACTTTCCATTATTTCACGAAACTAAGCTTTATTTTTATAGAGTTACTTAGGACTACGTCTGGACTAAATATTAAAAAACGATATAATAAAAATTATTTTAATTGTTCCTTACCGGTTTTCACACTGACACTTTATTAGTCTCAGAGAAGCAATTATATAACTGCCAATTGATATAAAAATCATCTGTAATCTTTCCATTAATTCACGAAACACAGCTCTATTTTTACAGTGTTACTTAGGACTACGTCTGGTCTAAATATTAAAAAACGATATGAAAAAAATTTTCTTATTTGTTCTATACCGGTTTTCACACTGTCACTTTATAAATCTCAGAGAAGGAATTATATAACTGTCAATTGATTTTAAATTCATCTGTTAACTTTCCAATACTTTACAAAACTAAGCTCTAATTTTATAGAGTTACTTATGACTACGTCTGGTCTAAATATTTAAAAAACGATATCATAAAAATTTTCTTATTATTTCTATACCGTTTTTCACACTGTCACTTTATTAATCTCAGAGAAGGAATTATATAACTGTCAATTGATTTTAAATTCATTTGTTAACTTTCCATTACTTTACGAAACTAAGCTCTATTTTTACATAGTTGCTCAGGACTACGTCTAGTCTAAATATTAAAATACGATATCCAGTGTGAGTTGAGCTTATTATTTGTAAAATTGAATGAAAATATTGCCCAAAGCTAAAAAAATATAAAATAATTTCCTCAATAAAAAGATTATTTCCGTTTGAATATTTTAAGTTTTGAGTAAAATGATGAATTTTTCAGCAATTTCAGCAATGCAATCTTCTATTTATTTATTCAAGAATATCAATGTGAGCATTTTTGTGACTGATGCAAACTTTTATATATTTCCTTTGGAAACTTTAAATCAATAAATATTTATTTAGAAAAATAATTGTTTTAAATTGAAATGCTGGTATTCAAAAAGCCGCTCGATTTGCATGTACCTTTTGGCAAAAACAAGGAATCGATTCAGGTATCAACATGCCTATATTTTTTCATTTGCACCGCTTAAGCTCTGGTTCACCCAGTCAGCAGCAAACACAAAAGAAGTGGTTGTTGGCCTGCGGTGTGTGATTTGTTTCATGAGGCGTCCTCTGGAGATTCACCTCGGCCCACAGGTGACATTTGAATTTATTCGCACTGCTGGATGCGGCTAATATTAGAGACGTGACTGGAAAAAATTTCCGACGGCAGAATTTACGACGAATCCCCGCGACGACAGCACCGTTTTTATGCGTGGAATAAAAAAAAGTGCACGCACATTACACGAAGGAGAGACGTAAAAAATTTTGAATCACGAGCGGGATGTGAAACTGCGGCAGTTGGACGTGCGAACGCAAACTTTTTACAGCTCTCTGGCGTGAAATTGATGTATTTTTTAGCTCTTTGTTCCCGACAGACAAATGACGTCAATTTGCAGAGACATAAGAAGTAATAATATGAACGATGTTTTGCGAAAAATCAATCGCCCTAAATTGTGTTTACTAACTTGAAATCGTTCAAAATTACTAATTTATTTCAAATAATTTTAATTTTATGAAGTATGGTTGATAACTATTGGAATAAAGTTAACTAAAAATTATTTAGTCATGACATTATGAGAAAAGTCTTTTATTTTTATATTTGCCGAATTTAAAATTGAGTCTTTAAAGCTAAAATTGTAACTTAAATAAGTTGCAGGTAAATATCCGCTTATATGCAAAACTCTAAAAAAGTGTATTTTAGCAAGAATTTTTTTTTAAATTATATTTAAAAAAAGTAAAGGATGATTTTTACTTTTGGTCTGATTAATTTATGGCAGCACTGATTTACAAGTAAAAACAAAACGACATTAAATTTTTTTTATATCTGCTAAAAGGTTATATTGAAATTTGCAGTAAAATTAAAAGTTTTAAAATGGAAAAGTTCAAAATTTGTAAAAAAAAAAATGTTAAAAAAGTAAAAAATTGCCGAAAATTATCAGGGAATAAATTTTCCTGGCTAGCTTTTAGTGATATTTTGAATCACATTCATTTGCATATTATAAAAAGATCAACTTTCAGAATGAATATAATTATTGAGTATCAGTATAAATTTAACAAAAATATGAAGTTAATAAAAAATATATATATTTTTTAAATTTATTTTCTTTCAATGATGTAGATTATTAAAAATTGTACTCACCAGGCCTGTCATCCTCGTCGGCGCTGTCCTTGCTGGACTTGTGGTGGTGCTTGTGTTTTCGGTGGTGCGAGCGGCGACGGTAACCTTGACCGGGCAGGTGCACCCCCACGTAGACTGTGTGCGCTCGGTGACCTGCGAAAAGCGACGAAACTTTGGTTAGCTCAGAAAATAAAAATATACATAATAATGGCAACGCGTGCCGACGCCGGGGGTTAAATTTCACACTAATGAAGCTGTAAGGGTGGCAGGGAGGATTTTCACCTGCCGCTGTTGCCGCGCGCACCACGACACGGGTCGATACGCGTTCGGACGAGCGAGGAAAAATACTTTTGAGGATGCGCCACTGTCCTTAGGAACAGGAAAGCTACTCAGATCAGATTGGAATTATTTTACTCACAAAAAATAACTATATTTTTGACAGCGTGACTGTGAAGATTTTTCAGTTTATTAAATGATTTTTTTTTTAATATTTTGATGTGAAGCAGTTTCTCTTTCTTTTTAATTTCAAAACAAAGTTAGTAATTTATGTTTTGAAGAAACAGAAATTTATTTTGCTTTTTTAATAAAGATAAAATTGCCTAATGCGTAGTTCAATATGAATACTAATGATTTCAATTGCACATTTTTGATCGAGAGTATTAGTTGTTAACTTTCCACTCAAATCTTTTAGTGGAATATTGATTTAAATTAATTAAACTAAATAAAAATTAAAAAGCCAAGTTTAAGGCTCGTTTGGAATAATAAATTAAATTTTAGAGATGAATCGTTAACTAAAAAGTTAAACTTTGTAATAATATTACATAATTGTAATAAAGAAATAATTAAAATGTTTTAATTGTGATAATAGTATGATAAAATAAAATATGGATATTTTATTTTTAATGCATGGATTTTACTTTTAGTATTGCGTTTTAGATTCATCATAAAAAAATATCAGTATGCGCAGTCATTAAAAAATATAAAATAATGCACAGTAAACGTATTTTTTTTTTGGAAATGAAGCGATCGGGCTTTTCCATGATCATCTCCTCGAGTGTCAACTTCTTCAAACAAATATTTTTTTTTTATTTGGTTTTAATATAGGTTTAATTTGGAAACGATTTCGCTTTCAAATTGAGCCTATGATTTTAGTTAGTTGTTTACTAGTGCTGGCTGCCAATTCTCTCATTAATGTGAATTTCCAAATAACCTGTTTTTGACCTGTTGTGAGAGAATAAACGAATTATTTGGTTTTATGTTTCAAGTTTACTAACCATTAAATTGGATAATGTGTTCATTATTATTTACATTTTGCGAATATTATTCCACTGAATTGAGTACCGTTTTGCGACGTATTTTATTTCCATTTGGCGTCACAAACGACAGACGCTTGTTATCTTTCCTCCGTCAAACAAGGCAAAAACCTTTCCTTTTCCTGCGCGCATCTTCGCCGCCAGCATGTTATCTGTTTGTAGAAGAAAAACAAAGTTCTGCGACGGGCAGACGAACGCAATTTACAAACGTAATTATTGTGGGGAACGGAATGGAATCGAAACCCAACAAATTGATCCGAGTTTAATTAAAACAGGCATTCTTTCCGAAAGTAAAGGAGGATTGAGCAATGATTTGGGTCGATTTTCCTGCAGAAATTTAATGACAAAGGCGAAATCAACAGTTCCGAGTTCATCGATTGGCAGCACGAAAGTTTGGAATGTTTTGAGGTTTCTTTCCAGCTCACTAAACGGTTGCGCAATCAGTTAGCATGTTGGCAAATGGCACTTTTGTTGCTCCAAGAGTGGCGTGAGCTTGCTTTCGAATGACATCAGGAAAGAGTTAATGGGGAATTTTGAATGCAAGAATAATTCATATTTTCAATTAATCGAAAAAAAGTATTGAAAATTAAGTTAATTTGGCCAAATTTAAATAATATTTTGCTTTTTCCAATACTCTTGTTTATTATTTACAAAAACAAAACTATTTCATGTAAAACCACATTTTCCTGGAGAAAAAAAGGAAAAATGTACAGAATCCCAAATTTGAATGGTGGAGGAATCTGAATAAAAATTCCCTCACTATTTCCCGACACCATTTGATTTAAATGCAATCACGTGCCAGACACTTTGACATCGCTGCAGCACCGACAACGAGTAGGACTCAAAGGCCGCTTTTCCGACAGACCAATTTTATTTTCAACCTCGCCGCCGACACAAAGGCCAAAGAGCTTTTCGATTATTATTTTACGAGCAGACTTGAAAGTGGGCTTTTGGGCAAAATAATAATACAGCCTTTGTCTCTCATGTGGAGGGTTGAGCTTCTGCGAACTACCAAAACAAATTAGTTTTCGCGTGTCTGCCGAAATTTTGCTTTTGCTGCGTTAAACCGACACGGGTTTTTTTATACCCTTTCTCGTTCTCATTTTAACCCCAGCTATTTTTAGAAGATGCCCGCGAAATATGTATTATTGTGCTCGCCGTGCACTCTCGTCGTTCTTTGTTTGATGTGTCAAGCAAGTATAGCAGTGAAAACAACTCCAAACGCGCGACACATAATATAACCCAACCAACACGCATGTAAGTGGACTCTCAGAAAACAAAAAAACCAAGAAAGAAGGAAAAACGGAAAGGGCGTTTCTCGGCCGTCATGTTGCGTGAAAGAAAGTGAACAAGAATGGAAATGGGGATGAGAGAAAATAAATTTGAGCGTCCTCCTCAGTGTGAAATTTGCAGTTTGCGTTTTGTTTTGACTTTTGTCTCTTTTGACTGGTTCTGATTAGAAAGTACGTTGAGATGCAAGGGAAAAAGTTTTATACCATTGCCTTAGAAATGCTGCTCTAGATTTTCCAATAATTTTAATCTCATCACTATAAATAATTTTAGCAACAATTTTCCCGTATGTTAAATGCTAATTTTGAGTTAAACATCTAATAATTTTACTTTATTAACCAAATTGTGGTAATATAAAGCTGATTTGATAAAAAATTTATGATAATGATTCTGATTTTTTTTTTTAATGAATTGATTCGTCTAAAAATTTATCACTAAAATAATTACTTGATATAAATCGATGCAAACTTTCAATGCCCCAATTGAAATAATCTCTACAATTTATGAAGTTAATATTGTATAGATATATAATGATTTAATTATCTTCTAAAATGAAAATGTCAAATCACAATATAACAATAACAGTGTCTTAATAAATTGCAATATCATTACTAAAAAAATTTTAAATCAATTTAAATTTTTTGTTATTATTTAATTTTTTTATATTTCAATTATAATTTTTAGCGTTTTTTAAACATTTTAAGTAATTTTTTTTTATTTATTTATCCTAGATAACTGATTTTCTGCTAACAAATCTATCTAAATATTGGCAATATTGTTTTCACGAGTACCTTATTCTATAACTTTTGTCAGTCAGATTTTAATATGTATCTAAAAGGTTTCTCATTTAATGAAAATTAATGCCGATTAAAAAAGGGGTTTGAACAAAAATCTAATAATCTTGAGGTTTCAAGATTCAATCTATAAATAAAAAAGTTTGTGATAACACTTACCCTCAAAATCCTTTTCCGTGTATCCCAAATGGTGGGTTTGAAGGGCCCCTGGGTCCTTGGGGGCCTCGTCGTCCCCTGGTGCGGTATCCATTACCCACGGCCTGAAACAAACAATGCACACCTCTGTTAGTCGCGACCAACTTTCAGGACTTAAACGAACTCGTTCAAAACTTTCAAGACGTCAACTTTTGCTCTTAACAAACCCTCTTGCGCATAATCTTTCTCTGTGAAGGGACTTTTATTATCATTTGCATTCGATTGCCTGGCAGATTACACGCTTTTGTGCGGAGAAAGAAATTTCTTTTCTAAAGTATACCGCCTCCGTAAAAAGAGTCTCGGTTGCTTATCAAAGAGCGATTTTCTCTTGAATGGCCCTAAGCGCAGTTGGGCTCCTTTTCATACAAATTCTGAACATTGCACAAAAAACGGCAGGTTTAACCCAGAACGTCTGCAGGGAAAAAAGTGATCAACATAGAAATAAAGACCAGTCAGTGGCTGACGGCTCAAGTTGCGCTAAACGGATATTGGATTTTCATTTTGCACTGCTCAGCGAGCGGATTCTTTGAGCGTTTTTTTGCTTTTCACGGAATAATTCAGTCTGACAGAACAAAGAAAACTTTTGCCCAATCAAAGTTGAGGCGGAACATTAGTTCAAAGGAAAAATTGACATCATTGTTTAAAATTTCAGAAAATTGAAGACGGTGCATTTTGCCGTTCATATTTACTTGTGAATATATTTTTTGCATATAGATATTTGTTTTATCCTTTTGAATTAGCCTAATAACAGGTCATTCCATAAAAATTAATTTAATAGTTTAAAACTGATGTCACAAAATTTGTATGTGGTTCTTAATCTGAAATAATACTTTGAATTTGTTTAAATGTTCTATAATTTATATGACTAATATTAAATTGTAATTAACATGTATATTTTAAATTTAAAATAAAAAAATATTAAAATTAATTGCATTTTTAATTCTACGCTTTTATGTTAAATTTTATTTTTAATAAATTTTATGATTTTTTATTTAATTGCAATTTTTAGAATTATTTGTTACATTAAATTGTAATAAAACGTTTTTGATATAATACAGAATAAAAATATATTTTATAGATTGCAGTGACATGATAGATATTAATTAAAAAGTAAACTTTCATTCAAAATTTTTGCCTCCACATGTATTAGGTATTATAGTTTAAAAATTGAGGAAAAAACATACATCAAACATTATACATTAACAAGGTCAGTTTTTAAATGGACGAAGCTTGAAAAATAAAATTGCACACAAATCAGAGGGAAAGAAATAAACCACAATAAACTATAAAAATCACCAGTTAAATTAATTCATTTAAATGTTATATTACAGTATTTACAGTGAATAAATGCTGGTTTCTACAATTACTAGTAATATAATCAAATTAAATTAGTTTATTTGAGGAAAGACGAAAATATTCTTCAAAACAGAAATAGGAAATGTTAGACTAAATAGATAATTTTCCGAAAAGAGCAATACAAAATATTTGTCATTACTGTTTAATGTTATGTATGCTTGTCCTCATTGTTACAATACTTTATTTACATTCAACTGCTGAAACCAACTATTTTTTGACAAAACAGCACCATCAATAGCAAGAATTTTGCTAAAACTTCTGATTGTGAGATCAAAAAGATCCCATCCGCCGGAGTAAGTCTCAGTTCTTATCACTTATCACAAATTTCTTGTTTATCTTAATTCGCAATATCTTATTTTAGAGAATTCAAAGCATCAACATTTAATTTTAAAATTTACTATGTACCAGAGACTAATCATCATTTTTGAATAACTAATTTGTATGATAAAAAAAATGAATATGAAATTGTTAGGAAAAAGGGAATTGAATCAAGGCGAAAATTCAATTGTGTAGATTAGGCCAATGGGAAAATCTAGATCTGATTGCTTCTTCGATAATTCTCCCCGCCGCATCAGAATCTTTCTGTACTTGCAAAAGAGGAAGTGGAGCAGACCTGAAAGCATCCCTTATTGCTCAGAGCGAATTGCAACACGCAGCGCAGAGAAAATCCAATTCAGGCTGCTGTCGGGATGAAATGAAATGAGCGACTTTCACTGTACAACATCGGCACAGGGAAAACTTTTTTCCGCTTCGACGGAGTTGCAAATATAGAGTGGTGGTGCGCGCATGTTGGTCACGTTTTATTATCTGCAGGCGGCGGACGTGCCCCCGGGAATTGCACGGCGGGGATAAAAAGCGCCACCGCGTAATTATTCAAATCGTCAAAGGCCGCTGCTTGTCAGCCCCGCGGGACGTGAACCCTGTTATGGATGCACTCGGGTGCATTTCTCGTCGTTACGTATGCATCGTGTCGCACGCAAGCCGACCCGGCTGTGACACCATCCTTTCCACTGACGCCAAAGACAGCAGGTGGAATTGAAATTCAAATCAGATGATTTGTTTATTTTTGACTACAGAATCAAAAAGCCTTTTCAGAAAAAAATTCAAAATAATAATCTTTACTTAAATACGATGATTTTATCAATAATTTCAAGCTGCTAAATAAATTGATGATTTTTTTCGTGAAAGAGCGGAATTTTGACAGTTAAATTAATTTTATCCATTTTAAGATTAAGTACCATGAAATTTTTACTACAAATGAAATTTTTTCTGTTTTTCATTAATAATTGGTGAAATGATTCAGTCTATTTAAAAATCATTGTTTAATCAATTGCAATTTTGTTTGTACTAAAACAGTTCAATGATGAATAAAATAATCATTTTATATAATTTAACAAAATTTAAAATAATTATAATATTATATTTCTAACAAAATTACAAAATCATTATAAAAGTAAAATTGTTTTAGAATTGTCATTAAAAATCTATTGCTTTTTTTACTTTTAATATTTAACACACGTTACAATTTGAAGTTATTCTATTCACGTTGATTAAATTTTCTGATGCAACGGAAAACTTGTCTATTTTCACTCTCACGTTTAAAGTTCTGGCAACAAACTAGGCACTCAAAAGTGCAGGCGGTGCACGCTTTGAAATTTTCTGCAATTCAACAGTGAGGCACGTTCAGTCCACGAGAGAAGCCTTTGCAAAACTTTTACGTCAGGGCTTGGTTGGTCGTTGATTTTCCCCTTTTCGCCACAACACGCTTATAATTTCGTATGTATTCAATTTTCCCGCGGCTGCTGCAAATTTCACGCGAGTTTGGCGCTGGGCCAAGAATTTCTGGCCAAGACCACGAGTTAATTCTCCTCGCACGCAAAAAGCGTGAACGTGTAATATAATGATGCGAACGAACCCTGCTGCGGCTTCCCATTCCGAACAAGAGAAGAAGAAAAAAAAAACGAGAAGTGAGCCGCTTAATGAGTGGGGAGATGAGGTCGAGCACTTATTATTCGTCGTTAATAAGTCAGCACGGCAGGAAATTTGAGTTCTTGCAAAATATAGCGAAATGGTGGAGAAAAATTAACAAAAAATCTTATTTTCACTAAAAGCATCAGCTCATTAAAAGTAGAATAAAACTTTACGCAAATAATATTTATCCTTCAAATATTTGAGAAATGTATGATGAAAAGGAAAGGGTTGAAATTAAAAACATTTGTTCGAACAAATTGACACTCGAGGAGATGATCATGGAAATGAAGAAGTTGGGCTTTCCTGGTAGATAAAATTGTTTTTATTAAAAAAAAAACGGCTCGAGCTTTGTTTTTTGAATAAAAAAAATTTTATTACTAGGACAAGCCCAACTTTTATATTTCTTAAATTAAAAAAATCTCCCAGGTTATTCTTTATTTGAATATTTTGTTGAAAAAAATTGTGAAGTATTTTGCTACAAAACTTGCAATTAGAATAGATTTAGCTGATTTAATGGAATGAATAAAAACTAGGAAGATATTTAAAACTTTTCTATCCTAGACGGAAGAAACAGAAACTTTTTATGATTTTTAAAATAACTGAAATTTGAGATAATTGAAGCCCAAATTTTTATGACGAATAAAACTTAATAAAAATGATTAAGCATGCAGTCCACGTCAAAAGCAATAAAAAAATTTCAAATTATTGGGTAAAAAATATTTTTTTCAATTATCAACTTGTAATTAATTGCTTTCAGCGTAACAAAATTTTGGCCTTTTCCAAAAAAATTGCCGCCAGCCAGTAAACGTTTTAGGCGCTGTGAATAAATTACGTGCTGGGTCCGTCGAGCGCAATTTTATGGGTACGTGTCAGCAAGGGAGTGCGTTATGTACTTAGGCGCGGGAGAGTTTGCCGACATTCATTACGGAACGACAGCAGCTGGAGCCATAAATCCGTAGACGACATGATGCGGCATACAATTGCACGCACCTTGTTTGATTTACGCGGAGACGCAACACCACCTGACACAAATATAATTAATTTCAACTGTTTGATTAACATCTCGAGTCTTCTTTGCGGTTGGATTATTTGCACGGCATTAATGAAATTGTTTGCGTTGGAGACTACTTTGGAACTCAAGATTCCCACCGACTAATTCATAAATTACTGAGATAGATGACTAAATTTAAATTCTCTATAGGGCTATTTATTATGTTCAGTAATTAAAAAAAAAAATGCAGATCATGAAAAGGGAAAAAGATTTGATTTTAAATTGGTTTTTATAGATTTAGAGCGAAACTTATTTAAGAAAAATAGATCAAGAAATAATTGATTAAAAAGTTAACACAACAAGAAAAATAAGATATTTTTATATCAAAGAGAGTCCCTATGGAATCGCTTGTTTCAATGTGATTAAGAATTGAAACCAAAACAACGTTTGCAGAAAAGGTTTTAAATAACACATTGAAAAATTGCGTCTCAAATTCACTTTCTTTTCTACACTGAGGATCGCGAGCAATTTTCCCACAGATTAAATTTTCATTTCAATTGCACCTCAACCCTTTCCATTTGGCTTTTCGGCGCTCTAGGGGTGTTAAAACGCAGAGCACACATCTCGGTGGTGCTGCGGCAGACGAGATAATATTTAATTCAGTGTGCGTCGTTATGGTGCGATGTATTTTTCCTCCGACGCGAGCGAGAAGTGGAGAAAGAGAAGAAGTTTTTTAAAAAAAATAAA